ACCATCGTGCTGACCGGCGCCTCGGGCCTGCTAGGCACCCACCTCCTTACCCAACTCATCGCCGACCCGTCCACCCACGAGATCATCTGCCTCGCAACCCGCCAACTAGCGGAGCGCCTCTCCACCGGCGACCTCCCCAGCAACCCCAAAGTAGTCTACCACGCCGGCGACCTCGCCGACCCACTCCTCGGCCTCAGCCAGGGAGAAGCCATCTCGATCTTCAGCCGCGCCGACGCCCTCATCCACAATGGCGCCGACACCTCACACCTAAAGTCCTACGCGTCCATCAAGGCCGCAAACACCGAATCAACACGCACCCTGATCGCCCTCTGCGCAGCCCGCGCCGTCCCAATCCACTACATCTCCACCGTCGGGGTCGCCCTATTCGCGAACCCGCCGGTCCCTTCCTTCCCACCTATTTCGGCGGCGGCCTACACCCCGCCTCCGGACGGCTCCCACGGCTACATCGCCGCCAAGTGGGCGAGCGAGCGCATGCTCGAGGCTCTAGCCCAGGAGCACGGGGTGAAGGTATGGATCCACCGCCCGTCAACAATCATCCGGGAGGGCGCGGCAGCGCGCAATGCAGCTGCGGCGGTCGACTGGATGAATGCGTTTGTGGAGTATATGGTGAGGATGAGGGCAGTGCCGCGGCTGGTGAATCTGCGCGGGGCGCTGGACCTGGTTTCATTGAAGCGGGTTGGTGGGGAGATATTGCAGTGTGTGATGCGGAATACCATTGAGGGGGTCAATGGGGTGGACTACTTGCATGAGGTAGGGGATGTGGTTATCCCGCTGGATGCTATGGATAGGTTTGTTAGGGAACGGGTTGGTGGTGGGGATGATGTGCAGGTTGATGTTGTTTCTGTGGCGGAGTGGGCGCGGAGGGCTGTAAAGGCAGGCTTGAATGCGGGTATTGCGGCGCTGATTGAGAGTATGGATGACCCGGGGCAGCCGCATTATCCGCGCATGCTGCGCGCATAGGTTGGGATGTGGCATATTGAAATGACCGCATCACTGTTCTGGAAGTTACTGTCTGCTGCAGGATAGCAGAAGCGCCAAGGCTGTAATGATACCTATGCACTCAGCCTCCCTCACATAGTTACTCTAGACTTACCATTCAGGTATGGCAATGTGGTAATTTTAGACATTTGGGGTTCAATATATATTTTGCGGGTTGACATAGATTCAATGCGGGTACACCTTACAAGGGAATTCACGTATTGGACCCCGAGAAACAAACACGTGACCTTTCGTAGGTACTAAGAGATTTCGGAGGCACTCTCGGTGGCGATACAAATACTGCAACAGAGGTGTTCTTAGCGAAAAGAATAAGAAGTCGCGTTCTTTATTTGCTAGTAGAAGATTGCTGATGACTCAAGACTCCTCTGGAGTTCTAGCTGTAGCCAGCCTACCGTAGGCTATAATTGGATGCCTGAGGCACACACAAACAGCACCCATCTGGGATTAGTCTATTTCTATGAATAGAACAAGCGTTGAAACTTGAAAGTACCATCAGCGCCTCAATATCAGCCCCAAGTAGCGTTCAAATGTGGTATGTCTGGGATTGCGACATCTATGCGAGAATCAGCATAACGACCTGACCAGAGTCTAGACCAAATCCACCAAGCTTTGACGGCCAAAAGTAGATCTAGAACTTTCTGCTTTCATTTTCAGTGCACCCATGGCCGGGGGTGGGGTCAGAGACCTGAGATCGTAAGCTTTTGAGCTTCAAGTACGTACTCGAAGCGTAAGCGCTACGGTGCCGTCGCGATCCTCCCAATCCCACATTGACGCACTTGTTGTCGCACCGAGTAACCTGGGTAGAGCGAGAGCTACAGACTCCCAAGCTCCGTACCAGACAGAACAGGCCAAGTAGCTTAGCAGGCGGAGACCAATTCTAGATGAGAGCGGATTTAAAGAGAGACTGCCAGGGCAAACAAAGAGCCTCATAGAGACTTCGCTCAAAGGCCGCATTTTCGATTCTAGCGCTGGTCCTTCTTTTTCACTCCGGATCTCATCCTCATCTCTTTCTTTTGATCTCTTCTTATATAGTTTCCTGGACGAAAGGCCAACGAAAAGATTGAAGACCACCTTGCGGATTGACGTGCCTCGCTGCTCAAACTATTCCAGAGTACTCGGTCCATGCCCATCAGACAAGACAACAGCATAGGAAATGCCCACTGCAATGTCCTATTTACCTGGTGAGTGCATCGTCAATTCCCGACGTTCGGAGAGGTGTGTATCAGCCCCCGAGCCACCTATCACACATAAAGCAATTGGGATACTTTGTACATAATCCTTGTACTTTGTAACCAAATGCCTGTAAACCAAGCCTCATCTTCATAACAACAATTTGCGCTTAGAATGGTAGCAGCTTCTAGCTGACCAGTTTGTCCGGAGCACCGACAAGGGGACACAGGTGGTTGGGACCCTTGGGTGCAGCCTCAAAGGAAGCACAGCGCCAGATTGACTCTGTATCTCGTAAAACAGGTACGTATGCAGACAATGCATCCACCTCCTACCTTTGGGAATCACCAGAAGTACGAATAAAGTTGACGTTGGCAGACAGTGCTATGTTTAGACTTCCATGATTTGCCGCCTGCTGAGCCACAGTCGGCGGCTGGGCACGACTCAGTTTCAACTTGGATGGGTCTGTTTCAGAACTGCCGTCCACGACAAGAATTTAGGGCTTGATAATTTGATATCGATTGACGCCCTGCGGAAGAAAAATGGAAATACTCCGGCGGGTGCTCTTGGCTTCGTCACGGTGACGTAGATCAAGAGATGGCACCACTTTTCATGCCCGTCGGTGTATTATGCATCCATATGCATAGTCGGGATAGTTTCGAGGTTGACGACCCTGCTGATCAGACTTAGGAGAGCTCTGAGCTGGCAGCTGAAGATCGCGATGATCACATAGGCTACATTAACATAGCAGGCTGAGTGGGTTCGGGTTGGCCCGTGTGGTCCCTCGATCCAGGGGGACGGGACAGCGAGGGAGTTGAGAGTCCGATGATACTGATATTAGCTGCTCCGGTTGACATATCACATAGGATTCCCGTGAAAAGGCGAAGGCCGGCCGTTGGGCATTCGGGATTCCCGGCGAAGACATGATTATGCAGAGAACAGGCCTCGCTGAGCCCTGTGGATATATCTCACCGCGGCAACCGCAGGAAGGGGATCAAAGAGGAGCAGAAATTCAGGGATAGCTTCGATAGCTACAGGCACATGATGCTCAGAAACCGACAGATTGATGCCCGACGAACCCCTTTCTGCCTGTTCTGCAGCGAAGTTCCTGGATAGTGGATACAGAACACACGGACTGGCCTCGGCTTGTGAAAGAGTGAAAGAAAAGCAGGGAGAAGCCGAGCCGGCGGACTGGGAGCCGAGTGGAAGCCTTGGCCGTGATTGGCTGCGATAACAGAGACTCCGCGCAAAGCTTGGGATCCACAGGGGCAAACGTAAAAACGCGGCGTTGCATTGCAGCACTTTGCACTGGGCGAGCACATGGCACTGGCAGAAGCCATGGCTGGCGGGCAGCGTGCCAGAAATGCTCCGATATCAACCTCCTGCAGCGTCGGAACCTCAGGAGGCGATCGTCATCGGCTCCCTATCATCTGTCACTGCCTTCACCACCATCTCCACCGTCTATCGTGGCCTGCTCTCCAATCATCCCGGCTGTGAGGTCATGGCTTCGCGTCGTCTTGGTCGTCGTCTTGGACGCTGAGTTATAACCCCACCAGGTCTCGACTGCTCTGAGCTGAAGTTTCTTCCCATCAAATGACTTTCTCTAGTGAAGAAGTGAAGTCTAGACCCGAATATTTTTGGTTCGTGCCTGGCGAAGTCTGGTCGCCAGCTCTCCACCCGTGGTCGTGGTCCGTTCGCACTCGATAGCGCAATTCTAGACTCGCTCTTCTAGAAGCCTCAAGATCCCTCCAGCTTAAATCCCTTCTCTCCTCGAATTTTGCCTTGTCCGCCATCGTTCTTCTGTTTCAACCTTGCTTCATCTTTCGCGAGACTCGTCTTCATAGCCGGACCAATGTCCGCACCGGAGGGCCACCCTTCCTATGAACTGCTTTCCCCCGCCAACACCCCTCCCCCACCACAGAATCCGGGCCAGGAAAACTCCAATCCAGCGCCCGCTGGTGTCGACAATGGCCCGGCCGACGCAGGGCATGCCGCAGAAGCCAACACACAGACCGTCAATGCCAGCGCAGAGCCTCGAGGCAATCGCGTGAGGTTCCGGTCGTTCAGCAGCTATCGGGAGGCGGATGATCGCGCACTAACACCGGAGCCTGCGCCTGCAGTGACTCGCCCTGCCTTCCTTCGCAATGACTCGGACTACTCCGTTCGCTCCTACCACTCCATGATGGACTACGATGCACCCTCTGCCAACGTTTCCGACACTTCCGCCGCAACGCTGGTCTCGGGCTCTCCGCCAGACTCCAACGGCCGACACAACTCGCAGCAGGATATCCCCATCCACGAACTAGGCCAGCCCAAGCCTGCCGACAGCCAAGCTAAAGACACGACCCCCAACCGCGACATGTCGGTCCGCGAGCGCTTCCGCAATGCCGGCCAGTTGATTCGCAAGAAGACCGTCTTTCTCGGCGAGCGGCTGGGCCGGGACGCTTATGACGACGGTGGCGATCTCGGAGCCTCTTTGCTCCCGGATGACCTTGAAGGTGTGCTGCCTCCACTTCACCACCACCAGCAGCGCGATGAGGAAAAAGCTCCACTTGACCCCAATGCTGGCGCCCAGCCGCCACCCAGTGCGGAAGCTCATCGCCTTGTGCGTAGCGTTACCCAGAGCCATATGCGTCGCCGGCGTCCCCGATCTGCCTACGCTCGGTCCGGTGCGAGCACGCCGGAAGGACTCCGACCGGATTCGTGGTACGGGTCTGGACGTGGTGGTATTCTGTCGCAGCTGCTCCGCCTCCAAGCCGTGCAGAGCTCTGGGAGTAGCAGTGCGCCTGTGAGCGATGTAGAGTCTGATGGCGACTCCCCGATATCGTCTGGTGCTGCGACGCCGAAGAAGGAAAAGCTGAAGTGGTACAAGAAGTCGAACACGCACTCGACTGCCTCGCTGGTCGGGGCGTCGATGAATCTGAGCTCTGCCACTCTACCTGCTCCTCCGGATGCGTTTATGACCCCAAAGCGGGGACGGAAGAAGGCGTATCGCAAGACAAGACTGGAAGATGAGATTCGTGTAACGGTGCACATTGCTGAGATTCTTGCTCGCCAGCGATACATCATGCAGCTCTGCCGCGCGCTCATGCGCTATGGAGCACCCACCCACCGCATGGAAGAGTATATGATCATGACGGCGCGCGTCCTCGAGGTCGAAGGCCAGTTTCTTTACCTACCTGGCTGCATGATCATGTCCTTTGACGATCCAACTACCCGTACTGCCGAAGTCAAGCTCGTCCGCGTTGTCCAAGGCGTCGACCTCGGCCGTCTCGCCGACACCCACAACGTGTACAAGAACGTCGTCCACGACCTCATCGGCGTCGAAGAAGCGATTTCCGAACTTGACCAGATCATGTCACGCAAGCCCCGGTTCAACAAATGGCTCCTTGTTCCTGCCTATGGTCTTGCTAGTATCGCTGTTGGCCCGTTTGCCTTTAGCGCCCGCCCCATTGATATGCCTATTATTTTCTTGCTTGGCTCGCTGGTCGGCTTCATGCAACATGTTCTCTCGCCCAAATCAGTTCTTTACTCCAATGTCTTTGAAGTCACTGCTGCTGTGCTGACTTCCTTCCTTGCTCGTGCCTTTGGCTCCATCCGTGCAACCATCGGAGGTGAAGAACAGTACCTCTTCTGCTTTTCGGCGCTCGCCCAATCTTCCATCGCCCTCATTCTACCAGGTTTTATAGTTCTCTGCGCCAGTCTTGAACTACAGTCTCATCAGATGATCGCCGGTTCAATTCGCATGATATATGCAATCATTTACTCACTCTTCCTTGGGTACGGTGTCACAGTCGGGACCACAATATATGGTCTTATAGACGGCAACGCGACGTCTGAAAGGGAATGCAAGAACCTTGATGTTTACAGCTCGGTCTACATCCAGAAATTTTGCTTCGTGCCCCTCTACATCATCTTCGTCGCGATCATCAACCAGGCGAAATGGAAGCAGCTGCCGGTCATGATTCTCATCGCGCTGTGCGGGTACGTCACGAATTACTTCTCTACAACCAAGCTGGGCTCGAACTCCGAAGTCGCGAATACAGTTGGTGCTTTTACGATTGGACTGCTGGGAAATCTCTATTCACGAGTCTGGCGCGGTCATGCAGCAGCAGCAATTTTACCTGCCATCTTCGTCCTTGTCCCCTCCGGTCTTGCCTCTAGCGGATCGCTTATTGCTGGCCTCAACTATGCGGATTCTGTCCGCGACGGGATCGAGAGCGGCAATACGAGCAATATCGCTAGCCAGGATACGTCCATTGCAAGTCTTGGTTTTGGCATGGTGCAGATTGCGATTGGAATCACGGTCGGACTCTTTGTTTCTGCCCTCGTGGTCTATCCGTTTGGCAAGAGGCGGAGTGGCTTGTTCAATTTCTAACCCTTTTCCCGGTCTCTCTCATGTTTTCAGGTGTTATATTGGGGTTCATGTTTCTCATGCGATACGTCCAGGACATACAGCACGATATACGTACACGATGGCATACAGTACATAGCTTTTCGGTCAGGTTTTGTTATTTAGCGAGCGAGCGATATCAGCGATTGGATATATTTTATTTGGCATAGATATGATATCAGCGTTGATCGTTATCTAATACAACGTGCGACATTCATCTCCATTATCATTTACCTCGATTTCTTGCGAGATGCAGGGCCCCTTTTGCACACAAATACCACGTACCAGAGGCACTAACACAAGAAACCCATGGCTAAATAACCAACAAGAAGCATCCAACAGTCCCATCCCCATGAAACACCAAAACCGCAGCCTCCTTCTCCCTAGCCATCGTCCCCCCTCACAACGCATCACAAACAACCCCAGCACCACCACCCCCTCCAGCAGGCGGCGGCGGCGCAGGAGGATTCCCCCCAGGCCTAACATACGCCGTCCCACGATGATTACAAACATACGCAGAAGCACACCACTTCCCATCATCGAGCCTGTACAGCTTATCCCAATGGTAGCTGTAGCACTTCAGCGGGAGGTGCATCTCATAGGCGTGCCAGGCGTCGCCCGCGGGATCCGGGTCCCTGATGGCCGGATTGATGTGCACGCTGAAGACGTCGCCGTTGGGCATGCGCGCGCTTACGCCGCCCGCTTGGCCCCAGGGGTACGAGCCGCTCCAGGGCACGTTCACCATCATTGTTGGTCTGTAGGTGTCGAGCCCGTTGCCGGTCCAGACGTCGCTGGCGTAGTAAATCATTTCGCGGGAGGTCGAGCCGCCGGCGTGCCCGAGGCCGATGCCGCAGTCTGCCAGCACGAGGTTTTCGGTAGGGGTTCGTTGGGATAGGATGGGGTGGGTGTTGAGGAGGAGGAGGAGAAGGAGGAGGAGGATTGGGTGCATTGTGGTTGTGGTTGTGATTGTGGTTGTGGTTGTTTTGATGGTGTTGGACTGGACGGACTGCTGGTTGAGGACGGACCGGATTGTTTATTTATGGACTACGGTACAGTGGGACGGTGAGTTCCTCCCTCGACGTCTTTTTGGTTTCAGCTGGGGCGCTGGCTGCCTCGACTTGCAGAAGGACTGATAGGTAGGGTATTCTCAGCTGAGGCCCAAGCTGTGCATTGCATACTCCTTAACACAAGCAGATATTGGACCCTGTCCATAAGCTTGCGTGCACTTGGCTCTTGATGGATCTCTTTCTCCCTCTCGGCTATTTTGACTTCACGTTTCTTCCCTTAGCAAACATGTTTATTGCAGCTGGAATCCCGCACGCATCATACGCGGGTCTTCTGAGACTCACTGCTACGACTTACATCGCCTATTAAGACGATCTAGATCAGCCTCACTAACGACTTTGCATCTATAGCGCAATCATCATACGACGATGTGCCGTGTCTATGGACATCGCTCGACTCAGCTCGTCGTGGATTGCTCCGTGGCTCGGTACACGTCGCAGTGCTACCATGACCATGCATGCAAGGCCGTACAGGGTCTAGGTCTAGTGGTCAAAGCGATGCTTCAGACGTCTTCCAGCCCTGTCGGAGGATGAGGCATTCAGCTCGCGGTTTGACCGAGATGCAGCAAGATCATGGCTATAAGATTTGTCAAGTCCGCCATGACAACTCGCGCCGTCCACGATCCATCCAGCCATAACCCGAGTTAACAAACACATTGACCTTACCAAACCATGATTCCCTGCAATCCCTCCAACCTCTCTCTCCTGCCGCTCCTCCTCACCCTATCCCCCATCCACATCCACGCCAACCTCCTCACCCCCTTCAGCACAACCGCCAGCCCCGGCGCGCTCAAATTCCAACCCATCCTCGACTTCGACACCGACAGCTGCGACCAAACCGCCGCAATCAGCACCTCCGGCGATCTAAACACCGGCATCTCCATCCCCATCCGTCCAGACCCGCAACCAACCTCCTGGCTCCGAGAGGACCCCCTCGCCGCACTCCCAACCGCCGCCGCCAACGCGACCACGTCCACGTCCACGTCCACGTCCACGTCCACGTCCGAGCCCGAAACCCGCGCAAGCCCCAACCTCCGCGGCTGCCGCGACCGCAACCGCCTGGACCACAGCCAGACGTACGTCCGCGAGCGCTGCAACCACGGCTGGTGCGCGTACCTGTACGCGTACTACTTCGAGGGGGACTTCGGGTGGCTGAACGCGCACACGCACGACTGGGAGCATATCATTGTGTGGACGCTCAACGACAACGTGTTCTTTGTCTCGTGGTCCGCGCACGGCAAGTACACGACGCACCACCAGTCGACTGTGCGGTTTGACGGGACGCATCCGAAATTCGTGTATCATCTTGGTGGGTGGGGGACGCATTCGTTCCGCAAGGCGGAGGAGGGTGATGAACGCATCGAGAACGAGACCGGGGGCTGGTTTAGGGCGCCGCTTGTGTCGTTGGAGAAGCTGGGTTGTGAGTTGAATCGGAGGTTGCTGGGGCATGGGTGGGGGAGTGCGCAGATGGATCTGAGGAAGGATCGGTTTGGCAAGGCGCTGGATGATTGGATGCCCTGGGACGCGAGGAACAATGAGAAGTTTAATCCGTGGGAGCCGGTTGTGCCGGCTTGGGCTTTGTGAGTATGGGGATGCAGGGATATCTGTCGGCCTCTGTTTTACCTATTGATGACCAGCCCAGATGTTCGTTCTTCGTATCTGGATGTTGTCCTCGAGCTTCCAAGCTTCAATTGAGATTCAATATTATCCTATTTCAATGTTCAATGCCCCAGAATACGCCAAAAAGACCAACAACTCAAGGAAACCACTGCACCCTAATTCAAATACGCACCCTTCGTCTCTTCATGCACAACATCAAAAAGCGGCTTCGCACTGAAGTACCCTGCCATCGGCGTGCCAACAGTCTTATATGTAAACGCCGCGTCCGCCTCATCGATCTTGACCGTCGCGCCTCCGCGTCCCGCAGCCGCCGCATCAGCAAGTAACTGCGCATGACAGCACTTCTCCAGACTAACGAACCAGAAGACTGTCTCTTCAATCGTCTTGCCCACAGTAAGCAGACCATGGTTCTGCAGGAGCGCAGCTTTCTTCGAGCCCAGGGCAGACGCGATATTCCGCCCTTCCTCTTCGGCGAGCACGACGCCGTTGAATTGGCGGTATACGACGTGGTCCTGAATGACGCCATCCGTTAGCATCACCCCCTCCATCCTTATTCTGCCCACGACCGACTAGGCAAACGTACATTGTAGAAAGCACACGAATCCTGCGTGATGATATCCAGTTCCCGCCCGAGCGTACAGAACGCCCGTCCATAGAGACTGTGACTATGCGCCGCACACAGGACATCGGGCCTGGCTGCGTGGATCGCAGAGTGAATCATGAATGCCGCGGCATTGAGGAGCCGACACGGCCCGCCGGCTATGACATTCCCCGAGTGATCGACCTGGATCAGATCCGACGCTTTGATCTGGCTGAACGCGACGCCGAATGGGTTTACCCAGAAGGTGCTGGGGTCGATTGGGTCGCGGAGGGTTATGTGGCCGGCGACTCCTGGAAAAGATCGTGGGCATTAGCGTTGCGTGCATTTGAGTAGTGACGAAAGGATTTTGAGGAGTTGTATACCCTCGTCATAGCCGTTCTTGCCGAAGATGCGGAATGCCGCGGCCAGACGGCCCTTTAGGTACTCTTGTTCTTTGACCTTGTCTTCGAAGACGGGGGGCTTGGGGATGGGCATCTTGACTTTTGAGGAGGCGGCGGAGGTTTCTTGGCTGTTGCCGCTGGCATTGCTGGGAGGGGTGGATGAGGGGACGGTCGGAGGGTCTGTTGCTGAGGGGTGCATTTTGCTTCTTTGTTGAGTGGAGAGTGTCTTTCTTGATGAATGTTGAATTTCCCAACGATGGCCTAGATAGATGGAGAAAGAGAGAACGTACGCAAAGCAGAAAAGAAAGGAAATGGCCGAAGCGACTGTCACCCAAAGGGCGCAGTACAGTATAGGTAGGACCCTTGCTTATCGGGCGGGGTAAATGCGAGTGCAGTTGCAATAGGCTCCCAAGCTCCCAATGGAACCCCTCCACTGGAACGCGCATATCCGAGGTTCCCCTCACAATAGTCACGAATCACATCCAATCTATTACAACCATAGAAACACCTCTATTTCACCTCTATTGTACACCAAACAACCTAAGAACAAGCTACGCCATCCCCGCCTCCTTCCTAAACACCCCCTTCGCCTCCGCACCAACAAGACAATCAACCCATCCATCCCTCCTCTTACAATAGATCTCCCCCGCCAGTTCCCCCGTGACCCTGCGCGACTCCTCATCCAGAGTCCCCCACTTCAGCGCCGCCCAGTCCGCCCCCTCCGGCGACGACGTAAAGTGGCATCCGCAGTCCGGGCAGAAGATGCGCGGGAGGGGGTTCCCGCTGTCCGTGCTGTTGTCCGTGAAGGTCTTGGGGTGGCCGGAGGTGTAGCGGAGCTGCGAGGGGTTGATGATGATGTTTGTGGAGAAGGGGCCGCCCGTGTACTTTTTGCAGCTCGTGCAGTGGCATGTTATGACCTGTTTCGCAGTAGTGTTGGTTAGTGTTCTTCTAATGCAGGTCGTACTCGTAGCGGAGAGGGGCAGGGCAGGTTGGGAATGTGGGGAGGGGAAGGACCTTGGGGGTTGGCGAGGAGGCTGGAAGGTCGATGGCGTAGGTGATTTTGCCGCAGAGGCAGGCGCCGTTTAGGGTCTTGGTGGACATGTTGGATGGTGGTTGTGGCTTCTTGGTTTCTGTCTCGATTGAAGACAATTGTGTTCGGAGAATTGAGTGACCTCATGTTGTGGGCTTTACCTTCGTGGCTCCACATTCATTACTAAGGCAAATTTCTCGGAAGGGCATCATGAACGATTTGTATAATTAGGGTAGCTTCGGAATATTTCAAGATGTATTACAACCATGAGCGGTAGGGGTATACGGAGTAATGAGGCTAAAAAGTATGAATGTTTCACCTCACAATGGGAACGGAACCTTGATCCTTCGCGCGTCGTCCAGCGAGCTCGCTTCTTCCAGCTTATTCGGAGCGCCGAGCATCGGTTTGAGGTCAGCGTCGCACACTGTCCCCGGCGCTGGGAGCTCGCCTTTCTGAAAGTACTTGCGGATGGATTGGTCGACGCATGTCGAGGGCGCCGCAAGGGTGGAATGCTACGCTCGTTAGTGTCGGATGGGGGAAAACCAGCGCCTAACTTACACCCTCTGAGTCTTGCTGGAGTAATACCGACCCAGGGAACGCACTGGACATCTTCTTTGCGCTGTTGGGGTTAGTAAGTCTTCCGAAGTTGGACGGGTTGAGTTCTACCTTGCTAAAGGGGTGACCGGGTCGAGGATGTTATTGACGAATAGCAAAGGAAATGAGGTATTTCCGGTCACAGGAACTACCAATGTTAGTAAATTATAATAGTGACGAGGATTGGCGGCCTACCTTGCATCTTCCACTTGGGCTTGACACTCCACCCAGCACAGTCGAGCCTCGTGTGAGCCCAGTAATCTCCTATCACACTGCTGAGCTCCTGAAGATCTCGCCAATGCCGCTGGAAGTCCTGCTCGTCTGTCGATTGCATGTACTCTGCATCTGAGCACAAGATGGCAGAACTGGAATATAGCTCGTTCTGCCCTAGCGCCTCACACTCAGATGACCACGGTCCAGCGATCAGACACTCATCGGAAGGACATGATGAGGAGCGACGCCCGAGTTTGAAGTCAGCCAGACCGGAACCGTCACCCTTGAGAAGATCGCCTGCAATCCCCGCTAGGTAGGTGAAACCGGCCAAAGGCTGATAGACGGCAATCCGCAAAACAACCTTCAGGTCAGACCACGTCACGACTTCCGGTCCTCGCGTCTCAGAGGGCAGAACGGCAATCGAAGAATTGTACAAAGTACTCTCAAGCTCTTTGTACATCTCCTTGATTGCCGCGGGGCCGCCTTCTGCGTAGAACGGGCATTCCGTCCCGATAATATTACAATAGAGGGAGAACTTATCAAATATGGCGTCAGCATCTCCAATGGGCTCCGGGCCAACTCCCGAGTAGTACTTGTCCGCATCAACCACGGCATCCAATACCATGCGTTCAACGCGGTCCGGAAAGAGCGCAGCAAAAGTGGCACCAAGAACGGTCCCATACGATCGGCCCCAATACAAAAGCTTCTCCTGCCCACGGTGCCATCTAGTCTTCGAAAGGATGGACTGCTGTGCAGCAAGGTCATTAGCTTTGTGCTGTTGCTGAGCTTCCAGGCCTTGCTTTTGCCGCCACTCGCCGTGCCGCTCGATGATCTCTAGCATATCTCTAGCAACTGGAGGCGTGTTGGTATGCTCTCCCAGAGCGTCCCCGCCGGCCAAGGGTGTCGAAATGCCCTGTGAACATGATGGATTGAGTGCCATGGCACGCTGCCAGTTCCGCATGAACGACTCCGCGGAACTGCCGAGCATCCCATCCGCTTCGGCTTGAAGCTCCCAGTTTCTTTGGGAGGAAAGATCCGGGAAGCAGCTAAAACCTGGGGTCGTGTTGTTGACACCGCGAGGATCGAATCCAATGATATCAAAATACAGATCTGAAGATTGGTCCACCTCGGCAGGGACAATATTCGCATCCGCGATGGTCTGGAGATTGCGCCCGACTTCTAAGGCCTGAGCAACTCCGGAACCACCAGGGCCACCTGCATCAGTCAATAGGCAGCCGACAGGCAAGGGCGACATGCGTACCAGGATTGATCAGTATTGCGCCGCCATATCGGGGGTCCGTTACGGGAACCTTCGCCGGGAGTCGGGCGATAGCAATTGCCATGCGAGTCCCCTGGCCATCTAGCCGATGGTAATCCATCGGCACATCAAGCCGGGCGCATTGGAAACCATCGAAGCAATCATGGTACTCCAGAGATTCTGACGGGTTGATCTGCCCCCGTTAGCCTTGGAAGCTGTATGATCGCAATCATCAGACCTGGTCCCAGGAGAACCGAGTCTTCAGCTCGGCAGACGAGTTAGGGCTGATTTTTGCATGAGAGATTGGGAACAGCCACCATGTCAGCCCCGCAAGAACCGTCAAAGCCAGCACGGTGGGACTGGCAGCCCTTCTTCGGGTAGGCCCGCCTCGCCCTACAGAATCAACATGACGGCTGAAACTGTGATGTTTACGATCTTCCATCGCTCGACTGCCGCTTCACAGGTGCATCCGGTCAGACGCCAATCGAGCCTTTGCGGCTTGACCGCGGGCAGGAAGGGTCTTAAGTAGCGCCCTGTGTGGGCCTTATCTCGCATTATTGGGGACGGCTGAGTCGCAGATTTCCTCTGCGAGTCCGTGCTGATAGACGAACATGCGCGGGATGGTGATCCTCCACCGACGAATAGATGGAAAGGGATATGCAATCTCAGCAGCATGACAGGCGGTCAGACATGCAAGGTGATCCCAGATTGGAGGGAAGGCCTAGGTTTCGGCAAGGGGGCATCTCTGATCCTGTGTGGAGTGTGCCGAAGGAACCATCTTCGCATCGCGCTAGCGTAGAGCAGCTGATACCTAGCCAAAGTCTGCTTTTTGATGGGCCAACAGCAGCGCCTGCTTGAGGTGACCGAAAAAAAAGCAATAGGCCGGACTCGACCACTCATCGTATGGTAGTTGTCACAATTACGAGAGGACTCGAATACGAAGTACGTGTAACATGCTTGAATTTGAGAACCAGCAGAAGAAACGAAATGCGCTGGATCCCTTTTGACAAGAAAGGTTGATCCCTGGTTGCTGGCGGGAATATTGTAGGTGATCCAGTCAGAGGACCAGAAGGGCTCGTTTCTGCCACCAATAACAGTCACCGCCTGCTGATTGTGGGCTTTGATGGGAGAGGCACGTGACGGACGCGACGCGTGGAGCGGAATGGATGGATCAGAAAACGAGATTGCAAGGGTCTGGTCTTATCGTTCATGACGCAGGTTGGAGGGGTTCTTCTTCTTTTTCTTCTTCTTCAACTATTCGTACTATCTTTCTAATTCAATACTACCTCAATATTCTTTCAATCTGTGCGACGCAATGGAACTGATGCAACTCCAGGAAGATGACGTGGACGCGAAGATTCGACAGGCGGAGGAGGAACTGGCGAACCTACGCAAGCAACGCGCTCTGATCGAACTGCAGAACCAGCTGGCTGAGGAGCAGCGATTACTCGCCGATGCGCAACAGATCCCACCCCAGATCACCGCCGTACACCCCGTCGTGCACCCTGACCCTCCGCATTTCCTCGGACGCTACCCCGTCGTTGCCCTCGAACCGGAACAACCAAGGTTTAAGCGATCGGACTCAGAGTTGACATTGGCGCAAGAGGATGGACTCTTAGCTTTTCCAGAGCACACCCCTATGCTGCCCGTGACCAAGGTGTATCACGGCATCCACCGCAAAGAGTTTCTGCAGCTTATGCGTCGCCTGGAGACGCACTTTGCAGAATGGCCGCACTACTACGCGACCGACGACAACAAGGTGGTCGAGGCGTGCCGACATCTGTCCGAGGGTATAGCTGTGAAGTGGGCGCTTGTGCGACTCACGCCGGAGGACAGACGGACGTGGCCGGAATTCTGTGTCTGGTTGAATTCAAATATACGCAACTTTGTCAACCCCGACATTGCGGAAAGGAGATACAAAGCCGCCCGCCAGCGCAGGGGGCAGACTGTCAACCGGTTTGCGAAAATTCTCGGATCGCTGGAAGTAAACCTGCCACGTCTTGTCACAGATTATGAACGGTGCGAGCGACTCTGGATAGGTGTTTTACCGGAGGTCCGGAATGCATCTCGGTCCGGCTTCCCAGCATCCTATCATACCGGCGTGACACAGCTAATTGCCGCGGGGAGGACCTTGACACGCGAGCGACCGCGGCGAAAGAGACGTCGAGGAGGTCGAAGGGCCGCTGCGGCCGCTGTGTAAGACAAACGCCACAAGCTCAGTTCTGGCTTTGTTTCGGACTCGGCGTGCAAGTCTGTCGGTGTAACGCTGGCAAAGGACTGTCAGCTCTTGAACTTTTCACGAATCATGTGGTCAAGTTGTAATCAATGTACATATAAATGCTCAGCTCTGGCAAACATGAGAATCAAGGCTGAGATGATGATGCCCGAGCCAAAGCCAGAGCCGTAGCCAGACTTTATGATCACTTTATCATACCCGTCCGCTTATCTGAGGGACGTATTCGTGCTTGCCAACAAAGCAGCGCTTGGGCCTCGGGAATGCCGATTAAGACAACATGAGTCTTCACAGGATTGCCAAGGAGCCCAGGCAGAGCGCAATTGGGCGTACAATGAGGGGTTTCTCCACGCGCACCGCCTCAATGGACCTCCTGGAGCGCGTGCTCACCTGCTGCCGATTGGAAGTGTGTGATCTGCAACGTCTAGGCCGGTGCCATAGACGTGTACAAAAGATCGAAACTGTGCAAAATCTTGATGCACCGGGCCATGGGATGGATGACGAATGACTCGGTGGAGTCTTCAGCCCGTGGCCGGCGATCAGCCATTAGATCCTCCTAGTCCAGTCCCGCTGTGGCTAACTTGACCTGATCTGATCTGCTCTTGTTCCAAGTTTCTTTCTCTCATCTCAAATTTTCTACTCACCAGCAGACGGTGCTCAGACTATCGATCAACCGCTAGGTTCTAGCCTCTCCCTGATCATCGCATGTTCGCGCCTTCAACATGTTGGATGACGTATGGGCTGGGAGCTCCACGTGCTCCCTGTCTAGCGATGGGATCTCTGTCGAAAAGATGAAGCAGGAATTTCACAAAGCCTGGCCTCAATGCCCAGAGAAAGCCATGGATTTCGAAGTCAACGAGAAACCGCCGCAAGATGAACCCGTGGAAGTTGCTGGTGTTACCAAAATCAAGGCTGTCGAAGCTGTTGGTGGAAAGAAGGGCAAATACTTCATGTACGCCGGGTTGGCAATGATCATGATCATCTTCGAGCTCGACAATTCAACCGTCGGGACGTATCGAAACTTCGCGACGTCCGACTTCAACCAGCTCGGGATGCTGGCCACCCTGAACACCGCCGCCAGCATTATCACTGCTATCGGCAAGCCGCCTATTGCAAAGTTATCAGACGTGCTCGGGCGAGGCGAAGCATACATCATTACTGTCACCTTCTATATCCTCTCCTACATTCTCTGCGCCTCGTCAAAGTCTTTCGACACCTATGCTGGCGGCTATGTCTTCTACGCACTCGGCCAGGCGGGGATGGCCATCCTCAACTCCACGATTGTCTCGGATCTCTCCTCAATGCGTTGGAGAGGGTTCGCGTACAACATTCTCTATATTCCGTTTCTTGTCACGCCGTGGGTCTCCGCGTTCATCGTTGACAGCGTGGTCCACGGAATTGGTTGGCGCTGGGGAATTGGCATGTTCGCAATCTTGATGCCGTTCTGCGCGAGCTTTATCATCATCACTCTCCTGGTCTTTCAGCGGCGCGCAAAGAACGTGGGTCTCATTCTCAATGAGCGCCTCACCATCTACAGCTTCTGCTCTCGAATTGACCTAGGCGGTATAATGCTTCTCAGCGGTGGCTTCGCATTGGTTTTGATACCCATTACTCTCGCGGCTACTGCGACTGACCGATGGTCCACACCCTGGGTTGACGCCTTGATCGTCCTGGGCGCAATAGTTCTCGTCTCGCTTGTACCATATGAAAAATATCTTGCGCGCCACCCGATTGTTCCGGTGCGCTACTTCCGGACGATGTCAGTGGTCCTCTCTGTGCTTCTAGGCTGCATTGACAACATCGGATACGGCGCAACACATACCTACCTCTTCGTCTGGTCCATGGTCTCGCACAACTTTTCCCCTCGCGATGCCCAGTTCCTGACCTACACGAACGGGGTCGCCCAAGCGTTAAGTGGAATCGGAACAGGGCTCCTAATGTATCGATACAGAACGTACAAATGGATTGGCGTAGCAGGCGCCGTTGTCCGAATGGTTGGGTATGGGGTCATGGTACGCCTGCGCACGAATGAGAGCTCTGTCGGGGAACTCTTTGCCGTGCAGCTCGTGCAAGGGCTCGGCAGCGGCATTATCGAAACTATCATTATCGTTGCGGCGCAGATATCTGTCCCACATGCTGAATTGGCCCAGGTCACTTCGTTGGTTATGCTTGGTACTTTCTTGGGCAATGGGATTGGATCAGCGGTGGCGGGAGCTATATATACTGGGCAGCTGCGGAGCCGGCTGCGAGTGCATTTGGGCCCGGGCGTCAGCGAAGACCAGCTTACGAGACTTTATAATTCGATTACGGGGACGTTGCCGGACTGGGGGACTGCTGAACGAACTGCTGTCAATCAGGCTGTAAGTCAGCTAATTTCCATACGTACGTCAGCTGCTAACAAATACTAGTATTCCGATGTTATGGGGTTTGTGGCCTGCCCCCAGTGTATGTCTAAACACGAATACTGATTTTCGCAGGTACATCACCATTGCAGCGCTAGCCTTTGCTGTTCCAATCGTCTTCTTGTCTCTCCTTCTACCTAACAAGAAGCTCGGGTATGTCTGCTCTCGAATCTACCTACAAAATGCAGCTAACCTCTCCAGCGACGGACACAACCTCGTACAAGAGTCGCCATCGTCAGACTCAGTCGACGAGAAAAAGTCTCACATCTAACCTAATACGTCTCCGCCATATAATATTCAACGATAGCCATGAATGAACGACCATGAACTGCCTGCTATCCAAGCGCAGGCACACAAGTAAACTTCTTCCCCACCTGATCCCTCAGCGCATTCTTGACAATATTCCACACATGCAAGTCATACGCCTCCCCAATATGCCCAATCCTATCATCCGGGCACAAATCCTGCACCCAAACATTCTCCACCCCGTCCTCATGCACAAACGACGTCGACGTAGGCGTAACCATCTCATCAAACTTCGACGCAATGACCGTAAGCCTGTTCCCCGCCTGCACAATTGGCATCCCATCATTCAACCGCTCCACAGCAGCCCCGTCAGGCCCCAGATCATCGCACGCCGGACACCCAACAGCACGAAGGAGCCCGCCAATGATCTCCCGCGACGCATCACCAAGGATATACGCCAGATTATAGAGGCCAATGAACGTGGTCCCGCGCGTCGGCGGCGCAATAGACACAATCCGCTCGACGATCTCCGAGACCCCGTCCTCGAACTTGGGCACATAGAGAGACTGCATTGCGCCCTCGGAGTGGCCCACGATATCGACTTTGTCTGCGCCTGTCTCGTGCGCCACCCGCTTGATGTACGCTGCTATTTCCTTGGCGGAGTCTGCGAGGGGGCGCAGGCCGCCGACGAACGGGAACCCGTCGTATGCGCCGTAGGTTTCGGCGAAGGTGCAGAAGCCTTGGGTTTGGAGGAATGCTTGGAGGAGGTTCAGGTCTTCGTAGTAGGTTGCGCCTAGGCCGTGGAGGAAGACGACTGGGTTGCTGTTGTTTTGGGGGCGGCAGTTGAAGTCGTTTATGGCGGATGAGGCCGTGGTGAGGGTGGATAGGGCTAGGGTTAGGGTTGTGAGGATTTGGAGGTGCATTGTCGTGGCTTGGTGGTTGCGGTTATTAGGATTATTGTATTAAGAGGTTGTGGATGAAAGAGAATGATCCAATGAGTGATAATGGTGGATGCAAATGACCGTGTAGTCGTCCTGGAGCGTATAGTTCGAATTCGAAACAAATGAACGAAAGAATGGACGCTGCTGAAACAAGCAGTCAAAAGGATCGTGGAAATAAAGGATTGAATAATTAGAGCTGAAGAAGAAGATGAAGTGAAAGTCTCAAAGTTGAGAAAAGACGAAGGGAGCTGATTCTGCAGCTGATGGAGTGGATGCCATTTGTGGAGGCTTCATGATGATCGTCAATAATCAGATCCGTTCTGCGCCCTGATTCCTGAATAATGCTCACACAGACACTATCGATTTCTGACAGAGGCCCATCCCCGCCCGTGCGCTTGATTCGTCAATCGTGACTTGACAGGTCAACTAGATGTTGTGTAACTGGGATATCCATCAGATCAAGGAACCATGAGTTCGGGTCACCGGAGTCAGATTGCAATGCGGTTCGCCGCCACGGCCACTGAGATCCAGACGTAGAATGTTCATCGAATACAGTCTCATCGGACACAGTGGGGCTGTTCACCCGTCTGACGCTCGCAGCCAGAATAGGACACGGCCGTGTCTCCATGAAGCAACCAGGCCGCCGAGGGCTGCGCTGAGATGCGAGCTCAGCTTGATTATTGTCGTCGGAGGTTCGGAAGACAGGGTTTGCTGGTGAAAACATTTCGCTCGTCCCCCTGCGACCCTGGCAACATCTCAATAATCCATCTTGGGTGTTTACTCAGTGACAGGGGTGTCGAGCGCTATTGAATTCGCCACCAAGGCGCGGTAAGCATCGCCCGACCTTCTACGTCGAGGCAGCAAGGAAGCCATCTGAGGCCCTCATCCATAGTTCTGTTCCATGATATCCAAGTTTCAGGAAGCTTGAAGACAGCCCTCCGGCGTTTTGTCAGGTTGCAGGACAGGCAGATGATATAGCACGAGGTCGAGCGCAAGTATCGCTGTGGGCATCACGGACTCATACACGTAACGACCGACAGCGTGCCTTGATTCTTTGCATCGTAGAATCCACCTGGTATCCACTCAATATCGAAGGCGGATAGATCGGAAGGGTTACAGCTCGAGCCGATGAACTCTGCTGTCAAAGTGCGTCCGATCATACGATCCCCAGTCCTATCATTGTTAGCCTCACATCCCAGTATTCCATAGCAGGTTTTGATATGGCTTAGGACGAAAGCAATAGGTAAACAAAGGCTTTGATTGGGTAACGGACGACTCGACGAGTCCAGGATGACAGATTGTCGCGATCGCCGTCGTGGGTTGATGGCTGGCTGAGTCGGATTGCCACTAGGCCCAATCGGGCTATACCGTAGCCCTCCGTCGTAACTGTCAAGCGACACCGACGCCTCTCTCAAGATTCGGTGTTGGAACTTGAGCCTGGGAACAGAGAGTCCAGCAATTTGAACTCATTCTCCCAGTCTTGGAACTCTGCACATTGGATCTGACTTGCATGCTCAGCTGGGCAGTTCACAGCTGCAGCAGCGTATCCCCACTCTTAACGGCGAAACCCCACCCCACCAAAAGTGCCACTCCGGCCGTGCGCACCTGCCGCCAGGCTTGTCGTTGGTGTAACTGCGGACGCCCCCAGAGGATCTCGGCTTTGCTCGCTCAGATCTCAAATGCCTCAGCTTCGCTCCCCCGTTGGTCGATTGTTCGCATGAAGCTTCCTACCTTTTCCATTCAACGCTCATTCTTCACGAGCTAGACCACCACTGACGGGCGCTGCTCATGTCGGAAACTCTTACCAAAAGACTAGCCAGCTCTAACACGGGTTCTCGTCAGTCGAGGTCTTGCAAAGTCTGTCGCACTCGCAAGGTCAAGGTGTGTTTACCTTGGAAAGGCTTGTCCCAGGGCTTCGGCGAATCGGTCTGACCGCGTATAGTGTGATCGCGTGAAACCATGCCACGCTTGCTGTACGCACGGGTATCCGTCGCACTGCATCTACGACATTGCCCCTGGCGAAGATTTCCGGCCACTATCCCAGGCCGATGAAATTCGTAATTTGCGGAATGAGATTCGAGACTTGAATTCGCGGATTGAAGGTGAGTCTTTTCTTCTGCTATCGATAAATCGTCGTACACAAACTGATCCAATAGATTCGAGTCCGTCGCAACGGCGCCTAAAACAGCTGCGAAACTTTTTCGAAACGATCCGAACTGCTTCCGACGATGTAGTAGACCGTCTCATCGCCGAAATCAGAGGGCAAGGGCAATCGAGCCACCGGGACAAGCGCGCCGAACCATGGATGGAATGTACGTTAAGGTCCACAGGGCAATATCAACATGGACTGATCGGATATACCATAAGCAGCATACAGTGGCACAAAATACGTCAACGCCGACCGCGTGCGTGGCGAGAATGCGGAACAAGACCTGTCGGTGGTCCCGCGTAGATATAGCCGAGATGCGTCCGAAGAAAGCGATTCTGCTTACGGGTCTATCTGTCGCATGGACTCGACGTCTTCAATGCTCGACGTTTTCATCGAACGGTTCGTCGACGCTTTTAGTCCAGAAGTCGACGCGAAAGCTGGCGAGGCCGGTGCGATACGACGGGCTGCCGAGATTCGAATGTTCTCACCTATCCTCCGCGATGCCTTCGAGTCAGTCAGTCAGGTCTTCTTCGGGCGTTCCGTCGAGAACCAGACCGTCGAGGTCAGAGGATTCTCTGCTTACCCCCGGGTTTTGCGAAGCCTGCAGGAAGCCTTGCTGGACTCGGAGCGGAGCAAGGCAGAGTCCACACTGGCCACGGTTGTTTTGTTAATGGCGTTCGAGGTATCTCTATATTTCTCTGATGCGACGACACTTTCTAAATGATGGCAGAGTGTGGAACGTACTGGCCAAGCTTCACTGATAGCCCATGTTCTGGGCGCATTACGTCTGATTCAGCATCGCGGTCCCGAAAACCACATGTATGGCGTGGAGCACCTCATCTTCACCGAGCTCCGACCATATTGGGTAGGCTAAGAATCCTTCCTTTCACTCGACAAACCTAACAAATAGTAGGTTTCAGCATCGTTCACAGCCCGGAAGCCATCATTCCTCGCCCAAGAGAACTGGAAGACAGTACCTTGGTCGGCTGGGACAACCCCGAAGAACATCCTCCACTATCTACTTGATCTGGCGGTTGAGATACCAGGCTTTCTATCACAGTACGACGACCTTCAAGCGGGTATCGACTTGAATATACTCAGTCCGCATGAAAAGTCGGTCAAGCAGATTGCGTTGTGGAATGGGGTCGGCGATCTCACCAACCGCTTTACCTTATGGAAAATAAACTCTGTAGACGGCTATCCTGACGGACCACCAGCAGAAGTCCCCGCGGCGGTAGAGGACGCAGCCCAGTTTCCCATTTTCCGCTGTCGCGACCTCCGCACAGGAGCCGTCATCACGCCTACAAAATTTGAATACCCTGATCTACTCCTGACGCAAACTATGTGCATCTACTACACCGCGCGTCTGATCTTATCATCGGTTGACACCCGGCCAACAGATCGAGTCGGACCCCTGGAGCAGTATCAACTCGCCTGCGGAATCTGCCGCAGCCTTGAGTGGTACATTCTCAAGTCCCCCGGTAATATGATCAACCGACTCGCGTTTCCTGTTCGTGTCGCTTGGGAAGCCTTTCCAGACGGTGGTCCTGAACGAAGATTCCTCTGGGAGGTCTTGAAGCTGGTGGAGAAACGTCACTCACTCGCCCTTTGGGGCAGCGGTATGGAGGAGCTCTCCGTGCGACATAATTCCCCTCCCAGAGCTACCCATTCCACGGTGGGCGCCTAGCGATCAGTGGAGCTCTTCGACAGGACAGCTCATAGGTAAGACCAATAGTTAGCTCAGATCAGGTTCGGGATTCTGGTTCAAAAGTTGGCATGTCTATAGTGACGTTTATATATCCGCCCGCAACGTCAGAACAGCTGGAATCTGAAATGACATGCGGTTGTCTTTACCTGATCTCAGTCGCTCATGGATTGTTTCACGCTTTTATGGTTGGGAATGAAGTTCCCATGTAGTATAGCCCGGAGGAGTCAAACATGCATCTAGCGGAATGGGTGAAAAACATTGGTGCTAACTGCCTTCAGGAGATGCTCCGATGAAACAGCCCCGAGAATGTTGGCGAGCACTCAACAGACTTCGTTGTATCTGCAACAACGGACTGTGGTCAGAGCGCTCCCCTCGTCAACACAGCCAACTACCGACCACATACATATTCTTCCGCATCGCAATCCAACCGGCCGAAAGACAACCCATTTCATGGACATCGGACTCTCGCCGCGACAAGGTCTAGGCACGGGCAGCGCGAACTCAATCTGGGCCCCTCCGGCATGCCGAGGACCTTGGCATGCTTATGGTCAAGATGATCTGTTCCATGGATAAGGCCTGCTAGGCTATTATGGCTGGGCTGGCTTGTTGGCTCTCAGGACATGTTACGGCTCAGCTCTTGCCAATCGCTTTTCTCCTCTTTGCGAAAGATCGACCCCTTGCCTGGATGCTGCCATTCAACGGTCTGCTGATCAGGGCAGAGCTTGGCAGATGCCGAGCTGGGAGCCGATGCTTCATGCACGATTGCTTGTCAAACTCCGGAGATGCTGCGAGCCGAGGATCTACTCCTGTCAGTGATGGCCTGATCGGACACGCTTATAGGCTTCTTGGAACATTTTCTGACGTCGGCAGTTCTGCGGCAAAACTGACTCCTCGGACTGCCTAAGATGAGCACGAGAATTACCCTTTTGATTAGGGTGCAACACACTAACTTGGCCTCTTCGGTCATCAAGCACCCAACCAAAGTCCACGGCCGTTTTCATCCCTGCCCCAACCCAATAAAAGCTGCAGAGGACCGAGCCCGGGAAAAAGGCGGGGGTCGTGCAGACCGACAAGTTACATGGGATGCAGCTGTGGCGGACTCGACGATCAAACCTTCTTTCCGCTCTACGGACATGCTCCGACCCCCACGTAATGGAGAAGAAGCATGCTGGCGCAACTGTTGGATAGGCTTGCAAGGGTCCGGTGTGTGAGTCTGAATAATTGGTTGAGTGAGTGGTCACCCGTGTCTCCGTGGCCCACCCCCGGGCTTTCTCCGCACCCTCAATACGACTTGTCTCCACTTACTGCGAGAAGACGACGTTGAGTCGCGCGGAACCAATTACAGTCAACGTTTGGACTCTGGTGGCGCGCCGCAGTGGCTCCTACCCCAGAGTCCGCCAGACCTGCTGAGCTGCTAGCTGCTCGAGAATGAAACCTGTTCGGGGAGGACGCGGTCATGCCGACGTTCCACGACCCATAGCTGTGCGACCTCAGGGTATATAAACTTGAGGAACCCGGACTCATTTGCGCCATTTATCCAATACCCTTCCATTGATTCTCATTCCACACAACATCTCACGATGGCCGACGACCCTGTCACCCTAAAGGCCAATATTGCCCATGATGAAGAGGTTGGCCATGTTGCCTCGCTCTCGCCGGAGGAGCTGGTGATTGAGAGGAAGCTCCGAAAGCGCATTGACGCGATCGTCATGCCGTTGGTAATTCTTGTCTATCTCATGAATTACATCGATAGGTATGCTTGGCTGCCAATATTTTAACTCTAGCTAACATATCAGGAACAACTATCCTGCAGCCAAACTGCAAGGCCTTCCAGAAGACCTCGGGTTGGTCGGCGATCAATACCAGATAGGCCTGTCGATTCTCTTTGTCGGTTATGTCCTCATGCAGGTCCCCTCCAACCTGCTCCTCAACTACATGGGCCGCCCGTCTTGGTATCTCGGCTTCTTTATCGTGGCTTGGGGCTTGGTTTCGGCGGTTACCAGCCAAGTCACAAACTACGGTGGAATCGTTGCCTGTCGCTTTATTCTCGGCTTGGTCGAAGCCCCCTTCTTTGCCGGTGTGCTGTTCTATCTCTCGAAGTGGTACACCAAGAAGGAGCTGGCTCTCCGCATGAGTATCTTCTACTCCGGCTCTCTTCTCAGCGGAGCCTTCGGAAATCTCATCGCAGCTGGTATCCTCGATGGCCTGGCGGGCGCCCGCGGCTTGTCCGCCTGGCAATGGCTATACATCATCGAAGGCTCCATTACCGTCTTCATCGGGCTAGTCGTCGCTGTCGTGCTCCCAGACTTCCCCGAGAACTGGCGCCTGCTCCCTGAGGAAATGAAGCACGTCGCCGTCAAGCGCCTTGCCATCGAAGCCGCTCAGGCGGACGTCGACGAAGCTGGTAAAGGCAGCCAGATCAAGGGTCTCAAAATGGCTTTTTCGGACGTCAAGACCTACGCGCTTGCCGTCGCGTACATGGCCATCACCGGTGCCAGCGGGTTCCAGAACTTCTTTCCATCCCTCACGGCCACGCTCGGCTACAACAAAACCATTTCCCTTCTCCTCGTCGCGCCTCCCTACATCTTTATGGTCGCCTACTCCCTGGCCCACTCGTACCTCTCCGACCGGTACCAATCGCGCTTCTGGTTCTTCGTCTACCCGATTCCAATCACGATCGTAGGCTTCGTCATCTTCATGACGACCGACGGCTTCGGACCCCGCTACTTCTCCTTCTTCCTCATGGTGTTCGTCTTCGCCCAGAACGGCACGGTATACTCTTGGGTTGCGGGTGCTATTCCCCGTCCGCCGGCCAAGCGTGCCGCCGCTTATGCATTCATCAACTCCGTCGGCAACTCTGCTAGCATCTGGACGCCTTTCACTTACCGCGACGCTGATTTACCATACTATCGTCCGGCAATGGGCGTTTGCATTGCGCTTCAGGCGATTGGCGGTATCATGGCGGTGTTCATGTACTTCCATCTGAAGTCGCTGAACAAGCGCCAGGAACGGTTCGAGGATGTGAGCGCGGTGCTGACGGAGAAAGACGAGAAGGTGCTGCAGAAGATTGCGGCGAGAGAGGGCATTGATGTCGCGGCTGCAAGGCAGCTGCAGAGCGGGTTCCGGTATGGACTGTGAGAGTATATAGCCGACAACCTTTTTTCTCTGCAATAGAATCAGATGTCCCTGCAACTTTTCACCTCAGTTTTAGCGTAGAAAGTACCTATCGCCGCCGAACAAAGCGACCTGATCACCATCGATCCTCTTATCGGAGGCAAATGCGGGGAAGAACCCGGGGAGGGCTCACTCGGACAGACGGAGGACTCTGCTCCGCATTCTTCAACGAATCCAATGTGCCCATGAGCTTATCCGCCTCTCGATTCGCTCTAGTTCGCCTCCAATACCCACTGCATCATCTCTGTGACGCCGCCGCATAAGGAAGGATACCCGATCGGTCACGTGCAGAAGAGACATCTCTATATATACTCTCCATCCCGATCTCCCAAATGCCCATGCTAAACCGCATTCATTAACTTAGCTATCGAGTCACCTATAGATACACTATCAGCAGGCAATTCATCTGTTCCATCTATATCCGTATCCACCGAAACCGCGTGTCCGCGCGAACAAGAATCAAGCCACCATGTCACTGAACGCCACCCGCCCGACCCTCCACCGCTCCCTCTCAAGCTCCCGCTCAAGCTCACGCCCCTTCTCAATCGCCATCCCAGCGCGTCTCGCAAACTCCCAGAATCCAAGGTCCCCGAAGCCCTGCGGGTATCTAGCTGAGTATGTTTCACCATTTTCTAGTCTCACGGAGTAGTGTTGTCTCCATTCTCCACCTCCACACCCCGCACTTCGCTCCCCTCCACTTCCGCGCGACCGCGTGGGCCTGCCTCGGCCACGATGTGTGACGTCATACCACCCATTCCCTCTTTACTCCTCTCATCTCTACTCTGCACTCCGGACTGTTTGGAAAGGCAGCGCTGACAACGAGCAGGAAAGGTCCATTTAAGTTTCAGCAGCGAGCGATTTCATATGAGGAGGTTGTGAGCCGGAGTCGGAGGGGTAGGACTGGCATAGCGATGGAGGCAGATGTCGCTTCGGAGTTGGCGATGTTGAGGAAGAGGAATCAGGAGCAGAAGGAGATGATTGCGGTGTTGCAGGGGACGATGTGAGTACTTTGACCTTTCGTTCTGCGACCGTGGCCTGGGTCGGTGGGATGGTTTATTGATGAGGGTATGAGGGTTTGCGTGGACATTGCTGATGATAATTGGGACTTAGTTCGGATCTCCTTGCTGGTGGGAAGATAGTTTAAGTTGCTTTTGAGTTCTTTTGGGGTTTTCTTCTCTTCTTTCAACCATTTTGAACCGATTTCTGTGATGACAGGTACTGGATTGGATAATAATGATTTATACATCTCCATCTAGCATTCACAGAGTCCCGTCAGTTTCTTGCTTTCAATCTCTCCTGCTGTGTTCTATGGCAGTCGACGCGCCCTTGCTTACTTGCATCTCGTTGCCCACCATTTGCTGGGTCGGTTGGTATGTAGTAGACGTCCAACGCAACAAACCGGGTCTACGCTGTATTATACGATGCTGTTGACTCTGTGACAAATAAGCCCCCTGAACCCATTCAGGTTTAGCAGCTTCAAGTCGGTCTGCAATGTGGCTGAGGCGTTGTTCACCTCGTAGCCGTAACCGTAGCGGGAGCCGTACAGTATCGCGTATGCGTATCCGCGAGGCCTCAGCCTCAGCTTCAGATCTATACATGCCCACCGGATCTACAGAATTTTCCAACAGAATATAAATAGGTAGATCGCGGCGGTCTTTCTGCCATGTTTACTGAACCACTGACACGCTAATCGAACCCGTCCACCCATTACCCTTGTACATACCCCTTCCTATGGACACTGAACCAGAACCATGGCCATCAACGACACAATCGACTTCGAGCTCTTCCGGTACTCCCCAAGCCAAGCAGCAGCCGGCCTATTCGCGGCTCTGTTTCTAGCCACAACAGCCGTCCACATCCACCAGCTCGTGAAATCCCGACCTCGAGCATGGTACTTCACCCCCTTCGTTATCGGAGGACTCTGTACGCACCCATCACTCCCTCCGCCCACCTCCTACCCCTTTCCCAATGTATCAAACTTACTCTAACGCCATCCCAGTCCAAATAACCGGCTACACCATCCGCATCCCCACGCACACCAACCCCGAGTCCGTCCCCCTCTTCGCCACCCAAGGCATCCTGATCCTCCTCGCGCCCCCGCTCTACGCAGCAACAATATACATGGTCCTGGGACGTCCCATCACGTTCCTGAACTCCGAGCATCTCTCCCTCATACCCGTAAAATGGACGACGAAGGTGTTTGTGACTGGTGATATCCTCGCTTTCCTAATGCAAGTCGCAGGCGCGGGGATCATGTCCGCTGGGTCCAACTCGGTGGATAGCTATAAAACAGGCGAGAACGTCACCGTCGCGGGACTGGGTGTGCAGCTGGCGTTTTTCGGCTTCTTCACGGTGACTTGTGTCGTGTTTCATCGTCGCATGCGGAGGAACTCCACCGCTACGGCGGGCGCGGAAGAGAAGCCAAACGGAACTCTCCGGGGACAGAGCTGGGAGAGTGTTCTGCTGGCCCTGTACACCGTCAGCGGGCTTATCCTTGTGCGGTCTGTCTTCCGGCTTGTCGAGTATATTCAGGGGAATGATGGGTATCTTATCAGTCATGAGGTGTTTATGTATGTGTTTGACGCGGCGTTGATGTTTCTGGTCATGGTTGTGATGAATGTGTGGCATCCGTCTGGGGTGCTTGGAGGAAGTTGGATGGGGAGGAAGGGGGATGCTGAGAGCTTGGAGCTGGACTCATCGTTGAGGGAGTTGCAGGCCCAGTCCCAGTCATAGGGCAGTCTCCAGTGGACGGAGGGGCGTGGTTGGTTGAGGGTTGGTTTATTGGTTGATATAGAGGTAAACAGGCATGGCTTTGGCGTTCGTTGGATGTTGATAGTCGGGGATATTCTATTGTACTTCAGTAAGACGATACTTGATGATGAGAAAGAGTGTTGTACAGACATTGAAACATGGTCGAGGTACAGAGATCTGCTTAGGACAATTCGCAGGTGATGATTTTGTCCCTTTATTTACCCTTCAATAGTTGGTGGTTTCCCACCAGCGCGGATTTCACAGGTCTTATTGAGTATTATGATCATATTTTATCATTTTTATTACTACATAGCTTTTATGTTCTTAGAAATACTATTCTTACAAATTTGCAGCTCTCAATACCAGACTTCCATTGGGCATGGCCAGCAATCAAGTCCTCGAGATGTGAATAGGAGCACTGAGGTACTGAAACTATTTGCGCTAGTTACCTGCCCATGCTTGTTAAAAATCAGCAGACTTCGTGCATGTGAATATTTAGAGGAGCAAAACATAATAAACCATCAAGAAACTGAAAATGACCAACAACTTTTCCACGTGCAAGGCTTGAGGGGCAAGGCGAGTTTGCATACCGGTAAGGTGGCCCGAGCCGATAATCAACCCAATAGCTCCAGGCCCAAAAGCAGATTCCTGAGAAGGCTCGATTCCGACTCGTCGCATGCCTATTGCTGGGGCAATAACCCAGAGTTTCAGGGGACGCTCGTCCACCCCTAACTTGACCCTCAAAGCTAGATCCAGATATTCTTCGTCGGCGAGATGAAACTCAGCAACCTCTCAATCATCCTAGCAAGTTCCATGTTCTGCTCTGGCTTATGGTCGATGATGTGCTGGATCTCCATTATCTCCGAGTTGCTGCAGTCTCCCTGCGACAGCGCGCTGGTCAAGCCTAGCCGGCTAAGCCCCTTGATTACCGGCTCCAGCATGTCCCGTAGCCGGCTGGCAGCGATATCACTGCGGCTGCAGAAGTCCAGCACCGTAAGCGAGCCATTGATATGGGTAAAGATGTCGGCGATGTTGTCGCTGTTTTCGGCGCCTACGATGAGTCTGATACAGTCATTGAGAAGGAGCACAACGCAGGCGTCGAAGACGGCACGACTATATGGACCTGTTAGTTCAGTCTTGATCTCTTGTATGTAGGTAGCGAAGCGTGGTGAGGGTGACGGACACGACTAGCCAGCAACGTGTTGATATCGCGGATCGCTCATAGAGGAGGGAGGCAGTGCGAACTATCTGGACCGCAAATTCCGCGTGGAACTTGGCAACGTGCTGTGGCACCTCGCTAAGCAGGGTCTTCAAGCGATCGGGGGTTGGCGCCAAGTCACTGTCGCAGGAGGCCTTGAGCAGTTGACCGTAGAGCTGGATCCGCGTGTCCATGTAAAGCATGTGCATGATATACAACGACTTCTCCTGGAGGACCCCGACCGAGACTTGGGTATTGCTGATTGCCGCAATATGTAAGTTGGCAGGGAGCTCTCGGTGCCAGATGTCCAATCGGGATAGTAGCTTCTCTGCACCGGTCCAGTAATCTTGGTTGTCTAGAGGTAGCTCATCACGCGTTTTGCAGGCTATCAGAGCCAGCTTTGTCATTTGTGTTTGAACCAGTCTTGTAGTGAGCACGTCGCTGCCCACCGAGCCGAGCTCCAGAGGGACGGTGTAGTGGACCTAGCCCATGCAGTTAGCACGTACATTTATGTCAAAGGTCAGAGAGAGCTAACCAGGTCCAGTTCACTCTCGCTCAAGCAACTCCGGTGTCCCAAGGAGTAAGACAGCCACCTATACAGTTTCAGCGCAGGCTAAGGCCGCGGTGCCTTTGAGAACATTACCCTTTTAAAAATACCAGGGTCTGAAGCGTTCTTTGATACTCATCGTTTTGATTTTGGACCCACATGGCCTTCTCCGAGTCTGCTTCCAATTTGCCCCTCGCAAGATTCAACGCCGAAACTGCGCACAGTTAAGAGGTCATCCAAGTTCAGGGTGGGTAGGCTTACTGATTAGCAGCTTTGCACTATAACTGGTATCCATGATAGAGCTCATCCACAGACAGATAAAAATCCGCATCCCCTGCATAGTACCCGCCTGCAATGTCTCATCCAAGCTGGTCGAAGCAAGATAAAAGTACGCTTCCCTGGCGTCATCAGGGATCTCCGGCCCCAGGTAGTGACTGCCGATAGTAGCAAGGGCGCAGAGCTCACAAGTATCCTCGGGTGACGCGTGGTAACTGTGGTACACTTTCTCCATCAACCGAGCGGCCTGTTTTTCCGTCGTCACATAAAAGGAAGTGGCCGCGCATTCAAAAAAGGCGTCGAGCGCAAGGCGGGTGATGTTCTCGTCGGGGAGCTTTCCGCCCCGGTACCCATGCTGACGGCCTTGCTGCCATTGGGCCTCCGGTGACCTGACCAGGGGATGCGAGGTTGCAGCATGAAGCATATGCCGTAGTTCTGACGTCTCTTCGTCCGGCATCTGAGTATTCCCGTCTGTAACGCTGGAGGGGTGTGAACTGCCCATGTGCTGGGTACTCCCATCATCCTGCGGGCTCTGCTGCACGGACTGCTGGAGGGAATTCTGTATCGCCTTGTCGCTACTGTTGCGACTCAGCTGTTCAACGAGATGCTCCAGATAGGCATTGCGGTCTTCCAGTGCTTGGATCTGAGATTTCAAGGCTTCCTTCTTCCGTCGATCAGCGCCCGAATAGGAGCATTCGATTTCTTGCTGATAGCAACTGGTGCAGGGATTTTCGCCATTGCACTGAACCTAGAGTCAGTGTCGACGAAAAGGAAAGAGGATGATGGAATACCTTTTTGCGCTGCGATCGGCAGGTGTCACATGCTCTGGAAGCCTTGGTCTTCCGTCCGACTTGGTGGGCCGGGTTGGCCCCGCCAAAGGAGGGGTCGCCTTTGGGGACTTTGGGCAACAGCAGCTGGTCCCCGCCCATGATCACCACGCTCGTTGCTTGATCGATGCGATGCGGAAGGTTCGCGATGACGATCGCCTGCTCGAGAGCGGTGTTTCCAGCGCAACCCTTCTCACCGGGCGTGCTATAAGTAATCTCCCGGGCGGAGTTCACACCATCGTGATGCTTGAGCAACCTGGACTGCGGAAATTGAATCCAAGACCTACCGTCACCTGCTGGCAGTTCCAGCCACGCGATCATCAGCTCTCAATCAGACGAGACGGTTGCCTTCGGATATACCCTCCGCCCGATATGTCCATATGATTGGCAGCTTGGATTGTGTTTGAGGCCGGGTCTCGTCGCACATGCCACGATAGAATCAGCAAGAAGCCTATGGTAGCCTTGGTAGGCGCTTGGAGCCAACCCGTGATTGACTGGTCGGCTTCGGCGCACTGAGCCAATGGCGCTTTTTAGATGGTCAATTGTAAGATTGAACTGTCGCCTTGTGGAACGCAGCCGATAGCGGCTATACAAGATTGCGAGGCGACCAAGTAGTTCCTGGATGGAAAGGACCGCACTAGGTGCACTGGCCCGTGGGGGATATGAGGACTTGAGGCAAGCTTAAGACAAGCTTTGATGCTCCACACTTCATCAGACTCACATACTGCGTGCAGTGGACAAACTTGGTCTCCGAGGACGCCATGCGAGTTAATGCCGTCTGATAAAGTAGATCGGCGTAGTCGGCTTCAATTTCCACCCCCGATGATTGATCCCAGATTGTGGCGCGGATCTAAAGGAGACATCGTCGACGCACTGGCTGACACTTTTACACTTGCAGGCTGCAGCAATGTCACCGGTTCCGGTCCCTTCTTCCTTCCTGCAGCTCCGACGAAAAGTGTTTTGCTTGCCGGGCCTTTCTTGCATTTGTCTGTGTCTGCGTACGTTTCCTCTGGCACTCCCTGCAAAGAATAGTCCCTAGCCCTTCTCTTCCCGCCAGCTGACAGTCAGATGCCTCTACTTGGCGCTTTTCCATCCTTTGACCCGGCACCCAGGGCGACCCCAACATAGGGCAAGGCCGTATTACCACCGAAGTAAACCCAGAGACGGCGGCTTTCGTTGTCGCAGGCTCAGACTCCACATCCAACTCCCTGGCCAGTACATCGCACTACTACTGGCTCCTCGGAGTGGTACCGCACAGTGACCACCGAGATGCGGGACACCTTCCCATCCCTGGACGAATCCAATCGGTTCCCAACTGAGCTCATGCAATAGTCTGCGCGCCTGCAAGGAAGAGTCCATGCGCCTTTCACCCCCGGCGGCAGTCGTCTGGTGGGTGGTCGACCAAAGCAGCGCCGTGATTGACGGGCACTATATCTCGCAAGGCTGAGGCCGGCCTTCCATATGCACCATCCATCATAACCCGAGATACTAGTCCAACCCGTTCACATTCGAACCAGTCAAGGCCTAATACGGATAGGAAGACAGAGTATCCGTACATGCCGTTCTCAATTGGCCCGCGCAGCTGCATTGGAAAGCCGTGAGCTACAGCCCAGATTATGCTTACCTTTGCACGCTTTGGCCAAATGACGGGGTTGAGACTGTGCCTAGGGCGTATGCCCTAAAGGACCGTGTGTGGGTAAAAAGAGGAGCCTCTGCTGTGCTTGATGCACCGGAATTGTAAGGCAATATTTGGTGCTTTGATACGGGGTTTGGTCGAAGACCTTACGTATTATACAATATATCTATATATATATTCGATGTGAGGAAACAAATGATGGCATAGGTTTACCGCTGTCACCGGCCATAAATAACAAGCATACCCTGGCATATACGCAGTGGTAAATCAGCAGGGGTTTACCGCGTCCGGAGAAGTCCCGCCGTGCCCAAGGGGTGGTCGTCCGGCATTTTTGGAAGAAATGATACAGTGCCTAATTGGACAGGGTGCCCACGGACCTCTACCGGCGAATCAGCTTCCTTCTTACGCGACTGATACGGTACCCACCACCATCCACAATCAATCCGTGCTTTGAAGTTGCCAACACAATTTAAAAAGATCATAGCCCGCCACAAGATGAGCTGGAACACTCTACCCGCCGAGCTCCAAACCCAAGTCTTCGCGCACCTCGCCAACATCGACCCCGAAGTCGAAAGGCACTATGAGGAATGCCCGCCACACATGGGAGAAAACCGTGCACCCGCGAGGAAAAGGCTGTGGGGGTACACCGTGAACTATTTCCTAGTATGCCGTGAGTTTAGTACAGCTGGAAGAAAAGGAAGAGCCTGAGAAGTCTACGCCCTGGACAAAGGACAAAGACTAGGCGACTAACCTCAGCGTACTCCAGAATCCTGGAGAACCGAGCTCCGAAAGGCCCTGGTGTGCGGGGAGGCGAGACAAGCACTCCTTCATTTCGGGCCAGAAGAACTGGCCCTGGAAGCACTGAGGACCTTTTACGAAGATCCGCGAAACAAGGACGTGGACATGGTGCCCAAATCCTTTGAGCTGGCGATGGCCACACAGCGCCCCCTAGTCTCCTGCATGGAGTACCTGATTGAGAATGGCGCGGCTGTCGCGGCGGCGATAAGCCCGGACTACCGCCTGCTGGTATCGTATACGGTCGAGAAGCAGAACATGGAAGCGACGAAGCTGCTCCTCGAGCACAAGGCGCCTGTCGAAGCCCGAGGCCGGCGCTGGGGCAGCGGCGACCCCTGCCAGAACACACCGCTGGGAATGGCAATCCTGCACGACCAGCTCGAGTTCGCGAAGGTCCTGATGGATGCAGGCGGTGATCCGGAAGCGCCGATTGACCACCCCGGCGGCATTGAGGACGCGGCGCAGCTGCTTGCGCGGAGGGAAGACACGGCGCTGTTGGATCTTATTTTGAACCACGAGGATGAGAATGTGCGGTTTCGGCTCCGCGGACGGAACGCCAGCTATCAGGAACATGGGCGGATGGAGTATATTGAGGAGGACGAGATGGTCTTTGGGCGTTGGGTGCAGCCGACTGGGCAGCCGCGGCATCCGCTCACTATTGCCATCAAGGCTGATAATGTGGAGGAGGCGAGGTTGCTTCTGGCGGCGGGGGGACGGTTGGACTTTATGCGTAGGGGGATTGCGGATGCGAAGAGCGAGGAGATGCGCGAGTTGCTGCGGTCTTATTGCTGAGCTGAGTTAGCCCTGCCAGACTAGGTAGCCTTGCTCGGCGGTTATACCGTAAAGCTGGCGACAGAATCTCGCACAGGAAACAAGGAGCAATCACCAAACAATTCTAAATGATGGCCCGGCATACTTTGTTCTGTCGAAACCAGTTTCAAAGCTCCTTGTATATCAAGGGTCCTGCCTGATGTTGGCTCAGAAATCGGTTCTGATAAACAGAATGAATGTTAGATCCACAGGCGCCTTAGGGAATTCGCGAGTATTGGGGCACGACCTTCAGAAGCATGATGCTTTATGACACATACTGAGAAACGAGCACGTCCGCTACAAAGCATTTAGTGAGACCTGCCCATCTCATCGCCCCGGTCACCATCTATCGCGCGCGGACGGTGGAGCGACATCGACATCCGCGTTCGTATACGACTCAACCTGGCTAAAGCTCCTCTCGACAACAATCCCACCCATCTCGAGTTCCGATGGATGCCCAGTATCTGTATATATGTAGCTTGTATTCGTTTCATTGTCCGTTGAGACCCCAAAATGCGGGGCTTTCTTCTGACGCGCAATTGGAAAATTCTCCAGCCTTGACCAGCTCCGCCAACCGGTCGGTGTTTGATGGCTCCTCTCAGACGAAGACTGACCCGTCGCCTTTCGGAACGCAGCCGATAGTGGTTTATACGAGATTGGGAGGTTTGCGCAGAGGATGCCACCGAGTGGTTCCCAGACGGAGAGAATTCCGAGGGGGACGCCGGCCCCTGGGGGAATTGTTAGGGTTTATCCATCCCGACCCTGCCGATGGTGGAAAGGGAAGTGACCTACAGGTGAAATCGTCTGAGCCTTGCGAGACAACAACAGAGAGGCGGACGGCACTGACGGTGCATGTTCTAGAGGGTTGGGTCAGTTTCTGGTTCGTTTTCGATTTCTGAGAGGCTGGTACATACGCCAGACCCACGGAGAAGAGCAAACTAAGCCCGATCTTCTTATTCCTGGAGACATGTAATCGCATGATAATGGGCAGCGGCAGGACAAAGATCCACAGATCTGTCACGAGGTTGGTGATGTTCGTGAAGTAGCTGAATGCGACTAGGTTGAAGCAATCCCCGTCCACGTCAGGGTCCCAAAACCGAAGGATCGGTCGGCATTGAAAACCAAGGACAAATTCCATTGTCGCGAGCCACAAGAAAACGAAAACGGCCGTTAGGATTACAACTCTGCGAAATACGGGCTTGGGGAAGACGCGGTAGTAGAGAGCGAGGACGGAGAGCTTGGTGCTGGCGATCGCGAAGTCATAGAAGTGGCTGAAGATGTAGTCGCCCTATTGATGTTGACATCAATCTGCAAGGTAGAGTTGCAGTGAGGATTACCATCATGAACGTCTTCAAGTCCTCTTTATCCACCGCACCGATGTGCCTCCCCATTCCGTACGGAGGGCCTAAATTCATGGTGTGTTAGATGTACATGCGCTAGTATAGGGTGAGTGATACTTACCGTAAACTAGCCCACTGATGCATAGTCCGATGCTCACAGCCTACAGTTACCCATCAGGAGTCTCCTGGGAGTTGGATGGTGACGGCGAATCGTACCGTGGCCCAGACCATGAGAAGGTCATCGAAGGCCAACCCATTTCTCCCCGGACGCAACTCAGCCCAAAGTCGCAAGCTTGTCGACAGAATCTCAAGAGGAATTGGGATTGAATAGCAGACGTTGAGGTCGAGGGTTTTCGACTGAGCCAGATACTCGGAGGTTGGGTCGGTCATCGGGGTGGCTGGCAGTGTTGGTGGCTGTATGGGCCGCACCGCGAAGGATCCATGGATGGAATGTGCATTGTGGAGCTTAAAGCAGTGGGTGGCTGGCTCTTATTTGGAGATAACTCACGTTGCAGCAGGTTCCAGGATAACTGGTCATCAGATGGGCTGCGTTCTTTGTTTGGCGGGATCTTACTAAATAAAATGTGTGTGTTCCTTGGGGGCCGGATTCCTTCCTCCCGCAACAGTCCAGTGCAACACTCACTTCCCAGTAGGATCATGCGTCTCCGACTCAGCTCGTTCATGCTGGCTGCAGTCAGCTTTATTCAGGCTGGATTTGCCGCCGAAGATCCAATCGTTGACCTTGGCTATGCCGCTTACCAGGGATACCATGACGCGACATTTGGGCTGAACGTCTGGAAGGGGTGAGAACACACGGAGTCCCGGAGTTTCCTGTTTGCTTTTCCCACCACTAACCTGATCCCTGCCTGCTAGGATCCGGTATGCCTCAGCACCCGTGGGAAACTTACGCTGGCAGAGCCCTCAGCCCGTCCGGGTCCAAGGTAGCATTGACCGAGTCATTCCTGCCGTTGATCAACCTCCTCTTTGCCCTCAGTCGGGAGCGGCCGGGACACCAACCTCCTACGGGTTCAATTCCGGGCCTGGAGACGAGGACTGCCTGTTCCTGAACGTCTATGCCGTGCCGGGAGCATCGGGCCTTCCCGTGCTGGTGTGGATTCATGGTGGTGGATACGCTCTGTTTGGCGCGACCTACGATCCGAGCGCGATGATGAATGCGAATAACAACAGATTCATCACTGTCGAGATCCAGTATCGCCTTAGCGCTTTTGGATTCCTTTCGTCTGAAGACGTCAAGAGCCATGGTCAACTTAATGCCGGGCTGCTCGACCAGCGCTTCGCTCTAGAATGGGTGCAGAAGCATATCAGCAAGTTTGGCGGGGATCCTGGTCGCGTCACGGTTGGAGGCGAGTCGGCAGGCGCAGGTTCCGTGATGTTGCAGGCTCTGGCGTATGGGGGCCGCGAGGATCATCTCTTCCAAAATGTAAGCATCCCCAGCCGCCCACGAAAGAACCGCAGCTGAACGTTTTAGATAATCGCGGCGAGCCCTTACTCTGCACCCATCTATAAATACAACGACCCAGAACCGACTGACCATTACGATCATTTCCTTGAGCTAGCTGGCTGCGGACAAGGCTCTGCGCGAAGACGACGCCATAAGACGACCTTCAACTGCTTGCTCAATGCTCCAACTGAGGCACTCCAGAATGCCAGCGGTGAAGTGTCAGCATCTGGCAACGTCTTTGGCAGCTTTGCCTTTCTGCCTGTTATTGACGGGGAGCTGCTGACTACCCGGCCATCCCAGCAACTGTTACACGGCCACGTAATGGTCAACGTATTCTTGTCGGGGTAAGCATGCTTTAACCGCATGAACCATGTGTATTCTCTGACTAGTTACAGAACAACGCCAACGATGGTGTCCCTCTGAGCGAACCCACGATCGCCAACCGTACTTCATTCAATGCTCACATCTCGCGAACTTTTCCCAACTTCACCGTCCGCGACATAGCAGCATTGAACCGTGTGTACCAGACCTCAGACACCTCTCCCGCAAACACCGCCTCGCGTTTCGACACCATCGGTGACGCGGGGCCTACCGCACTAAATCAATCCGAAATGGCGACAGGATTGCAGCAGACGGCCTTTAACGTGTTTGCCGAATCAACATTTGACTGTCCCGCGCAATGGCTGGCGGAGGCATATTCTCGTGGGAATCGCAAGGCATGGAAATACCAGTATTCGGCCACGCCAGCGTACCACGGCGCTGATTTGAGTGCGTACTTCTCCGCCGACTCCCCGAGTCCCGAGTTCAACCACGCGTTCCAAAAGATCTGGGGAAGCTTTATTATTAACAGCACACCCGTGATTCCCGGTTTGGACGCGACCGCCAATATGTCCAACGCCTCGGCGCCGGTCGACTGCCACGGAAATCTTTCCTGGCCCTCGTTTTCGGTGGAGGAGCCTTGGCAGATGGACCTGAATACAACTGGGGGCACGCTAAGCCTTCACGTCGAGACGGACCACTTGAAGTACTATCTAAGGGAGGGACCGGGAATAGTCAATGTTTTTAGGCTTGTGGATGCATATGATTGGGAAGGCAGGCGCGGCTATCGATGTGAATGGTGGAGGGGCATTTCTGGGCGGGTGCCTCTGTGACACTGGCCTCAGAAGATATGTTGTTGAACAGGAGATTCGTAGATAGACAGGTGATGCTCCGTACGTGGAGTACATAGAAAGAGGATGTGACACTGAAGGTGGAAGCCCATCTTCATCGATTGCATGTTGTCGTACCACGCCCGTTCGCACCAAAGAGCACAAAATAAATGCTAAGTAACAAACATATGCAATACCTTCCAAGAGCACAAAAGACAAGGCACGGCGGGAACAAGACTAGTCAACATCGGATATCTGGACATTGTCAATAGTCTGCCAATTGGACGGCAGTATTCCCCATGAGTTCATGCTAGAGGAACAATCAGTGAAAACGTGCAAATTGGATGTGGCTCCGGCCATGGTCCGAGTGTCCTAAGGCAGGAGCAAGGAGACCGTCTTATCCTCTCGTTTCTCTCCTTCGTCCCCTGATCCCCAGGTCTGTCATGACACGGCCCTGACAAGCATATCAGCGTCTCATGTGCAGTCATCAAAGGGAAAGCAATCGAACCGGAAAAGTCGCAACCACCTCCATCACCCGCTTCAACTCCAGCCTCAACTCTCGCGAATCAATGGGATCATAACCAAATACCTCGTTGTCTCCGTACTCCTTCCCTTTTGGAGAAACACCTATGGAAAAAATCGGATCTGCTTCATATCCTATGCGGAAACCGCGAAAGGTCTCACAAGCCGCGTCTAAGAGCACCTTTGTCATCCTCGGCCATTACAGTTGTGTTCTTGCAATATACGTCCCCAAGTACAGCGCTGCTGCCGTCCTTCCGAATCAGCTCCAGCCCGATAATCTGCGTTGGGAATTCCCCTGGACTCGAGTGCGTACAGCGACCGCTCCAGTATGGGCACCCCTTTAGCACCTGGGGCCCGGAGATTACAGAGATACCAATCTCCGCCAGGGATGGCATAACACTGAGCCTTTGCACCCTTTTCCCTGCCACAGCGCTATCTCTGTGATAATGCTGCAAGACCCTGCCTGCAAAGTCTAGAGGCCGCAGAGCCCCAGTCGACACTGAACTGGGACCTGAACTCTTCCTGAGTACGCAAGCTTCCGCGACCCATTGACTGACCTCTCAAACTCGCATCGCGAACTCCAACTTGTGGCTCTTTGCCAGAACCGACGAAGCCCGATATAACGACCTCCAATCTATTGCTCTGCCGGCTGCTGCTTTCACAGCCTGCAAGAATCCGCGCTCGCTCTTCTGCCAGAAGCGAGATTGCCAAAAGTGATTGTTGTGGAAGACAGGTGCCGTTGCGCGGGACAAATGGCGGAGGGGGAGGAAGTCGTGCGTGTGAAGAGACGATGATACTCTTTCGCGGAGTTCGGATGGGAGTCGCGCAAAGCAATCAGTCTTGTTGCGGTTTCTGCGCGGATTTGCAGTAGGACGAGGGGTACCAGGCAGGCGATTCGCCTTTCGGAGGAGACGGTTGAGCCAGGGCGCGCAGCATGGAGCCGAGTGTATGTCTTCGTCTGTCTCCTCGTCTTCAGGCTCAGCTTCACCTTCGTCATCATATTCAACATCACCCTCGATTTCCCCACTTTCACCATCTTCACATGTCTCCTCTTTCCCACACTCAATCTTATCTTCATCCAGCTTCTCACGGCGCGAGATGATGACCACTTCATTGAAGGAGAGGTGAGTTTTCAAACTAACAGCCAAGCCTCAAGGAACAGCTATACCTTTGAGAGGCTTCATCGACCTGAGAAGCCGATAGCTTGTCTTGAGAACCGGAACGCACGCGTTCTCTCCATTGTCGTCTTCGTCCTGATAGTCCTCGTCGTTTCCATCGTCCCCATCGCCGTCCGTGCATTCATCTTCATCTTCGTCTTCGTCTTCCTCATCGCCATCATATTACTCGTCAGACTCGTCTTCGCTGTTCCCTTCGTACTTTGCGTCGCCCAAATTCCGAGGTCGATAGGAGTTGACTACATCGTGAAAGAAACCATAAGCTCGTCGATCCAACAGCTGGCCCATGGACAACAACTACCCCATCGCTGCAGTTTTAACCACTCCAACAAAATCTATTCTCAATTTGGGCTTCGTCCCTGAAGGAAATCCGCGGCATTTTGCATATCTGGATTCCAGAGTATGGTAGAACACAATCCGTTGTCCAGATACACAGTTCTGATTGTGCACTGCCACGTCGCCGTGGCGTACTTGATCCCGCAAAGACATCCGCACAGCCTGCACTGGCTCGAGGGGTGTAAGCAAACTATCGACTCTGGTGACATTGCTGCGCAATAACTGGTGTCTCCCTTCTAGGAAGATGAGGAACGTCAGCAAGAAAGGATTGGTTATCTGCGTGACGTATCGAGACGGGACTGGGTTCCGGGCGGGCTTTGAGTAGAACCCAGCAATATGGTTGATCTGGACCGTGACCCTATACCGGCAAGGTCATGGACAATACCTTACGTTCCGACGTGGTGAGCGACGTGATTCCAGAGAATGCTTGGATGATCAACTTGATTCGATACGTCGCAGCCCGTATTGCCTATCCATTTTCCCAGTGTGGCTTCTGGAATGTGGGCAAGTTGCTCCTCCTAGTCGCAATTCAGCAAGTCTCTTCGGGGAGGCAAAGTTAGTGTCTTCTATGCCCCGTGTTTGGATCAAGACCGGTACAAAATGAGTAGGATGAGGGTGCCATCAGAACATGTTACTAGTTGAGGCTGGAATATATTCGTCTAACTTCCATGCTCTCGCTTATTATGCACTCTCGCCATGCAAGCTCTACGATATACCCAAGCGACCTGTTATATTTGCTCTGCTGCCCTTACCCCGATCGTCACCGTCGCCTTCGTGGGAGCAGCCGTCGGATCAAAGTCCTGATTCCCACTACCGCTACTATGACTCAGGCTTCCACTGCTACTACTCCGGCGCTCCTCATCCACCTCATTCGTAACATGGAACTGGCGGTGCGCCCAGATTTCCAGAGGTTGTTCACGATTGATATGCTCGCCAGATTCAGTACGGTCAATTGCTGAACGAATCTGCGACTTATCACCACGGAAGCGTGAGAGATGGATCGTGGAGCTGTCGAAGCGACTGGCGTATCTATTCCCGCTCTTGCTCCGGCTGCGGTTATACGACGAGTGCTGCAGGAACGACTTGAAGTTGAACAGCCGTCTGAACAGCGTCCAGGTCTGTGGGATGTTCGCAACAATCACCGCAGTTGCTGCTTCGCGAACATACCAGTCCAGCCATTTCATGCCGTATGGTTGCGAGATGGAGTAATATTTCGAGAGAATCGAGCAGAGGATGACAAAGGCGCCGAGGGAGAACAGCCCGCAGAGGGTAAGTTTCTTGCTGAGTGAGAGTTTCGCCTTGATGAGCAGCGGCAGCGGGATCGCCATGATCATCAGGTCCGTCGAGACGTTGAACGAGAGCGCGATGATCGCGTGGTTTGTGTAGACGGAGCATTGCTGCGATTTCGGCGGGTAGGACCAGTATGCGTGGAAGGGACGGCACCAGACGGCGAAGAAGAGGATCTCGATGAGGACGAAGGAGCCTGCACAAATTGCGCCAATGATTTTCACGATGCGATTCTGCCAAAGGCCGGACCTGCTCGATCGAACAAACAGATTAGTGGGTGGGAGTGGAATGAGGTTGGAATGGAATGCGACGCACGTCATGGTCGAGTATAGTAACAGCAGACATGCTTTACACCCCCAAACGACGAGCATCCAGAACTGCTCGACCGCAACGACCATCTTGCTACCTTTAATGCGGCCGGGTATGGTTGCAGGATCAACGGAGGCAAGTGCCTCTGGTGCGACCCCATTCGTGCCGTACTTGTCGACTTGGACGAGGAAGACGGTAAGAAGGATATAGAAGATCACTGTCACGCCCATAACCCCATCCTCGAGCTGAAGGTTGCGCAGGGCACCTGTCTGCAGGAGACGGGATATGTAGCGCAGGACCGCTGCCAATGCCACTCATCAGTCAGTTCTCAAGGCAATCGTGCCCGACCTCAAAAGACATACCAACAGCCAGCAGTACGGCCACCCAAATCCATTCTTCCACAGCACGCACCATATCGAATTGATCTCATGCACGCAAGAACGGGCGGACCAAATCAATATGCACGAGGGATGCAGGGACCAAGACCGACCGATCTCACCCCAGAAAAGTTGGCCAAGGAGGCCCCTTTTAGATCTTCTCCAACTCTCAAGAGATAACCATGTCAGACGAGCTGATATGTGTCTTCTGGAACGCAGCGCCACATCGGCGGGCCTACCAGATATAGATAGGCTTCGTGTCATGCCTTATCGGACACAAGCGATCGTTGGAACTCATTGGGTCGCGTGCCCGGGTCTCGGCTGTTCCTGACAGCGCGCGAGTCATGGCTTACCCCGAACACGTGGAAGGGGCGATATCGGGCCCTACCGGGGATTATCGTGGTTTCGAGATGATTGACAGACATCCTTGAGGCTGATGGGATATAAATCATCGGGGTAGCTGCCTCGGTCTTACTTTTCCTTCTACTATCGCTGACCACCTTCAAACTAGATCTAGTAGGTACGCAAGGACACCATGATATCTTCCTACACCCGACCCACATCCACCCTTGAGTCCCAGGGCTGACTCCATTCCCCCAGTCTCGTGCCCAGATCTGAATCATGACACCCCCAAACCAGCTACGTTTACCGAATTCGCTGAATCTGGCATAATTGGCGATGTCGTCCAACCAATTAAATCACAATCAATCTTGGCAGACAGCTATAATTGCTCGCATCCCGATTGCCGAAGATTGCCCGTTCCTTGCCCGGGCCAGCTCGGCATTCCCGGCCCCGCTGTCTCGAGATCCGGCTCCGGGCCCCAGTGTTTAAGGTTGACATTGGGGCTGAAGGGCGTGGTCGGGTCCGGGTCGAGACTCGACAGGCTGGACCGCCGATGTCGCGTGGGCTGGATTGCTCAAGGCTTTTTGTGTGTCATGCTTATTTGTAGGGGTGAGGTTGCGCCATAGGGCTGTTGATGAGCCTCAATATTTAGGCCGGTTGCTTTTCAGCTAGACGATATTGAGGTTGGAGACCAGTCGCTTACAGCGTATAGGAGGAGGATTTGATCCATTCAGAACGCCCCCTCGTGTCTCGCATAACGAGCCTGCAGGTTACTAACTATTGTAGCAATATCAACCTCCCAGGAACCGCTCAGAACTTCTAAACAACCCAAGTGCCAACCCTAGGCCCAAAGTACTCCCCCTCTTCCAACTTCAGCCTCGTACAAGCACTAGCCTCACACCCCCTCTCCGGCGAATTCCCAATCCAATCCACCTCCGCCCCATGATAACTAACCGCAAAGAAAATCACCACGGCGGCAATCGCAATGCCCGATGAAAATGCCGCTGACAGAACATAGTTATACTTGGACCAAAAGCCCAAATACCTCTTCCGCAAATACGTCCAGCTGATCCAACCCGGCAGCACCGCCGGCCACATATACCCGAGGTTATAAGGCGACCAGGCGTGGCCCCCGCTCAGGATCACGACGGGGTGGATCTTGGTGAGGAAGTGTGTTCTGGCCAGGTGGCGCGTGCTGTAGTAGTGGATTACAGGGATGGCAAGGCCAACGGGGAAAGCGGCGAGGAGGGCCGTGTACTGCGCGCCGGCACCGAAGACGCGCCGGGCGCCGAGGGATCCGAAGAGCACGGCGGCTGTGAAGTAGGATTGGAGATTCGGGCAGGTGAATTTGTCGCGCTGGTTGGCTTCGCACATGTCTGGGATGCGGGTGATTTGGAAGTTCATGACGCCTGTGCAGACGAGGGCGGAGACGATGGCTGGTCGAATAGAGTTAGATGGGGTAGGGGGTTGCCGGGTCTGGGATAGATGTTACGTACTCGCGACGACCTGGCACCAGAATGTCTGGCGCGGAGGGACTTTGAGGTAGTGCCCAAGCTTTAGGTCATTGGCGAAACTGAGGGCGTGGGCTGTTGTCACGTAGCCGAAGCCTTTGAAGAAGTTCATCTGGTGATTTGAGTATACAGTACAAGCATTTGGAAAGGGAAAGGGCACAAACCGCCAGAGCGTTGCCGGGCTGCCATGCGCCGCCGATAAACTCCGCTAGCACGTTATATTCGACTTCGATGCCCGTGGTGGCGTAGATGATGCCTGTTGGGATGGTGAAAATGATAGCCAGCGCGATGCCGAAGAAGACGACGCCCACGCTGGTGTTGGTGGGCCAGCCTGCTACTGCGGCTACTCCGAGTCCGATTGCGATGGCCTATACAGTTGGTGTAAGTATAGAGATGGCCTTGGGAGGGAAACGCAACTTACATTCAGAACAAGGTACCACCACTCCGGTGCCTCGCGATACTTCCTCATAAGCCGGCTGTGGATGTCTTTGAAGTCGGTTTGCCGGCCATCTTTCTTGAAGGTGTTGAATAGAGATCGGAAACCCAATGCTATATCTTTGCGGTGATGGAGCAGAGCATACGACACCACGGCACTGTAAACAGCGAAGAAGAAGATACTAGGACATGGTCAGCTGCGGTCGTAAAAGTCTTCCACTGGTGAGTCTCACTAGTAAACAACAGATGAAGCGGCAATGTACACCGGGCTGTAAGCCAGGTATTTCTCCGTATCAAGGAGGCCCTTGTCGTTGAGAATTGCCGAGACGTCGTACTGGGACCCGTTGTTGGTAAACATCGTGTTGGTATTGATGGGCAGGTATCCTGTGTGGTATGTGTTGGTCCAGTACAGCCCTATAAGAACGATTGCACCCAGCAAGACACCAATAAACATGTTGAAGGTGACGTGAAATGGAACAACTAGCGGGTCAACGTTGTGGGTGACAATATTCCAGTCGAAAGTTGGCAAAGGGTTGAAGCCAAGGCCCTTTTGCAGGCCCGTAACAGCAGTCAGCGTGAAGTTCTCTGGTGCAATCCAGGCAAGCCAGTTGAAGAGCGAGACGGCGGTGACGATATAGTCAGGGAACCAGAACCAGACAAACATGGATGCAAAGGCGATTAGGAAGAACTTGTAGCGCGACATGTTGTAGAGCCTTTTGAATGGACCTGGAACAGCCTCACTTTGATCTGAAAGCCTGCGTTAGAAGGTTGTTGGTCCCAGCGTAAGGGCCACAAGCAGAGCGTACCTTCGTGAAGAGACTGGTTCAACGCTACAGTGACCAGCGAACGGGGCCAGATACAAAACGATGGATAAACGAGGAATCGCCGAGCCAGGCCAGCAAGTCCATACCCCATGAGATTCATGGAGAGCTGCGCGAGGTGAGTTTTACTGCAATCACAAGGGATAATAAGATGGGGGCAGGGTGGTACATACCGAAACGCAGACCTGGAATCCAAACGATCCCGCAAATGGCATATTGAAGTATTTCTTCATCCACGTCGTGAAAATAATGTAGCGCGAGTGCGGCAGACCCGACGCCACATTGGCCATGATAGAGATCAACATATGCTCCTTTTGCGTGAACTTTCCGGGGTTCAGCTTGAACGTTGAGCCAAGCAGGGCAAATTCACCAGTGGGCAGCCACTTCTCCCAGGCCTTACCCAGTGGGTATGATAAAAGCTGCACGACTGCACCTTCGATTCTGATTGCAGGCTGACGGACGGAAAAGAGCTGGTTGACGAAGCTCAGCAAGACGACGAAAAGAAGGCCGATCGTCCAAGCGCGGATCGTGCCTGCAGATGTGGACTCATCGTCCTTGTTGCTGACGACCGCGCGCACTTCCGCATAGGGCGAGTTCTCAGTCAATAGGGAAATTTCGACTTTGATTTCGGAGATGAGTTCGGCGTGCGCATCGGGGTTCTGGGATAGATGTGGGTGGTTGATGAAGGCTTGTAGGCGCACGATGGATTCGCGGTTGAAGTTGGGGTCGTGCTCGTGGAAGTCGAGGATATGAGTCGCGCGCTGGATAGTGGTTAATTTTTTGATGCAGTCTTTTGAATGCAGGCAATTACTTACTTTGGCAGCTTCTGCTAGGTCGATGGTTTTGCTGTGCTCCTCCGCCTCGAGATATTCCTGTGGACTGCAACCCAGAAGCCTTGCTGTGTCCTGGAGCTGGTCTCCGGCGTACTGGGCCTTCTCATCTACAACGTCAATGACGTTGACCTTCTCATCCACAGCCACCATTCTGACTGGTTTATATGCAATTGTTTGTGCACCCTGATCGATTTTAGCAATGGCGGTTTTGGATTCTTTTATACCTAGAGCCTGTAGACTGGTGGCAGGACTCCGTTGGGAGATAAGACGTGATTCTATTCTTGAATAACGTTGGCGGGACTTAACCTCTTGGCTGTTCAGTTAGCACGCCAGTAGATTTGTCTTAGTGGAGCAGCTATCTCCAACTGTTGGGGGTGGGGACTTGAAAACCGGCCCTATTCCAGACGGACTGTATCCTACGATGATAACGCAAGAACTGCCCGGCATCGCGACGTTGCTGTTGAGAGAGAGTGCAGCCGCTAGTCGTTTGGACCTTCCCTGACTCCCGTTTCGCGCACAACCAAGTGCCATATCCGCTCCCTTCCACAATACATTGTGGCCTGCGCTGATCATCTACATGGTAGACGCTAGAGAGATAAGCATGCGGGCGACTCAGCACTCTAATCTCCATGAAAGTGGCGTACGATTCTGGGCTTTGGGGTTTATCTTACTGGAAATTGCGGTCCAAAACTCTGATCCAGAGGTGCTGTGCCGAATAGCATCCCCATAAGGACTGGCGAACTTAATACTGCTACCACTCTTACCATTGAGCTTACGCCCAAAAGCAAGAGTGGTCGCAGGCTTGCCGCTGTGCAACCTAAAGGACTGGCAAGAGTTGAACAAACCTGTCTACCGCTATGCACGACGGCCGTTAACGTCCGAGGGCTGGTAAGAGGCGCCGTCGTTTGCACCATTGGTCTTCAATGCGCTGACGATCTTGGTACTCCCACCGCTTCCCCAGTTAGAGGCCCGGTCCGTTGTGCAACTCGTAGTTATGCAGTCGGTAAGTGTTTTCTACAAGGCTGGACGGGGAGGTTGCGCCGCGCCGCGCCTTTGCACGACGGCTCTTGAGGTCCGAAGGCTGGTAGGGGGTTGCCGCCACTTTGCACCTTGTCTCTTGGAAAAGTCAAGGGCCGAGCGAGCTTGATACTTCAACTGCTTGCGCCGTAGAAGGCTCGTCGTTTGTAGTAGCCAGCTGCCGCTGTGCACCAGTGGCTCGTTAGAACCAAAGGGCTAACTAGCTAGAATACCTGCTTACCTTGCACGACAGCTGCAGGAATACAGCTGAAGGCTAGTAGCAGGGGGCTGCCGCTTTGCACGAGTGGTTCTGTCAGACGTTTACCACTGACTGGTTCTGTCGAGATGTTTACCACGGGGCTGACAGCCGTTCATACCCGCTTAACGCTGTGCACAACTGATCTTGAGGTCAGAGGGCTGGGTAAGGGGCGTCGCCGTTTGCACAAATGGGGAGATATTCGACACATCACTAAGGGCCATTCCTGCGCAAGAATGAGAACCTGTGGACGCAAGTGCGTGGGAGACTTACCCAATTCACTGACAACTCCAGTCACGTAAGAGGATGGAAAGATGAAGGGAAGAAGTTGCGATGGAGCTCATCGAAGACTATTGACTATAAGCCCGGTTCGGACGGATGATATCTTAACTTCGGAAAGCTTCCCTCGGTGACTGTCGTAATGGATACGACTGTGTAAAGGGTTATGAAATTGCTATAATAGCTAGGTATGAAGATGCCAATCTTGCGCTCTGAAGAGAAATGGGCTCGGGTGCAGATGGCTGGCTTCGCTCACCGAAAAAGGCAGGACCCCCTTCTCCGCGGAGTAACTAACCAGATCAAGCAAGGCGCTCCGCGGACTTGGTCCCAGCCTGACTTGCCTGTTCTCTCCTCATCTCCTCACCACTCTCTCGACACCCTCGCATCATGGACCGCAAACGAACCAAGGTCCCCGCGGGCATGATCCACCGCTGGGGCAGAACGCCAGTGTCCTGCCATTTGTGTCGTGCGAAGAAGTTGCGGTGCGACCGTGCCCATCCGTGCTCAAATTGCGTTCAGCGGAAAGTCAACTGCGTCTACTCCGGTCAGGGAGGCTTTCAGTCCGGGCGCTCGACCACCCCGATCGTGAAGCTCACTGGCCATCGGCAGGCTGTATCCACCTCTATGTGAGTGGATCACACTCCGGTTCTACTGTACATGTCTACTGACAAGGACATTGCGCAGCGTCGAAAACAATGAAAATGCCCTACAAGACCGTGTTCGGCGATTGGAGGAAATAATCATGCAAGGAGGAAACCAGGTTCCGCAGGTGCTCAGCACAGAAGGCCCTCCACGCGCAACGGGAGTCTTGGATGAAGACGGACGGCCAGGTTGGAGAAGCGGCCACCCTCTCTGCTCTGCTTGGACTACTACTAAGAGCCCAGCGCAGATCTGAGAAGCAACAGCTCAAGTCAGCTGATCCCATTAGATACATGCCTTAGGACGGTATGTCAAATTGTTGAAGTTCACCACTGTCTCCTAACATCGTTCCAGAGGTCCGGACGTGACGAAGACAGACTCCTCCAATTTGGCACACCTATTCCTGCTAATTCTCCGCTCGCAACTCTCTTGGATCTTAACGTGCCATTGCTTACAAAGTTCCTCCCTTCACTGGAGCAAGCAACGGATTTGTTCAACCACTTTGCTCGCTGTCTGCAGCCAACATTCGGCGTACTTCATATTCCATCCACAAGGACTTTGATGCAACAATTATACCAGGTGCTGCTGGATGGAGATGAGCCGGACCTGGCTAGTTTGGCCCTGGTCTACGCAATTTTTGCTGGAGCAGCACTGGCGTGGACCACTGAGTTCCTCGAGGCACTCCATGCTACCCCGGCAGAGGCGAAAACGGCCTTCTCAACCTACAGCCGGGTAGCCTTGCTGATCCTTGATGACCACCAGCAGGCCCTGCCCTTATCAACGATTGCGCTTGAAGCCCTGTGCACTCTCGGGTATGTCTTGACTCATACCGATGGCTTCTCGCATAAACTCCAGACGTTGCGGATTCGCCAACTTTTGATGGCCCGAGCATTGCAAATTCATCGCCTGGACTCGGCGAAATGCATTGAGGAACGAAGGCTAAAAGGCTGCAATCTCATTGAAACTGAGGTAAAACGTCGGATTTGGTGGCACATGGTTGCATCAGACTGGTAAGACGCGGTCTTTCCGTACGTGACGCCCTCTAACCACCACAGGATTTTCGCGTTATCCAGCGGCCCACAAGAAGGGACCTATCTTCTGCAACCGAAGCACATGAACGTGAACCGTCCAAGCAACGTTGACGACGAATTCGTTTCAGCCCCGGGAGCACAACACGGCTTTCCCCTCACTATCCCAACGTCCATGTCCGCATTTCTCTACCGCGTCCATCTCGCCGAGCTGTGCAGGGAAATTGTCGACGTACTCCCACCAGGACTTTTCGAGTCACCCGAAACTTGGTACAAGGAAGTTGACTACAACATTATCCTGGACCTCGACAAACGCATCCAGAGTACCTTAGCCAACCTCCCCATTTACTTCAAGCTCGACCCAGCCAGCATCCAACAAAGCCTATCTATCTGCCATCAGCGCCCTTACATTGCCTACCAACGCACCTTTCTTCATTTCGGCATCAATACGCGCATCTGCCGCCTCCATAGGCCGTTCCATCTGGAGGGCTTTGGAAACCCACAATATGCCTATTCCAGATCAATGTGCGTCCGCTCTGCAGAGACAGTCCTCAGCCTTCGCCAGTCTCTAGACGACGTTGGCGCTCTTATCAATCTTAACCCATCGCGCTTCTGGGTAGTCGTTCAGCATGTTTACCACGCTGCCATCATTCTAGCAACAGAGGTCTCATTGAATCCTCAATCTCCAGAAGCCGCTGCGCGAAAGGAGGAGGTACTTGCTGCATGTAGAATGCTGGAACGCTCAAAGCATGAATCAGCGGCCCTGAAGAAAGCGATTCAGAAGAACACACAGACCCTGCGCATGATCCTTCAAAACCAGGCGCCCGTGTCTAAAATCGGGCCAATGGCCACAAAGAATTGCGGCAACTCCCGTTTACCGGACACGGGCGGACAGCCAAATCTCTCCAGCAACATCGACAGCCTATACATAGTCAATCCATCAGTCCCCGCAGTCTCTACCTTCACAGGGACTGAGCAGGAAGTATATGTTCCAGGAGCTTCCGAGTGGCCTGACACCTTTCAGGATCAATCATTCGACGATGATACGTGGGGCAAGCTTTGGTCCGACGTGTTTGATGTCGGCCTAGAACTAGATGTACCTGATTGGAACTCTATCCTGGGAGACTTGTATTTGACAGGGAGCACTGCGGGCGCTTGAAAATCCACTCGCAACATCTTGCTGCGTCGGGATTGCAGGAGGTCGGAACTAGCTTTATGGACATTAAGCCTACTGCACCGGGAATCGCAAGCCAGTAGCTGGAGCCAACATCTTGCGTTCAACTTGTCCACGACTCATCATCGCTTTTAGTTGGGGTCGGGATCAATGTCCGTGAAGTCATTAAAATCTTTTCTTCGACTTTAGCGGCAAACATCAACCTTCGACCAGGTAACCAACTAGTCGAGTTGATATATACCTAGAGCTCCCAGCGACGAAATCACTACATCAAGCCAAATACGTCTCCTCGCCTCGCTCGACACCATCCCGGCTCACACTCACGCGAATGTGGCAAAGACCTATATTCCACCTTGGTTTATGTGCAAGGATCCGACAACAGAGCGGATCTCGACATCGATAATGCCAGAGAACGACTCGTCCATCTCCTTCCTACAAGACCTCAACCTTCTAAGCAAAAGCTTCCAGGCCGCACGCAACGCCGTCCCCCTATGCGCAACCTGCCACAGAGGATTCACAAGCCCCCTCGACCCCGGCCTGATCTTCTACCCCAAGAACCTAGAATTATTTATTCAATTCGAGCTTTATACCCGCTCTCAACGGAAACGTGCCGAATCCAGCAGCGGACAAACCCCACTCAAACAGCGCGCACCAACAGCAACCCAGTACGCAACTTACCAAAACAGACCGCGTGGCTTGGGCATGTATACTCGTGTCGTCCTGAAGGGAGATGAAGATTCGGGTCCGGAGGTTCTGTCCGCGAGGGCGTGGGGTGGCGAGCCCCTAGCAGCGATCCGACGCGCTATCGCTGTCCTTGGGAGTCCGCTATATATGGCGTTGCCGGAGAAAGATATACTGCGGGATCTTTATCTTGGAGGTGTGAATGGTGATGCTACGGCGGAGGAGGTTGGCTTTGAGTATGGGGGTTTTGGCGACAATGAGTTTTTTGGGCTTAGGGCTATTTTGGCTGGCTAGGGAACTTGCAAGCAATTTTGGACTGGAGGTGCTTGATGGAGAAGAGAGGATAAAATAACGCCCGGAAATTGAGGAGGTGGACCGATTTGAGAATTTAAGGTGCATACAGGCTTCATATTCTTGTGAGCATGGTTTGTGAAAGGGACTAGGAAAGTGTGCCAGGCTACCTCCCTTGCTGATCCCTTAGACATAAAAATAACGTGCTCAAAGAAATAGGCGGAATTAAATACATTGGTAGCCTGGCAATGATGATTTCATGATATATTAGATGAATCACAAGGAGGGCCGCTGTCGCTAAAAGCCTATGCTTCACATGATTGTTTCGCGCAATACACCTATCAGGGCGTTTACTTTGATTGGGCTGGACAGTTGGAGACTCAAATCTCGCGATGTAGCCCAGCTTCGGTGATCAAGTCCGCGGACAACATTTCCCAATAGGGTAATCCTCCCGCGGAGCCGGAGACGGCCTGTAGTATAAAGCCCACGCACAGATATACACAAAAGAATCATTTCCCTGTCCCGTAACATATCACGATGTCTTCTTCACGCAAGGTATGTCTTATGTCCTTCTCCAGCGCTTTTCCCTGGACTCTCTAAGATCAGCAGGCAATCATCATCGGCGCCGGGCCAGCGGGACTCTCCGCCGCGCTCCGCTTGCATCAAACAACAAACATTAAGCCCGTGATATATGAGCTGCGACCAGAACCCACGACCTTAGGAGGTGCAATAGGAATTCCTTCCAATGGCCTTCGACTCCTCGACCGGCTTGGTGTATACGATGCCTTGCTGAAACGAGGCAGCAGCCACAGTGGTTTCGCTATGTATTCCCTGACCAGAGGTAGGCTGGGTGGTCTGGAAGACTTTGTGGCTCACGCACGTGCAGAGACGGGGTACGGGTACATGCGAGTCAAGAGGGTGGATGTGGTGGATGTCCTGCTTGACGCTGTACAGAAAGCCGAGATCCCCGTTTACTTCGGGCGCAAGCTCGTTGGCGTTCTTGATGGGGAGGACAAAGTTGGGGTGTCTGCTCAGTTCGAGGACGGCTCGACTGACAACGCCGACATTTTGCTCGGGTGCGATGGGATACACTCGGCTGTGCGGCGTATGTATGTCGATCCCGACCAGAAGCCAGAGTACTCTGGTTTGTCCGGGATGTTCTCTATCATCCCCGCATCACGACTATCGGAGTCAGCAACACGTCAAATGACAGGGTTGAGTGTGACCCTCACCGAGCAAGGAATCTTCATGGCGGCGCCCTGTACGGCCGGAAAAGACGAGATATACTGGGGCTTCCAGCGCGAAATACCGGTGCCCGACACACAGCACAGTCGTGATGGATGGGAGGTCCGTGGACGTCAAGAGGTGGATGGCTTCAGGGATAATCTGCATGAGACCCTTGCAAATGGTCAGGGAGACTGGATCGACACGCTGAGACAGCTTGTCGATGCAACCAACGTCATTAAGCTGTATCCAATCTACCGGCTACCACTCGGCGGGACGTGGTCGCGTGGTCGCTGTCTGTTGCTCGGAGATGCCGCGCATGCCACCCAACCACATGCAGGTCAGGGCGTTTCTCTGGCTCTCGAGGATGTGTTCCTCATATGCCGTTTGCTGGCCGATCCAACTCGGAGTATAGAAGAGGCGTACGCATCGTTTCACCGTATTAGGAGTCCTCGGGTGGCTGAGATCCATCAGACCGCGGCGCGAAATGGAGCTGTTCGAAAGAACGCTGGACCCTTTGGCCAGTGGTTGAAGGAAACGGCTCTCTGGCTCGCTCTTTCTGTGCCCTCGGGTCTGGGAATTGGGGATCGGCTGCTGGGCCAGAAGCACAGCACTTATGACATTGAGGAGGAGGAAATATTAAATATTTCGCACGGTTCTTTCTAGATATGCCATGGCCACCGGCGGTGATGAGATGCGGTTTCGCCATCGTGGCGGAGAAGGCAGGGTTTCCAAGGCATTGATCAGTGAAAGTTTGAGAAACGTTGGGAACAAAATTTCTGTACATCAAGTCAGTAGCTTGCGGGTGGAGTCCAGAGGACTTCTTGAAGGGAACATTGCAGAGATCTCAATTCATCGATTTCATTCACACAAGAGAGAATGGAGACACCAATATCTCAATGACAAACTATGGATGTAATACAGACGCAGTCACATAGAATGCATCATGAGCGCTTGCATGGAAATCATAGAGGCAATATCCTAGGAAGACTTTGAGCCGTCTTGTTAGGGCACACGACCAAGATTTATCGTGAGCCCGGTTACACAGACAGCATGGATGATATCACTTTCAGTAAGTTCTCCGCCAGCTCTCTGTATCCCTCCATCAAGTCATCGGGCAGTTCCTCACTCAATGGCAGGTCCAGCAACCGATCCTGCTGCCCGAAGGCTTCTGCGCACTGCCAAGCATGACTCTTCCCCGGCGTAACTTCAAACACAACATCAGCTCCGTCGGCCTTAGCCTGCTCCACAAAATCCTCAATGTCGAATCGGAAGACAAGCTCATCAGCGCCGGCTGTAATCCACGAACGAGGGGGGAGTATGTCTGCCCATGATCCGCGGGCCTCCCGGCCAATGGCAAAATTGCCGTAGAGCAGGTCGTTCTTGGGAGTAGCGTCGCGCAGAATCCACTTGCAATATGTGTCAAGCGAGCGCTTGAATAGTCTCTCTTCCCAGTGGAGCTCTAAGACGCGGGGGTGCGACGTGTGCAGGTTAATCCATGGACTTACCAGGACGGCGGCCGCTGGGCGCAAATCCTTGGAATCCGCTTCTAGGATTGGGTTTTGACTTCGTTTCTCATAGATTCCAACGAGGAGTGATAATATGAGATGCGCCCCAGCTGACTCGCCAAGAACAACAATCCTTGACGGATCAACGCCCATGTCTCCGCAAAGCCAATCATAAGCTGCCATCGCCTCGTCACGCTGCTTTGGGAACGCCCCTCTAGGGGTCAGAGTATAGTCCAGCGAGAAAATTGCCGTGGTGATTTTGTGTCTTTCGAGGATCTCGGCGAGTAGGACGTGCTCCGGGGCACTGACGCATGGATGGCCCACAGCATATCCACCACCATGGACGTGGAAGAGCACGATATCTACATTGCGAGGCTCGATGGCCTTCTTAAACAAACCACGACATATCCAATTACCGTTGAACTTGGGCTTCCGAACCGGCTCAAAAAGGTGTTGGATATGTCCGTACCGTACGGATTGCTTGAGGTTCGTCCCGCTTGTATCGGAGGCTGAGTACCATTGTATAACGGACAGTGGAATGTGGTTCCCTAGGCTGCTCAGAAGTCAGATCTATATAGGACGAGAGCCTAGTATTTAGCGACATACCAGGTCATCACATGCCGGAACAGGTGCTCTCGCAGAGGTGGAGGCTTGTACCTGTTCCAGGGCCACCAACGACGGATCAGCGTCGATCCGGCGACCCATGGTACTCGAAAGCATAGCGTAAAGCCTGTTTGGATCAGATCTATGAACGTAATCGGAAGTGCTGGGTTTGGCTCAAGAATTAGCCCCATTGTGTTGAGGACGTGGTCGAGGTGAAGAAGCAGCAATCAAGTGCGGGGAGTGTTGTTTTTGACGCATCTTGAAACAGCCTAAGTCACAGTTGGTTTGCTTCAATTTAACCGATGGATTCTGATTGCCTGGCGGCCAGCACAGGGAAATAGTTGCAGCAATGTTGACGGATCTTGAGAATGTCAGTAAAGAGAAAAGCATAAAAGTGATCGTCACTTGAATGTTAGAACTTAAGCTCAGACCTGGCCTCGGCCGGGGATCGCAAGAGATTCCGTTTGGGGGGTTGGGCCAGTTGATCTCCGAAGAGTTCCGGTGGGTCCGAGGTCGAAATATATAAGTAGAGGGCCCCAGCCGCACGTCAGAAATAGGAGTAAGCATTCCCAGTTGCTCACAACTGACCATGGCCACGAAACTCACTCTCCCCCTGCTCAGTCTCTTAGTCTTCTACACCATCTTCTATACCTTTGAGATCAATGGCGCCAGCAAGCTGGTGAAAGAGACCGTTGCGACCGGAAAGCTCCCTGCTAGCGATGCATCTCTGCGCCAGACCTACACGGGAATCGCGCCTCTTGATCGTCTTCTTACAATCCTGGTCATCTTCTTCTGGCCTCTCACCGATGGGAGCAATCTCTCTCTGGTGATTCATTCGATTGGCTTTTCAGGGACATTCGGTTCGGCCTGGGTCCTTATAACTCTAGAATCATGGAGGAGAGGAAACGCCTGGAAACTTGTGGCATTTCCGATGGTGTTCGGCTTGGTCGCACAAGCGATGACAATTGCTTTTGCTGCCCCTCTCTATTTCGCAGTCCAGCTGTTCAGCTCGGCCACGGCGGTCATACCAACAGCAGAGAACGTCCGCGTGCCAAGGGCAGTTCTCAAGGCCATTCCGTTGGTCTTCGTGGTTGGATACATGGTGCCCACTGGCCTCATGCTTATCCCAGTGTCCGACAATGTCACCCCGGACTTGAAGCAAGTTCTCATTGCCCTGTGGCAGCCGTGGCCTGCTTACGTCTCGATTCTGCTGACTTTCGCCCACCTCGCGTTCTCACCATTTACTGCCAATGATAGCACCCTTGAGGGCAGTCGTGCGACCCTGCGTTCGCTCCGATGGGTTTACGCGTTCGCTTTTGCCAACACCGCGCTGACTCATATCATTTCATGGGTTATTCCCCTCACGACCGTTGCCGTACCCTGGATTTTCAAGGAAGAATTTCTGCAACCACTCCATCCGCTCGTTGTGTTCGACATTCCGAAGCCGTGGGGAGCGCCCGTCCTCGTGGAAGATGTTGGCGCTGGCGTGCATGCATTCCTTCGCTGGGACTATATCATTAGCTCGACTGCTACTTTGATCTGGGCTTTGAGCTTGTACAGAGCTGCTCACCGTGTTGTTTACGGGCGGGTTCGACCGGGATGCGTTGTATTGCTTGCCAAGATAGCTGCGTTGACAGCTTTGACTGGGCCGGTCGGAGCAGCTGTCGAACTACTTTGGGAAAGGGATGAGCTGGTGTTCAATGAGCTTGGAGGATCAAAAAGGACAGCCCCGGCGGAGAAGAAGGTTGCCTAGATGTGACGATTGGTCTTGGATAACTCGAAGAGGATGTATTTGTTCTCCGAAGAAACGCTGGTCAGATCCCGCAAGTTGCATACAAGTGTTAGTCAGCAGTGCCTAAAGTCAAATTATGCAGCCAGGTTATGCAGTTACCTTCTGAGAGTAAACTCAATGGAACTTCAGTAACACCTCCATGGATCTTCTTCACTTTACCTTCAGTTAAATCTCCCTTAGCCTCACCTCCTACAGAACAGCAGCAGTTAGGCCTTGACTACTTCCTCTCTGCCCTTCCACAACCCCAGAAACGACTCCGCTCGAGTCTCGTCTTGACTCGCAATGTCAAGGAAAGCCGAGATCAGTTCTCTCAACGCCAGGCTCAAAGCGATCGAGGAAAACGACTTAAGGAGGCGTGAGGAGAACGATCGAATAAGGAGAGAGGAGATCTATGAGCTGCTCGGTCAACTGCACATTCTACTTGATGACAGCGAGAACAAACCCGAGAAGTGTGATTTGAAGGATGAGGTGCCGACTAAACACAAACAACTGTCAAACTCCGATGTATGGAACATAGCTGCTGTTGTTGGGTAACTCTCTGACAGCAATTCCGTAGGACTTAGACCTAGGAGATGTTCTCAGGTCGGTAACCGCACAAGATTCTGTCTCCTCTCGCAAAGCGCCCAGAATATGCAGGTTTTATAAAGTGGTAACGTACCTCAAGTTCCATTGTTCCTCAGATGCTAATGCGGCCTCGACCAGGGTAATTGTCGGTTTGGTTCCGGGTGTCGCAATATCCATACAATGCCCCTCCGCGAGATCTCTAGTGCCTCAAGCTACTACACGTCCCAAGCGAGATCTACAATCACAAAACAAACTTCCACAAGCGTCCCACGCGAACACAATTTTGCTGCCTTGTTGCCCACAAAAGACCCCAGACTCCGAGATTCCATTCCAGTAAACAAGTACGGAGAGCGTGTTGATCCTTATGTGGAGAAGCCTGCAGAAGCTATATGGGAGCCGTACATCCGACAAGTCAAACGAATCAGACTTTGCAACGCTTACTATTTGACTGGAAGGTGCACCGCTAAAGAATGTAACTACTATCACGGACGGCTAAAGTTCGATCCCGTGGACGCGATCAGGTACCAGCTCAAGACGGAGAGATGCAACAAGCGGGCACGCTGTCGTCGTTTAGACTGCCTTTATGGTCATCATTGCCAAAGTCTATCCTGCGATGGCGCAAAGCTTTGCCGATTTGATCAATACACTCACACACAAGACCTTAAGGTGGTTCGCTGGGAAACACCCGATGGCCGCACTGCGCCGGACGAGTTGCAGGAAAATCGGGTGCTGCCGGACACCTCTGGTTTGAACATCCCAGATGGTCTGTTGATTCTGCCTTGATCGACTTCAGCTTTTAAGGGAAAATGGCCGTGTCTTGCCATCATCACACCACCCCGTCCGATTACAGTCAGCCTTTTCTGCGGCGAAAGCAGTACTTGTGAGAATATGACGAGGCCAACAAGATTGCGGTTTTGAGTTATGTAGAATGATTCTCGACCCTGGTGGGGATTCATCTATGCGCACTTTGCAATTTGCGGTACACCCCAAACTCTCCATGTCCCATGTGCTGATTTCTTTATATCCAGATTTGAGAGCTCTTGGCCACTATACCAGATGTCACGTAATGTCCCTAGCTCATAATATGAATTACCATTATGCTAGCCTACGATCCGATTTTCATATATACCAGCACGATCGGCCAGCAAGCGCCCAAACATGATCATCTTAAGCAACTGAGTGATTATTCTGTTGAATCAAGACACCTCGCATTCGCACCGATCCGCGGCTCCGGATCTACTAGGGCTTTGATTCCACTTGCGAACAGAGAACTCGGAGCGTCTCACAACCTCACAATGCCGATGACATTCACCATGATGGATGATACGTCAACATCCTCAAGTCTTGGAACATCTGATCGCCCATAACGTACTCCACGTTGCCTTCGCCTTCCGGTTCAATATTCCGACATCAATGGGCAGCAATATTCGTCGAAGCATTCATGATTCAGTACTTTTGGACATTGGCTACAGGATTGAAAGACCCACAACAACAAGCATCATTGGTCTAGTGGTAGAATTCATCGTTGCCATCGATGAGGCCCGTGTTCGATTCACGGATGATGCATTGATAGATTTCTTTTTGACCGTTTGAAACTTGCTTTTTTTGCAAGCGAAGCTTTCAGATTTGAGGGCCAGTGGCACATGCGAGCCACCGCGGAGTAGGTACACAAGGCAGTGCACACAGAGGTCAATCCTCCCAATCCGGGCAACGCAATTCCTGTGGTTTCAGGGGTTCTTACGGCTGAGATGTTTTTGCTCCTGAGCCTGAGTCGTACAGATCTCGGTAACTTTTTCTTTCGAATCGTCTCTGCATTATTACCTACCCAAATCCCATAGCTAAGGGTTTGACCAGGCACAGGGCAATCTCCGGGAAATTTCGGTATATCATTACATCGCTGTCGTCTAGCCTCGAGTTATTCTTGCTGGGATTGAAGTGTTAACCGGTTGATTCCTTAGATATATATCCGCGACACTTTAGAGGAGTACCGCACAGCAAAATAGAACTTACACGATCTAAACGTTCATGTGCTGTTACAATGAGGACGGAGCAACCCTATCTCAGCAGAATCAGGACATTGACATTGTTCCAATTGATGCGTCCAGCCGGTGTTTGCCTATCCAGGCTCGGAAAATTATCGATGTTTGTCAACGAGGGATGCCCGACCGGTTATTTAATCTCAGGCAGGAAGTCAGTTCGTATATTCTGAGCCTTACCATCCGGCATTATGTACTGCACCCCATTGGAATACATTGCTGGCTTGTTGTGGTGCGAGATATGTATCTAGGTGAGCGACTATGACTGCTGATTCTAGCCTTATGCTTCCTTCCACTTCACGAGAGGGCGATCCTGCTAGGAATGCCGATCCCATAGATGAAGATCTTTCTATTCTAGACAATGATGCGTCTATGCCAATCGCGGTTGTTGGTATGGGGTTTAGAGGTCCCGGCGATGCAACCAATATCGAGAAGCTATGGGCGATTATGCGTGAGGGTCGCAAAGCTTTTGGAGTACTACCTAAGCGTGAGAAGCCGTCCAGTTATGAATCAGTAAGTCAAGATGCCCTTTGAGCATTTCCACCCTTGTTCACGCTGTTTAGAAGGGCGCGGAACGAGGGCACTTTCTCCAAGAAGACATCTCATTGTTTGACGCTCCATCTTTCGACCTGAACAGCGATGAGGCAGCAATGCTACATCCGCAAGAACGTCTTTTGCTCGAGGTCACGTATGAAGCGCTTGAAAATGCTGGCATAGCACTGGCCGCTCTATCCAGAACGCGGGCATCGTGCTTTGTGGCTTCGTCGAACTGCAGTTCTACGCCTAGGGAGCCCAGCGCAGGCCAGTCCGAATCAAGCATAGCACGTCGTGTATCAGAGAATTTTCATTTTGAGGGCCTCTCGGTCACGCTGGATACGCCCTGCTCCGACAGCCTTGTTGCCCTGCACCTAGCGTGCCAGAGCCTTCGAAGCTCCGAGTCGGCAATGGCCATTGTGGCGGGGGTGAATATCATCTCGAGCCCTGATCGCTTAGATACTGCATCAGATACCCCGTAAGTTCATAGATTTGATTCTGTATACCGCTAATGCAGCTAGGGCTCTGCTCCCGAACGGGCGGACCCTCAGTCAAAATGCCGGTGGCTGTGAGATGGGCGAAGGGATAGGGTGCTTGATCCTAAAACCTTTGAAGAACGCCGTGCATGATAATGATCCGATTCGAGCTATCATTCGCGGTTCAGGTATACACAGCGGTGGAAGCACGGAACCCACAAGGGTTTTTAACGGAAGAGCCCACAATGCCTTGATACAGAGCGTTTACGATACAGCAGGCCTTGTCGCGCAGAGTACGGAGTTTATTGAAATCCATGGCCTAGAGGCAAAAACCGACTATTCAAAAACGGTCGCAGCTTGTACGAGTCGTTTTGGACTGAGACATCCACAAGATCCTCTTCGGTTAGGATCACTCCAGGCAAACATTGGCCATTTGGGAGGCGCAAGCGGCGTGGCCAGTGTTATCAAGACAGCGTTGATGTTGGAGCAACAGATGTTTCTACCTAGTGGCGATTTGAGTGGCTTGCTCGGTGAAGCTATGGACGAAGAGTGGAATGTCAAGGTATGGTGGCAGAGCTTGCTATACATTCTCCATTGACTGTCGTATAGCTTCCAGTCGAATGCGAGCCCTGGGATACTCGGGGGCCGCACCGCGCATCTGTCATCAATCTCAGCCCTCAAAATACAGCTCATGTGATTTTAGAGGACGCTGCGGGCTACTTGGCTCAACGGCATTTGGCCATTGTCGAAAGTAGAATTCCGCAGGAACGTGGAAGCCGGGCCCGGATTTTCTTAATCTCAGCTATGGATGAGCAGTCGCTTAGAAGTCGGATTCAGAGTCTTCAGATATATCTACAAGGAAACGCTGATGATTCGAGCGACGAGTGGATGAACAACCTCGCATTTACTTTGAGCGAGCGACGCACAGCGCATTTGTACAGGACGGTGGTAATCAGCGAGTCTGTCACGAAACTCAGGACTCGGTTGGCTTCCCGAGTTAAAATCCTCAACGCCAACAAGACGCCGGTCGTTGGATTTGTCTTTACTGGGCAAGGTGCACAATGGCCTGGTATGGGGAAGGAGCTGCTGGACTCTCACCCAGTATTTCGTCAATCTATGCAGCGAGTGAACAGCTACATGAGCCGGCTTGGGGCGCCTTACAACATCATAGGTTCGTTGTTCCATACACTTTGTACATACACACTATGGTCCTGACCTAATCGTAACAGACGAGATACTGAAGAATAAGGACACCTCAAACCTGGATGACCCGCTCCTCAGCCAACCCATTTGCTCTGCTCTGCAGATAGCGCTTGTCGACCTGCTGGCAGCATGGGGCATACACCCCGATGCAGTAACTGGTCACTCCAGTGGCGAGATCGCAGCTGCCTATGCTGCAGGGATGTTGACAATGGAAGACGCCATCACGATAGCTTACTATCGTGGCGTCCTCGGTAGTGCGTTGTCCAAAAGGCAAGCCCGAGGGGCAATGACCGCCGTGGGGCTGTCGGCGTCTGATGCAGAACCGTATGTTGCAGCTCTCAAGACAGGCAAAGCGACCATTGGCTGCATCAACAGCCCAACTAGCGTCACTGTATCCGGCGACGCACCAGGGATTGAGGAGCTGGAAATCGTCCTCGAAGCCAAGGGAGTGTTTGTCCGGCGACTGGATGTGGATGTTGCTTACCACTCCCACCATATGGACTTGGTTGCACGTGAATATCTTGACGCCATGGCAGGCATCATCCCAGTGACAGTTGATGGCCATGGCAGACGAGTGCAATTCTTCTCGTCTGTTACTGGGTGCGAGATCTTTTCTGCAGATCTTGGCCCACAATACTGGCTGGATAACTTGGCAGACCAGGTTAGGATGGTTGATGCAATCCAGGCACTGTGCTTTGGAACCAAGAGTCACGATTCGAATGCACAGTCGAACTCCAGCGTTGCGGTCGACTCTCTGGTCGAGATAGGGCCTCATGCAGCCCTCGCTGGCCCTATCCGGCAAATCCTGAAAGCAAGCTGCGATCTAGACAAAGCGAACATTGAATATACCAGCGTTTTGATCAAAGGCATGGATGGCACATCAAGTGCATTGACCGTGGCCGCCGCGTTGGTTGTCAAGGGATTGCCTGTGAATTTCCAAGCGGTTAATCGTCCCGACGCCATATACAAGCCCCAAGTACTGGTTGATCTTCCTCCGTACAACTGGAATCATGCGACCTCCTACGGCATGGGGCCGCCCAAAAGTGATGCTGTCCAAACCCGCCTCTACCGAAGTCAAGATACGATTGGCAAATCAAGCACGTCCTATCCTGGTCCCGAATTTTCAACTAACGGACCGGATAATCGAACCGTATACAAAGTAGTCTGGAAACCAGCAGAGGAAACCCTATCCCAGATTCCGCCGGGGACATCCCCCATCGTTGCTCGCAAATCCCGGCATCCTGCCGCGGCGAATTCAAGCACAGTCCAGATTATTAGGGAAGATGGCGACTCTGGGGTGTGTATACCACACTTACAGAACCTACTGGAGTCCTGTAATTGCACAGTTGGCGTCTCTGACATACAGCGCACCCGAGACGAGGACATAGCAGGGAAGTTTTGTATTGTCCTTAGCGAACTCAAATACTCAATACTCGGCCTACTCGAAGATAGCACACTGCGAACAATCAAGCGCATGCTCCAGACCGCAGCAGGAGTCCTCTGGGTTACGCGAGGTGGTACCGGAAACCCAACATATCCCGAATCGTCTTTGATCAATGGCTTTGCCCGCTCAGTTCGCTCAGCGTCTTGCACCAAATTGTTCGTAACACTTGATCTAAACGGCGAAGGTTTTCTCTATCCTCAGCAGGCAGCGGAGGCGATTTACGATCTTTTCTATGGACGAATACTCCATCCCCCTTCGACGGTGTGCCGTGAATCAGAGTATGCTGAAAGACAAGGGGTGCTCCATGTTCCTCGAGTTGTGCAAGACCTCCGTTCGATTGAGAGACTTGCAAGCATTTCTGACGCTCAAGAAAAAGGGGATTCAGATAGCCTCTTTCGTGCGGATGCGTCCTACATGGTTGTAGATGCTGTGGGAAAGCTTGGCATTGCGGTTGCAGTCTGGATGGTTGAAAAGGGTGCCAGGAATATCATATTGGTGACGCATTATGGCATAACCGATGCGGTGTCTAAAGATACGATAGAGGTCCGGAAAAGCAAAGACGTGAACTTTGTCTCGAAGACAGTCGATATTTCGGACGCTGACAGTGTCGCGGCTCTGGCAGCTGATCTTGCAGATACAGCGCCGCCTATACGCGGTGTCATCCACGTTGCCACGGCAGTCAAAGTAGGTTTCCCAATAAGTTCCCAGACTAAGTGCTGATCAAATCCAGCATGTTCCCTTTCACGAAATGACAACCGCAGATTATCATGCCGTCTTCCAGCCAATGTATCACGGGACCTGGAACCTCCATCGCCACCTTCCAAGAGATCTAAACTTCTTCATCATGGTCTCCTCAGTTAGCCACATGCTGAGTACCGCAACCCACGCAGCCTATTCCGCGGCCTCGTCATTAATGGACAGCTTTGCCGCGTACCGGAACCGAGCCGGTCTCCACGCCGTATCTATTCATCTTGGCCAGAATGCAGAGAACAATATAGAACAAACGGCTGAAGGGTCGGCAGAGCTGAGGACACACATATCTGAGAGCACTGATACAGAGGCTCTCATGTCGTTCCTCGAATTGGCGATTACATCGCAACCGCAATCAGACATCAACCATTCGTCTCAGCTTATTGCTGGAATTGGGGGGTGGAAGGAGGGCACATCATTGTCTGATCTTGGTACATCGCTTGTTGCTTCTCCTCGGCGAGATATTTAGGCCGGTCTGAATGGGACTCGGGCTCGGCGGCCGTCCGTTTAATTTTCCTGCTACTACTGAGTGCCTGCCTAGCCCGTGCTTACCCAAACACTTAGACGCCTCGAACAAGCCGGGATGTGGGAACCAATTTAATCATTCGTCCGATGGTATCCATTCCTCAGTCTGGCCTACTCAGGTCCCATCTCGCATTCCCGAGTTCGGGCCAGGTCCGATTAGGGCTGGGTACAGAATGCTTGGAACACGACAGCAGCCAGCCAACAAGCACAACCGCCACCAGAGAAGCGCGATATGGAAGAAAATATCAGTCTACACACGCTCCTAGATAAGATTCTGATACTAAAGGAGATATGCTGTGTTTTGGGGTTCTCTGCGTCTAGGACGACCACGTGTCTAATGCTCGCTTGCCAGATGAGTGAGAGGTAATGAAGTTCGGCAAGGCGCAGCCGCAGCATGAGGAGAGGCATCTTGCGCAGGCGTGGGAGGAGTTGGGGGGAGGATGGATGCAGACTTTATGCATGCTGCGATGGCTGATACACGGAAAGAGAGATTGGAGAAGCACCAGGAGAATTTTTATACTACTTGGGGGCAGAGATGGGAGAGGCGACGCGAGCAGCAGATGCCATGGGTGGGGAAGGAAACATAGGTATTTAGATAGAATTCTCTTTGGTGGCTTCTAGCTTGTATTCCGTCTATTTACACCCCATTCTTTGCTTTGGTCTCGAATCCAATGGATGCTATGCAATACCCATCATCTTTATCTTGTCAAAACAGAAGCAGCCCATCTCTTAAAGCACCAATTCAATCAAAATCATCTAGACAGCCCAAACATCCGCAAACGGATCCCGACTACTGTCATCATGCCACTCATACTCCATGAACTCAGCGATAGTCGTCGCATTCTCCTTCCCATACCACATCTCCACAAACGCCAGCGTGGCATCAATCCCCGCCGAAATCCCCGAAGATGACCAAATATTCCCGTCAACAACCCACCGCGCCTCCCGGACCCACGTCGTATTCGGCCCGTTACGTATGACACTGTCCCAAGACGCTTTGTTCGTCGTCGCGCGCCGCCCATCCAGGATGCCCGTTTTGGCGACAAGCGTTGAGCCCGTGCAGACGGTTATCAGGTAGCGGAGATTCGGGTATGTGTTTTTGATGTAGTTGAGTTCCGCATCCATATTCGGGGCCCGGGTCCCCAGACCGCCGGGGACGATGAGGACGTCCAGTTCTGGATTATCGGCGAATGTATGTGTGGGGTTTATTGTTGGGAAGAAGGAGGAGTTGAAGGGGTTCATTGCCGCGCTTTGGGGTTTTGTGGAGACGGGGTCGAGCGTTGTGGAGAGGAGGTAGAGTTGCAGGTTTTCGTGACGCCGGGCTACCCAGGAGAGGACTTCGAGGGGCCCGAAGACGTCGAGGATTTCGAAGGTTGGGAAGAGGAGCATGCCGTATTTTGTTGGGGGTGCTGGGAGGGGAGTTGGGATTGGCGATGGAGTGGGCGTGGGTGTGGCGGTTGCGAGGGGGTCTGGCGGTGTTTGTGTTAGTTGGTCTTGATCTCTTCCAATGTTTGTATGGGCGTTGAAGGAGGTTGGAAGGCAGAGAGTGTTAATATGGTACCTTGGGCTGTAGCACCAGCGCATGCAAGACAGAGGCAGAGGAAGGCGATGAGGGCTTTGACGGCCATGGTCAGCATCTTGTTGTTGGTTGTTGCAGTTGGAGTTGGTTGGAGTGGAAGATCAAGATTCGAGGAGAAACGTGGTTTAAGTATGTTGAATTCCTGCCCCTTTTTTGAAATGTGAATGCCTTCCTCTGAGAGGATTGTGTTGGCGCTTGCATTGACCCAATTATTTGTGTGAATGGGAACAGGGCCCGCCAAGAAGTGTTTTGAGCACATTTGCGTGGTTTCAGCACGCACTTGGCTGAAGGATTCTGCTTACAGACTCCGTGTGCTGGAGGATATCCCGTGAAGAAATTAGACAGGGGCATAAACCGCTTTGTACTTCTTACAGGCCAAGGAGATAATGTTCTTGTCAGGATTTCTGGGAACTATATCTGAGTCGAAGGAATGTGCGATGTATGGGGATTTGGGGCTAAGGGGGTTCAAGGTCTAGGGGAAGGGGGAGGAAATCGTATCTCTCTGCTGTACTTGATGTTTTCGTCTCGAGTCCGATGGATAGAAGTAGTGATGTGTGTCAGGGAATTACCAGAATCAGACCATGTTCGAGGTCAAAGTAAAGTATAACCGGCAATCTACCCATCATGACAGCCGCCATCCTGCCAAACTTTGCCTATAACGTCCCAGGATCATTTCATTGAGGGTGATGCCGCCAGAACGGTGCAGAAGATCCCCGTGTTGAAAGTCATCACCGCTAGCATCCTTCTCTAAGTTACCGGGGTCGCGACCATGAAGTAGATCGGGACCGGCACAGCAGGTTTACGCACAGGATATACCCAAGAAAGGCCCTAAGGCCTTCCAAGAACGCGCGCCCTCCGCCACCACGCGGCTCCACGGCGCCTTGTGCGTCCATCTCAGTAGAATGCCAGCGAGGCAATCCCGTAGTCTGAGCGCAAGAGACGGTTGGCCTTTATCCGAGTCGTCAGCGACGAGGCCAAGCCTGCCTTGGTCCTCGTAGTCGGATCGCGCGAAGTGCCGTCTTCCGTCTTCTCCTCACTATTGGCCTCGAGGTGCCGCGGGAGTGGACTGAGTCGTGCTTTGGGGTGGAGGGGCGGAGATGGGTATGGCGGGAGTACCTGGAGGTGCGGAGTGATCAAGATCGAGTTGGAAGCAAAGGGCTGCGAGGAAGCGGTTGAGGAAGACGAGGGTGAAGAGGACGAAGAGGGTGAGGAGGTAGGTAAAGGTGGAGATCGCTGAAGAAGAGGGTGATAGTTGTGCTGGAGATGCAGATGGCGGGCATGCTCCTAGGCATGTTGTGGGCCTTGTGATTGTGATTGTGGCCGTGGTCCAAGTCCATTGTGGGGAGTGAATGTGTCCGTGGGGAATCATGCCTATAGAGGACTGCATTGTACCATCATATGTGGTCTAAAAGTAAGGCAATAAACTGTATGTCCCTGGATGTACTTAGTCCAGCGCACCTAGAGCAGCTAATACACCTGCAGCAGTGGCTGCTACAGTCGTGTGTAATTTGCATGAAGCTGGTTGTTATGAGCGCAAATATGTTCCTCACCCCTCAAAGGCTTTTGGGACTTGGAGCAGGGCCTATATAACTCTGCTAACCTTGTTTTCTTAGACAATGCAACCACAAGACATTATCAGCGTCTCTCCAGCCCTCTGTTGCCGCGATCATGACTATACCGGTCCTGTTCTTCTCCTCCACCACTTCCCTTTGCAACATCTGCCTTCAGTAGGGAGCATGGTTGTACAGTTAAATCAAGGTATAAAGACAAGCAAGGCCAACACTGATATGCTACCGGTTTTCACCCAAAGCTATATAGGCGACAGGTACTGCCACCAGCTTGGTTCCAAATGCCACGCCAAGCGCGGGGTAACGCAACCCAACCTCCTCTTTCCTCCATCTCCTCCTTCACCTTCACGTTTGCTTCTTTCATTACCGCAACCATCCCTAAAAGCAACATGGACTCCCTGAGCCGCGAGATTCTGGATCTAATTGTCTTTCATATTGCTGGCTACGACCCGCCTTTTCCCCCGCTGCGAAGAGAACCCTTGCCGCAACTCTCGTGTTATGCGGCAATCTCCAAAAAGTGGCAGCAAGCCGTGGAAAGATACACCTTCTATACAATTTCGACAGATAGCGCCAGCTTTGACATGCTAAGATACGTTACCCGCACAATTCCCCGTCGACGCCATGTCAATGAGCTCTTCTACCGTATTGAACTGCCCCGCTTCAGTGTTGAACGCGCGCAACATCGCGAGGGGCGTGAAGAGCACGAGGCAAATCTCACTGCCTTCCAGGAAAGTCTCACGCGACTCTGGAATGAGCTTGCTACCTGGCAAGAACCCCATATGTCGCCGCGCGGGGTTTTGCTAAATGTGACCGCCAATGCGTTGAATTATTTCGATGTATCCGTAGACTCGGACTACCAAAATCGCTGGGATCTCCCTGCTCACAGCTTAACCCTACCCAGCGACAAAGAGCCTAGCCTCCCCACAATCAACTGCGTGACAAGCCTAAAGGTCGGAGAACCCCTGACTCGTCGGATCTACCCCTCTGCTATCGAACAGATGCTTCACTCCCTACCCAACTTGCGTCACTTGAACATTCGGCTGGACTCAGTCCCGCTTAAGAATAGGTCAATGTGGAGGGAGATGCGAAATGCTCTGGCCCGTGCCTTGGACGCACCTCCCTTGAGGTTCCTGGAATCTCTCGAGATTAACGAATTCCAGAGATTAATCCCTTGCAATCATAGTTACGACCTTGCCGACAATGACCCTGACTATCCCAACGGGGATCACCTGTGCCAAGCGATGCGCAAGCTTGCCCAAACGTCCTTACGGAAGCTCATATTTCATGGTCGCATTTCACCAACTCTCTGGGCAGTCGATCGCGAAGACGCGAACCAGCAGCAAATCTCATTCCCTTTTCTGAAAGAAGTGCGCGTCTTGTTTTATATGTTTACGTACGACGGGCGTTGGTATTATACCGGCAATCGAGGCGCCGAGGCAGCGGCCCAGGTGGACATGGACCGAATAGCAAGGGAAGCAGACACCGACCCCCGCTATGACTACGACTCAGATTCTTCCTTTAACTTCCCTCCCCGCGAAACTAGGCGGGAGTCGTTCCTCAATGGCAATCGTCCCCATCGTCCCTGGCGAAAGCGGCCCGACACGGAGATGTTCAATCCATTGATGCGAGCCCTTGTATCGGCTACATTGCGGATGCCCAGTTTACAAATCCTTGATGTCAAAACTGATAACTATGATCACTACCACATTCAAGTTGCTGTCGAGTACTTAGAGCCGGGTGTCCAGGCCCAGTATATCCCGCCAGATCAGCAGACAGGTGTGCAGTTGGCGAAAAGAAGGTGGACTGTGACCCATCAACGGAAAACGTCTTGGGATCTACCGGATGACATACGGGCTATGATGCAAGAGAGGGCTGGCGAGGATGGAATCATTATTGAGGCTGAGATGTGGAAGAAATATGACGATGATTCACTAACAGATGAAGATGATGTTAGAGAGGAAAGCCCCGATGACTTAGATGGTCCGCTTGATTGGCAGTGGGAGCTTTGAGAGGAAAAGGCACAGTTGAGTATGAATCAATTAATATAACTTTCACGCACCAGAAGCGTTAGAAGAGGACTGTCATCGCTGCTAAAGAGATATCACAATATTTGAAACTTCTTCCTCCTATAGGTTCAATCAACAATCCTCCTTTCTTAATTATAAAGTGTTTATGTTTTCTGCCCACCCAGCTTTGACCTGTCAACTTGGCCAATATGTGAGGATTGGTAGCCACAGACACTGTTTGGGTGCATCTTTTGACATAAGAGACCCCAGATAACGCTGCACTGCAGTTCTGTCATGGTTCTCCGTGAGCCTGCTTTTAGAACCACTATTACTATGCTCCGTAGACAATGGTCTGGGGATACTAGGTACTGGTGTTGAAGCTTCTGGTCAGTGGCAAGATAGTTGGACGTCCCTTTGTGCAAAGTCGGTTCTGGCGCCTCCAGGGTAATATCTACCGTCGAGTATATTCCTGGAGTAGGAGATACTTCTCAAAGGTAGCGAGGTGTGAGCAAAGCTGGCCTGGTGACTAACACAACAACTTTCCCTCCTGTCCTTCTTCCTTCCTTCCCTCTCTCACTCACCCTCAACCACCCATCCATCTCACTCAACGTTCGAAGGAAGCCGCGATGCCCGTTACGATGGACTCACTCAGTGCTGAGCTTCTCGATCTCATTGTCTTCCATCGCGGATACGATTATGAAGGATGTCCTCGCGATGACGATGGCATTCCATTCTATTCGCATCGGCATCATCTGGCCAGATACGCTTCATTATCTCGCAGGTGGCAAGCTGCCGTCGAAAGGTACACATTTTAAGCCATCCAAGTATCCGGTCACGACTTTAAGCGGCTGAAAGAGACGGTGGGCGCATGTCCGCGACGGCTGAGGTATCTCAAACAGCTTTTCTATGACCTTGATCTGCCCGGCTATATCGTTCGTTATAACAAGAAGCGACCTTATCCCACATTCTTTCGCCATGGTCTTTTGCAACTCTGGGAGGAACTCGCCGCTTGGAAGGAACCGTATGTTGCTCCCCGCGGCATCACACTGGAGCTGCGCGCGAAGACTTGTTGGACTTGTCCTCTCGGAACGGAACCACAAACTCGGGATTCAGGTGCTAAACGTGGCTTAAGTCTTGACGATATTTCGGGGAGCTCTCCTACCCTTCCCGTGGTCCCCTGCGTGACGGGGTTGTTCGTCGGTAGACCTGGCCATCGAATCAATCCTACCACCATTGGCCAGATGATTCTTTCTTTGCCCAACTTGCGGAGTCTAGATATTACGCTTGGCATGATTCGACACAAGCATAGGGCTCTTCGCAGGGAATTAAAGTCTTCGCTAGCGCTCGTTCTAGAGACTCCAACCCTCCAACGCCTGCAACGTCTCAATCTGGCTTTGGATGAGCACGCGCCCCTCAGTCATAGCTCCTGGACCAAGGCAGACCCCGAATATCCAAACGGAGACGACTTGGGTCGGGCAGTCTGCCGGCTAGCACAGACCTGCCTTGAGGAGCTTCATTATTCTGGCCCAGTGTCACCGGTGATTTTTGGCGTTGACCCCAACCATCCCCACCACGAGCAGAAACAATTTCCGCGATTGAAGAAACTCGACATTAAGTTCCCAATACATACCTATGACGGACGCTGGTACTACAACGATGATCCTAGTAACGTGAACAGATTTTTTTTTCACCTGGATGAGTTGCAAAAGTACGAGTACGGGTACGACTACGACTCTGACTGGTCATCAGCATCCGACACGGATGAAAGACACAACTCAACCAGAACACTGAAATTTATCCAATGGTGGCGGAGAACGGTAGACCCTGAGATGTTCGAGCCTTTGCTTCGTGCGCTGGTTTCAGCAACCCAGCGAATGCCCAAGCTCTGCGCCCTCAAATTTGTAGCCAGGAATTGGGAGACTGCGCTATATGATCTTGGAATTGAGTTCGCCGGAGGTGGCGTCCAAGCCAACTTTCTCTACCATTCCCTGATATCTGGACCATTGGTAGCGAAACCGAAGTGGGTGGTGATGCGGGGATTGAAGATGAAATGGGACCTGCCAGAGAATATAAGACGCATGATGCAGGAGCAAGCCGGTGGAAACGCCGCAATTCTCGACTCGGACGGGTATTGGATGGACCTAGCACTCGGCATTGGGGTGGGAATGTGGTCTGGAATCGAGATGCAAGGTGGCTTCGTCTTGACGGAGCGCCGTCTTTTCCCACCCGACATCCACTGATCTTGAAATTCTTGCATTTGTCTGGACGTTCTAATGTCTTCTCGCTCCATCCAGGAGCGTGGCTTCTATCTGAATACCTGATTATCAGGGAACAGCAACCTCTGCATCAGCGCGTCTACATCTCTGCCCACCTGGTAGTTCAGGGTCATTTCATGTTCACTCCGCCCTCTGACAATCCAATAGATGTTTTGCAAAACTAACAGTTGCTGCCCCAATTGAACTCTTCACGTTATAGCACTCCGCATCCCGGCCCTTCAAAATGTCTACCCTCGAATCCTCGGCCACGGTCAAGAGCCAAACCCCCAGCCTATCATCGTAATCCTCCCGTGCCCAAGCACGCCGCACCTAATCGGCACCGAGCGTCTCATACTTCGCCCTCTATATATGACATCCGCCACCGACGCAGAGGGTCTTTTCCGTTTCAGGTGTAGAGAAGATGTAGCGTCCTGGCTGTACATCCTTACTCCCCTCAACCGCTCATCCTAATTATAAGTGGAGAAAAACATTCACGCAAGAAAGGAGATCCAAAAACCCCAACAAATTACTAGATGGTACAGGATCCTGGATGGCCTCGCAGATCTTCAGCACGCCCGATGGATTTGGTGGTCTTGTTTATCGGCATTTCTCCTTCACCATCCGTCTCAACTCAGATGCCGAGAGTACCATCGGTGCCGTAGAGATAAACGCCATTCATCCCGCACCGAGTGTAGGGTATGAGTTGCATTCGGGGGTTTGGGGAGGGGGATTGCGAGCGAGGCACTGGGGGGTCTTGTTGGGACTCAGTTTGGGCTGGAGAGGGTTGGGAGTGATGGGGACGGTGAAGATGCGGCCAGGTGTAGAGAGAGGTTGTTTGCGGTGACGAGCGAGGGGAATAAGGGGAGTTTGGGGGTGTTGAGGAGGGTTGGGGTTGAGGTAGTGAAGGCGGATAGAGGTGATTGGGGACCCGGGGATAGATTGGTTGTTATGTCCATGAAGAGGGTGGATGGTAGGTAAGGTGTGAGTGTGAGGCGATGATGGGACTTGTTCTCCTTCCATAATATCGGGATCGAGAGACATACATAGGGTATATAAGGTTCTAAAACATGTATACATGGAGGGATGACTTGATGCCATTTCTATATAGGTAGCAGTTTGACTAATAGCGCAGGTATCTTAGTCCATAGTTCAGTTCCACTACATGTTTGGAAACTGAAACTAGACATGTACTTAGGTATGCTTTTCGAAGTTTCGTATGTATAGGTGGCTGCGGAAATGGTATAGATGCTGAGGTTCTTCGCCCGACTACGATAGCAGAATGTGCTAAGGCAGCGCTGAAGAAAGGCTTAACTCCCGACGTGAGCTAAGCTGGATCTCCCCTTCCATGCTTACACATCGGATCAAAGTCGAAGTCCAACGCGTTTCATGGCTTTGTTCGGTGCATAATGGTGTCAATACTGACAATGGCGATGGCTCGACTGCATCTCATGGAAGATGCAGTGCAGATGAGAATGTCTATTATCCAGGGAACATGCGCCTCTACTAGCGCTGCGAGGGCACGGTAGGATGGATCCCGCTTATATTTGTTTAATCAGCTATCTTGTTCCGATGCTGGGAGCAATCCTGGTCTCTTGCTGCCCATAAGGGCTCAAAAGAAGCCTGTGGCCTAGGACACCGGTCTGCATCTTCGCATCCATGTTGGATTTGGGGACTATTAGCCAGATCTGGATAGTTCTTCCTCTCGAGGGCCACCTTGCTTGGATGTGCAGAGGGTTACATTGTGACGAGCAGTGTGTAATACCGGTGTAATACATACAGCCAACGGGAGCAGCCTATCAATCTAATCAGATAAGGGCCCCCACTCGCTTAGGGTCTGGGCACCAAGCCACTGAAAATTTTCTCCCTCATTGCCCACTTTCTCTTTCGTTTTTTAGAGATTCGCGAGCTCAGTGGTTCAGTTTCCGCGTGGGATGGTCGAGCCACCCTCAATTTGACAATTTGTCTACAGATGACCCAGCGTAAGCAGCAAGCTCCATGATAACGCGCCAGGGTCTTGGCCCCATTCCGTGGCCGGAGGAAAACCCGTTCCAGGTCCCGCCATCACATTCATTTGGTTTCCACTTTCCACTTTCCAGCTTATGCTCTACTCCACCACTCATTTAGGAGGGCATAAGCTGCCACGGTCAAGGCTTCAGTTTACGAGTCAGTGTCCTTGACCGACGACAGACCACAAGCAAAGTAGCGAGACATCCGGTTCTACTTTTATCTCTTTTTATTGGCTGGCTCCAACTGTCTACTCCGTAATAGGCAGCACGGACAATGTCCGGATCGGTCAGCGAATGGATGAGACCTTGGCGAATAAGACATTTGCTCCTGTGGTGCCATCCCGGACATTGAGGTCGTCTGAGGAAGGAACAACCAGCCACTCTACCTGCGCTCTTTCGAGCAAAGATTGAATCGATTCATCGCAACACGCAACGACACCACCTTTGTCAACAACGATTTCCATTCTAGCTTTACATGTCTACCAATCTAGACACTACTAGGCGGACTCTCATACTGGCCAGCCTCCCACTCCTCCCGCGTAATCCGATAGCGGACCTCGCCCTCCTCAATCCCTGGCGGGGGGGTCGGATACTCGTTGAACCAGGTATCAACGTGCTTCATGCCCAGCTTCTCCATGACCTTTCTGCTAGGTTTATTCACCGTCATCGTCTCGCCAAAGACCTCATTCAACCCCAGCCCCTGAAACCCATGGCGGATAACCTCCTTTGACCCCTCTGTCGCATACCCCTTCCCCCAGTGTTCCCTGAGCAATCTGTACCCTGTCTCTGAGCGCGATGTGTCGAAGTTCTCGGTGGGCTTCGTCGGATCTTTGGGCGTTGCGGCCAGAATCCACCACCCAATCGGTTCGGAGTGACCTTCAGCGTAAGCAACCCAGGTTCCGAAGCCTGGGAGGTAGGTGCATGACTTGAGGAGCCAGTCGTGCACTTGTTTCGTCTCGTCGTCTGTTAGGGGCCGTCCGAATCCGATGTGCTTCATGACTTCGGGGTCTTGGTCGAGGGCTTTGCTGAGCGGGTAGTGCTCGTCCGCGTAGGGGACAAGCCGCAGCCGTGCGGTGTGCAGTGTCGCTTGGGCTTGGTTCATGGTGAGTTGGCAGCCCAGTGGGGTATCGACGTGTCCGAGGTATCACGAGGTCCTGAATCGTGTATAACCGTGGCGCTGGAAGCAAAGCAGAGCGGAGCGGAAAGCCGTGAGAACGGTATGCTCACCAAGACGGCTCTTTAAACTTTCTCAGCATTCTGCACGGCCTGCCTTATATGCTTGGAGTCGATGGTCAGACTCGGCATACAGGGGCCAGTGGCTAAGCCCAGGATGCCCAGACATCATTCCAGCTAAGGAAAGGAAAGGATTGGCACAGAGCGCAACCCTATCCCTGTAAGATGCTTATTGCTTATTGCATGCTGACGGCCCCGGTAATCGCTCCCTTGTTGGGCGCAGCTCCAGCGCTGATTGGTGATTGGGTCTGCATCGTCCAGTCTCTGCAAGCAATGCGCGTACATACTACACAGACACAGTCCCGAGATCGGCTTTGGGCTCGGTGAACTGCCATGCCAAGGGCCGTGAAGATACTGCCATGCTCGATCAAGTCTTGTCCGGCTGGGCAGACTGACCAGAGAACAGAGCATGGGCAGACCCCCTTGGCGCCAAGGGCATTAGATCAGATTAGACTGATAAGCTGCTTGGCGCTGTGCTCGCTTATGACCATGGCCAATGTGCTTGAGTGCTGGTCTCTTGGCCATGCCTGGAGCTTCCTAGTGCGCTGACCTGCAGCCGGGATACTTGATTAGGTGGTGGGCAAAGTTGATTGCTGGCCCACTGCAGATTGCTGCTGTTCCGAACTCAACCGCAACAGCTTTTACGGGAGGCCAGCAAGATCTCACAGCTGATCAGAATTGCATACTAGTGTCGGGCAATCTGGAGAGAGCTCCAGCTGGTGGAAGGAAGACCCTCGTCTAGCGTGGGGTGGACGTGCTAGGGTGAACCTTCGAGACCGGACCAGACAGTGCGAGCGGGAAATCCCGGTCATTCTGGAGGGCAGGATGCCAGGGTCAGCATTCCATCATACGCTAGTCGCGTACGCTGGGTCCACAGTTGAGACAACCCCCGTGCTGGACGGCCTCCTCGTGACGGTGCCTGCTCGTTCCCGGTACATTCATGCTCTGCCAAACTCACCTGCCGCCCCTCGTCTCTCTCGGCGCAGCCTCGACCGGCCACAATTACGAGAGAAATGATCAGAGTTTTCCGCCAGGATCAAGCTAAGAACTTGACTTGGGGGTCCTTGCATGTGCACGTCCGTCGGACGAACCAGGTGTGCGCATTCTCCAAGAACCAGCTGCCCGGCCGTTGCCACTCGACGCCCACGTTCTTAGGCGATTTTATCTCTCGGATCTAATCAATCAATCCATCTGTCGAGCGTGGATCCGATTCGCCTCTTTGCCTGCCCAGGCCAACTCTAATACCCAGTGGGCAGTCTACGCCGTGTCCGTCGCCCTCCGTGGCCTGACCCCGGCCGATTCTCGACCTCGCCTGTCCAGTCTGAGTGGCCAGTTGCACGACCCAACAGCCGATTTCGGGGGATAACGCGGCCGCGTAAAATTACTCTTAGTGTTGCATGCATCGGTCTGGTCGGTGGGCTTTAAAACACGTCGTTCGCTCTTTGCACCTGCTCTTGCTATTTTGTATCCTCCGATCTCAACCTCAGGATAGAAGCAGGTCAACATGGCGATCGGCTCCAAGTTCAACCTGCTTGCCACTGGTCGAAAGACCGACGGGCCTACTCTGGCGTCGGCCTCACCCCCAGACATTGAGACTCCCGCTGGCGCTGAGAAAACGGCGACCTTAACCGCCAACGACAAGGAAGCCAACATCAGCGACAACAGCAGCGACGAGGCGGCCCCGTCGCATAATGTCCAGGGTGGTGTGCAGAAGATTCAAGCTGTCACGCTGGTGTGGTCGAAATGGTCGCTGATTGCGGTTTTGTGTCTGTACGTCTATGTTCCAAAATATCTTCCTACAACGATCCCATGCTAATTGTTCTAGTCTGTGGCTCGTCACCCTCGCCAACGGCTTCCGGACCGCCATCCTCTACAGCTTGACTCCCTACGCAACGAGTAGTTTCCAGAGCCATTCGCTCCTGACTGTCATCAACATCGTGTCCAGCTCCATGGTTTCTGCCCTGTATATCCCCGTCGCAAAAGTCGTGGATGTCTGGGGCCGTGCGGAGGGGTGGCTGGTGATGGTTGGCTTCTCGACACTGGGGCTGGTCATGATGGCTGCGAGTAAGAATCTGGAGACATACTGTGCGGCGGATGTACGTCCTACCTTGAATTACCACCCAGTCTTTTGTACTTCAAGAAGCTAATGTTACATAACAGGTCTTCTACTCCGTCGGTTTCGCAGGAATGAACTACATTCTCTGCGTTCTCGCAGCAGACATCACCAACCTCCGCAATCGTGGTATCGCATTCGCCTTCACCTCCTCCCCCTACATGATCACCGCGTTCGCCGGATCCAAGGCCTCGGAGAAATTCCTCCTCAACGTGAGCTGGCGCTGGGGCTTTGGTGCCTTTGCCATCATCTTTCCCTTCGTCGCGTCGCCTGTCTACTTCGTGCTCAAGGTCGGTCTCAACCGCGCCGAGAAGCAGGGCATCATCCAGCCGCGCCAGCGCAGCGGCCGGACATTCTGGCAGAATGTGCACCACTACTTTTTCGCTTTTGATAGTGAGTCCTCACCTTTTCTCACCCACATACCCAACTAATCACTCCCTACAGTCCCAGGAGTCATCCTCCTCGCCGGCGGCCTAACCGTCTTCCTCCTCCCCTTCACCCTCGCCTCGACCGCCCCGAACGGCTGGAAAACAGACTACATCATCGCGATGATCGTAACGGGCTTCGTCGTAATGGTCCTCTTTGTGCTCTACCAAGCCTACTGGGCCCCGCAACCCTTCCTAAAATACGAGTTCCTAACCGACCGCACCGTGCTCGGCGCCTGCCTTATCGACGCAACCTACCAAATGTCCTACTACTGCTGGAACGCCTACTTCAACTCTTTCTTGCAGGTCGTCTCAAACCTCGGCGTTGCAGAAGCAGGCTACGTCGGGTCCACTTTCCAAGTCGTCTCCGGCGTTTTACTGTTCATGGTTGGCTTTGCGATCCGCAAGACTGGATACTTCCGCTGGCTGCTGTACTTCGGTGTCCCGCTGTATATCTTTGCACAGGGTCTCATGATCCACTTCCGCCAGCCAAACCAGTATATCGGGTACATTGTAATGTGCGAGATCTTTATCTCCATCGGCGGATCCATTTTCACTTTGCTCGAACAACTCGCCGTCCTCGTCGCCGTGGACCACCAGCACGTCGCGGCAGCCCTCGCCGTCCTCTTCATCTGCGGCGGAATTGGCGGCGCCGTCGGGAACGCAATCTCCGGCGCCATCTGGACGAATACGTTCCTCCCGTCGCTGATGCGGAATCTGCCGGAGAGCGAGCTGCCGAATGCGTTGAGCATTTACAGTTCTATCACGGTGCAGCTGAGCTACCCGGTCAACTCCCCAGAAAGAATTGCGATTCAGAAGTCCTATGGGTATGCGCAGACGAGGATGTTGGCTGCCGGGACCGGGATCATGGTTCTGAGCTTCATTTGGATGTTTATGATTCGGAATTATAATGTCAAGAATATGAGTCAGACGAAGGGGATGGTGTTTTAGGCGCCTTGCTTGCGTCGGATGGGCGTGCTGGATGTGGGTGGTGGTGGTTCGGGCCCGGGTACGCAGTTAGGGTTGCTTGGGGTTGGGGTGGCTCGGGGTTTATTTGGCCGGAGAGCTGGAAGGCCGTTGTTGCTCACGGCAATGAACGGGCCGAGGTCTTCGTATCTTCTCTCATCTTATGCAGCTAGTTTAATGTTTATATCAAAAGTCTTTATCCCTGTCGCTCTCGCTCTCGCTCTGCGATTGGGATCCACCATTAAACAGAACGACCGACCCCGAACCAGATGAGAGCATGTAGGCAATGCAAACTGTAAGCTAAGTGAAGTCCGGGAAAGCGCGAAGCGGGCAGGATAGCATGCTCCCAGCCCCCATCCGATTCAGCGGTTAGTTTACCTATGGTCCTCAATCACCAAGACCAGCTACACATCACGCTTCGGCCTCCCCTCCCAATCCCAAGCCCTATGTCCCCCGAAATCCTCCTGAACCGCAAAGTCCCACATATCCACATGCCCCCGTTCCATCGCCTCCTCGCCAAAATACAACCCTGCGATCTTCTTCTTCGACGGCTTCCCGCTCACCGTGAGCCCCGAGAACTCCTCTTTCCGTATAACCCGTACCGCCGCGGGGAGTTTGTACGCGGGGATTTTCTTCTCCGTCGCGAGCCAGTGGCGGAGAGACGCGAGGTCGATAGTACTTTTGCTTTTGCTGTTGCTGTTGCTGTTGCTGTTCCTTTCACTTTGGGCGTCGGAGTCGGCAGCGTCCTGTGTCTGTGTAAGGAGGAGCGCCGCAACGCGCTGCCCGTTCACGGCGTCCTCGATGCCCAGGACGTATGCTTGGGCGATACGTGGTGGACCGGGGTACGAGCGCAGCGGGTCCTCGACGTCGGCGCTGTTGACTCGGTAGCCCATTGTGCGGATCACTGGTCATGCTGCGTTAGCGAATCGTCTGGTTGTCCATGTGAGGGTGCTGTCTGGGCTGTCGTACTATCCTGGTTCGCGCGGCCGAGGACGGTCACGATGCCGTTTGCGCTGACCGTCCCCATATCGCCTGTTTTGTAGTATCCGTCTGCGTCGAAGACGTTGTCCATGACGTCGGGGTTGTCGGAGATGTACCTGCGTTTTGGGGCGTGAGCTCGGATTTGGATTTGCTTAAGATTGGCGGCTACGAACCGTTTCATGACGAGCGGTCCCTTGACGCAGATCTCGCCGCTGTCGGTGACCTTCACGCTTAGGTCTGGGTTGTGGGGGCCGCAGCAGTCCTATAAGACGTGGGGGGCTCGTTAGCAAAGCTCCAGCCGGGATTTTGCAACGCAGGGAATATAAGGCTTCCGGTCCACCAACCTTCGGAACCGCCCCCTTCGCATCCCAAGCCGTCATCGCCACCATCCCCGCCGCCTCCGTAAACCCATACGCATTAACCACCTCCCTCCCCGGGATGATCTCCTGCCGCCAAACATCCTTCAGCCACTCCGGCACGCGAATCGACCCGGAGACGAAAACCCTGATATCGCGCACGCCCTGCACGGCATCCTCATACTCCTTTTGGCCCTCATCCCGCTTAATTTGCTCAAGCGCCTCCGCCACCGAAATCAGCAGCGAGGGCAGCGCCAGAATGCACGTTATTGGCCCGCGCGCACGCCGCATCGGTTTGGTCGCGCCTATCCGCTCGAGAAGCCAGGCGGGACTGAAGACGCTGCTGGCGAATTCGATGCGCGCGCCGGCGTATGTTGCTGCGAGGAGGAAGTCGAAGCCGCCTTTCCAGTGGGCGGGGGCGTGGTGCAGCCAGGTGTCGCGGGGGGTGAGGGATAGATTGGACTGGTAGTATTGTGTGCCCTTTAGGATGCTGCCGCTAGATGAGAGGACGCCTGGTTGGGGATGGCAAAGTGGTCAGCGCCATGTTCGTGGTTATGGTTGTGGGATATGCGGCGTACCCTTGGGAGAGCCCGTCGTGCCGGACGTGAAGAGGAGCGCAAAGCCTCTGTCCTCGTCGAAGCGAGGGATTCCGTTGGAGCTGGGAGACTCGACCTGTTCGAAGTGCAATGTTGCTAGTTTGGATGGTGACAGGTTATTTTGGGCGAACGTAACCTGTGGTATTGAGAGCTCGGACGAGATCGCCTGGGCATGCTCAGCTTCCCTCTGGCTGCTCGTTATCAGCGACGCATTGCACGTCCCGAGAAAGTACCGCGCTTCCTCCGCGTGAACTTGGATTCCTGAAATACCGAAACAACATTGTTAGTAAGCTAGCAAGTCACTACCTAAACGCTGACAAGCTAGACAGATTGAGATGCACATACTCAGCGGCACCGCAATGCCACCCAGGGCATGTATCGCAAGCAGCAACACCGCAAACTCGAACCCTGCATTCGCGATAATCGCAACAAAGACCTCTTCGCTCGGGTCCTGGAGCCGTTCTTGCGTTTCTGGGCTCAGCTGCTTGTGCAGTCTATCCCGGTGCGCGAGAACCTCATATAGGAACTCGCCAAATGTAGCCTCTTTGTCGGTCGCCAGGTCGCGAATGAAGACTCGTTCAGGAGACTCCTGCCAATGGTGAAAGAGCTGGTCAAGCCAGGGGTGTTGGGGGACTTCGATGGTCGTTTTTGTCATTTCGTCGGAGTTGGTGTGTGCTTCAAGCTTCGTAAACAGTTGTCCCTGTTCCTGGCGGTAGGGCGAGATCTTAAATCGCGATCAGAGATGATCTCGATGCTGAAGATGAAGCAGGCGATGACGATGCGATTACCGAATATTTACTCGTGGATATACTGCAACAGGCGAGATCGATTGTAGATCGATGGGTCTTGGTTGACGATCAAGGTTCTAAGATGTATGACGTAGTGAATAGTATACATATCTATTGTCAAAAGCGCTCCATGACAGATGCAATGGGTTCGTGAACTCGCGGTTGAGCTATGTTTGTGTCTTCGGCTGCGTAGATTATAACCCGACAGGCTGTTCACAACGTCGGTATCTAGAACGGCGGTTGCCAAAGGTGTCATCATCACGGTGGTCAAGGAGACGAGGCACCCTGGTCTGTGAAATAGTTATTGCAGCCCCTGACGCGTTCAAGCGCTCGCCCGTCGCAACCACCACCTCCGGGCCCAATAAAATGCCAATCCCAATCCCCAAACAGCGATCAGTACCGCAGCCTGGAACGGCGCGAAGACCGCACCGCGGGCAACCACAAACCCACTGACAAGTGTGAAAATGACAGGAATGACAAAGAACGGCTTGTACGGACGATGAAGCTTTGGCTCACGAATCCGCAAGACCAAAGCCCCGACCATGGTCAGGAAGAAGAAGCTGTACTCCCCCAGCCCGTTGAATGTGATCAGGGCGCGGAAGTTGCCGAAGATAATGTACAGTGCTGAGCAGGCTGTGGAGAAAATGAGGGCGTTGATGGGAGCATCGGACTCGGACTCGGACTCGTCAGTAGAAGAGTCCGCCGATTCAGTAGCAGACCGCAATCCGATGTGTCCAACAACGCCGAGGAATCGAGGGAGCCAGTTCTTGTTCGAGGCCGAGACGATCATGCGGCTGCCGACGAAGGCGCTTCCTAGTAGTGCTCCGGCGACGACGATGCAGATGACGGCCGCAGCGACAAGGCCAACGCCGGGGCCGAGGAGGTGGTTGAACGCTGTCACGGCCACACTGTCGCTCGTGGAAACCACGTCCCATGGGAGCAGGATATAGTAGGCAGCGTTGACTGCGATGTAACCGCCAACGATAACTGGGATTGCAGTGTTGAAAGCGAGCGGAAGTTGGCGGGCTGGTGCGGACAGTTCGGCACTGATGTAGATAGCCTGACGCAGGTCAAAACATGGATCCCTATCTCAAGTTCGTAAAGTTGGGGCATACCTTGTCCCATCCTGAATAAGCCCAGAGCGCACCATAGAGAGCGGCAGAGTAATGACCCAGCATCTCCCACCCATTCACCTTGCTCCAATCGGTCTTCGAGCCATCGGGTCCAACGCTCGTCCTGTATCCAAACCATGACTTGGTCCACCAATCCTGCGTCGACTTATCTGTATGCGCAGCAAGGTGGTACACGACGACAGCAATCCCTGCGACAACCGTCGCCGCAATCGCAGTGAATTTGGCCGTGACAAAGAAACGATTCAGCCGATTGGTGACCTTCGTGCTAACACCGTTGGCCATACTGAAGACAATCAGAACAAAGATCGAGAGAAACTTGTGCAGCGCCCCTTGCGTCCGATTGTTCTCGCCAATCGCAGAGAAAACGCTCTCCACAAAGACGATGCTCATGATCCCCAGCGACGCCGGAATCACAGCAACAATCCACGTCCAAGCCGCCAGGAAGCCAAAGACGTCGCCGAAGATGTACTGCAGGTACGGCTGCACTCCGCCTGCTACCAATTAGCCTCTACTACCATTGTGGATTGGATAAATGTCTCTCCCTACCTTCACCCGCAATCGCCGTGCCAAGCTCCGCCATCGTCGCAGCACCAGTCCACGCCAAAAGGCCCCCAACAGCCCAAACAATCAACGCAAACCCAGGCGCCGGGACATTCGTATCAATCGAGCCCGGCGACGTAAAGATCCCGCTCCCAATAACAATGCTGATGATGATGCTGAACGCCTCGGCGGTGCCGAGATTCCGCTTGAACTTGGACGAGGTGCGCGGGTCCGCGACCGGCGCGTCCTCGACGGCTCCGTATTCGGGCGTGCGCTGCGAGCCCAGCAGAGGCGCGGTGTCGCCGTGGTTTTCTGACATTGTTGATCTTGTATATCAATGGATTAGTGAGTTCAGCTTGGGTTTGCTTGAACGCGGACGGGAAACCCTTGAGGGGTTGACCGTTGGAGACGCGGCGGGTTTTATCAGCAGGACACATCCCCCGGCCCACTTCGCGTGATCTTTTGCATGATGGCGAGATACGCTGGTATCGATCAACCCTGGACTAATGCGTTAATTAATGGAGAGTCCATTATTCTGGTGCAGCCTTGGAAATGGGACGAAATACTGGTGTGTTTGGATGGAAAGGCAACAGAGGCCTTTTTTACCTTTGGCCTGCATACACGCACCGCACCGTTGGGTGGAATAAGCAAAAGCAATACCCTTGCTAGTGGCCTGTATTTGAAGATCAAGGTCATAAGGACCATAGAATTCTTTGCTGATATGTCATTTATGATTATAACAGCAGTCAGTACTGCCCATGTGTATTATGTTCGTTTTCTCTTCGGTATAGGCCATTGATCACCACAAATATACATTGGTGCAGCAGAGATGTCTAGTTACTGCGCACCAACAAACCCTGCTTTTAGAATGAACGACGACATCATAAGGCATGTTCATGGTCTGAAAGTTGGCGAAGCGGGTTGTATATAATATACAGACAGCTCTATACACTCTCCTCCCTCGGCACCGGCCAATCCTCCATAAAAGTCGACAACCCCCTACTCATCGAACACGCCATTACAGTCCCATGGTCCTCACCCGCATACTCACTAAAGCCAGCAGCATGGAGCCTCGTACACCCCCGAACCATACCCATCAGCTCCAGCAGGTTCACCCTCATATTAAAGATTTCGGCATCGCGCTTCCTGCCCTCCCAGCTCTCATCGGACTCATCGTTCCACCGGTGCGGATTCTGCTCTAGGCCACCGACGTACATCATCAGCGTCGGGAGCTTGTCCGCGCCGCTCTCTTTAATTTTCTGAATGAACATCTTGGCTTCGTTCAGGATACACCGCTCGTTCCACCAGATTGACGGGCTGCTCGCGATATAGGCGTCGAACATGGTGGGTCGGGTGAAGAGGGCATGCAGGGCGAAGAGCCCGCCGTAAGAGTGGCCGTACAGTGCTTCCCTGGACACAGTGACATTTGGAAAACGCTCTCGTACAGCGGGTCGGACGGTACTCTCGATGAAGTCGAGCAGGATGTCTGCGCCGCCGTGGCCCTCAACGGGCTTCTTGGGCGTCGGGACAGTAAGGTCAAAGCCCCGGCGCACGCGGTGGTACACTTTGCCGGTCCCTGCAAGAGGATACCCGATTGCGACGACGATGCCGCCGCCGCAGTAGTGGGAGTCTGCGGAGCGGCGCCAGAGGGCTTCGGTTGCTGTTAGGAAGAGGGCGTTGCCGTCGACGATGTATCTGCCTTTGTTAGAAAGGTGCTTGTAATGGAGAGTAGTGACGTACATGACGGGCACGTTATTACGGTCGGTGTCGGGTGTATGGCCTTTCCAGTGCAGCGGCCAGGATACCTGGATGAGGTATTGCTCGCCGCGGCTGTTGTTGAGGTAGAACTGTTCTGAGCTGGGCAGGGGGACGGCGGTGGGGGTGTTGCTTTGGGTCATGATGGACGAGTACTTTCTCGAGATGGAAACGGGGTTAAATCTGATGGAAGATATGGAAAGTCGGGAGAAAAGGATGCGCATGGTAAGGAGGAGGATGGAAATGTCGAGCTGGGAGCTGCCCTGTTGATTGCAGTCATTGAGCGATGGAGCCGAGCCCGCGCCGATGGGGCCGGAGTCGGACTGCCTTGACCCACTATACAGGTATTTTACCGGTTGTCGTACCTTTGTATCACGGTGGGTATGGATGGGTCAAGTGAAATATGTTAGGAATATAGGTAGCGGCAAGTATTCATGTCAAATGCCAGAGACGCCACGGCAGATCCCGAGCACTCCTTGTGCTTCCGCCGGGCATACCACTCCCTCCAATCTGTCGAGCACTTTCGAATTTCATCGAGCTCCACCGGCGCGAGTGTACATCCTTGAATTTCTATCTGCAATGGAGTATATTAGAAATGACTTGGGTTTGCCAATGTTCTGCTAGATATCACCTCATAGAGGCATGGTTAGCGGGGTTAAGCTATGAAGACCTACTCGGTGCACCGGAGGTTATTCTAAGAGACGGCATCCCATAGCACTTCATAATCTGCACGTATACGCATCTTCAGCTTTATCTTGGCATCGAAGCTCCGGATAGAGCCGGTGTAGTAAACTCTGTAGAAGCCGAGTTTGCTGTGGCTGGTGCTCAACTCCGGGTCGGTCTAAAATGCCTTTGGAGAAACATTCGGTTAGCGAACTTAGGGATCAATCATCGCGGCGATGGGTATGTCCATTCATGACTCAATGAAGGTAGACCGGGCCGAGAGTCTAAGTGTGTGCTATGTCAGTTCACCTATTGTGGCTGATCTGCCAGTGGCGTCTATAGCTTGATATGCGTGAGAGCTCAAACAAAGCAAATGATGTATAGATTGCGTGATTATTTGAGATTTCCCTAGACTGCATTAGCTAATTAACAATTGTACACTGCAATCGCTTACGATTGAACAGTAGCCTACCTAGAGCAAGACACACTGAGTTCTCTACACCCCAATTCTCTGTCTCAAGCCGCTCGCAACTCCCGTGAAGCACGATAGACTGCTCAGAGCAGCCGCACGGTAGTAGACACCAAAGCCGACGAGGAGGATGGGTGCCATAAGCAACCACGTCCAGTTCCATCTGGCTGGTTTCTGAACCCACTGTTGATCAGTTTTATTAGCGAGGCCGTCTCAGGTTAACCATCCAGATGAAGTAATTAAAAGGAGAGACCAACTTTAATATTCCAGTCCTCCCAAACCGGAAACAGACTTCTATACCAAAAGTGCGCCTGTGTCCAGGGGTAGGCCATAGCGTTCCATCTCTTCTCATTAACATACCACTATGGACGCTGTCAGTTAGGGACGGGTAAGGGTAGATAAACGGCAAGGAAACATACCGAGTGGCATCCAGCTACCCAGACGGTATTCCGGGCGGCGGCTTGAAGCTTTTTGATATATGCATCCTCAGCATCGGCCTTGACCTCGACTGCTGACGCGGTGCCATCGAGAACGGGCTTCAGAACACGGAGTGCGTAGTTGACCGAGCTAGATCCCTATTAGTAAAAGTAAAAGCCAGCGTTAGATCAAGACATACTTCTCAGCAGCCATTAAGGCCGACGAATGCCCCGTTAATGAGTTCGGGCCGAGCAGGAGAAAGAAGTTGGGGAATCCATTCATCGCTGAAGTATTGTATGCTCCAGGGCCATCCTGGCGGCCCCAGTGTTCATCGACGGTCTTGCCGTTCCGACCGTATACTTGCATGCCTGGCAGGAAAGTGTTCGTGTTGAAGCCAGTTGCGAGAACAATGACATCCGCCTCAACTAGTCCGTTTGAGGTTTGTAAGCCTTCGGGAACAATCTCGAGGATCTTCGCGTCCGTAAGGAGGAACTTCTCGTTGTGTAAAGAGTCCAGGTACCCGCAATCAAAGATACGGCGCTAATAGTATGATTAGTGAAAAGAAGCTTGACCATGACCAAGGGCGTTACCTTGCAGCCGACTTCAAAATCGGGAATGAGGAGGTCATGGTATTTAGCCGGTGCTGTTTTGCGCATATAGGTCTCAATCTGTTCGCGTCGCTTTTGCCGATATCTGGCAGCGGATTTGGTCATGGGGAACAGCTGCCAGTCTGCCTCGGCGGCCTGGTATATAGCGAAACGATGAAGCGTCTGGAGGAAAGGAATGTTTTTGAAAGCCCATACCACAGCAGGGGTGTATGGCAAGTTAGTTGTTTCAGCAATCCAATGCTTACTGCGAATAATTTGCGTTACTGAGCCGCTTTGCTTCATAATAGCGGGTACGACCTGCGCTGCAGTACCTGGAAGTGTACATTAGCTCTCAAAGTCACAAGGCACAGTGTGCAGGCAGAGCAACGTACATCCATTCCCAATGACAACGACCTTCTTCCCGTCCAGGCTAACGTCGTGGTTCCACCTTGCCGTGTGGAAGAGCGCGCCTTTGAATGTCGATGCCCCGGGGATGTCGCAATCGCGAGGCTCGACTAGGACGCCCGTCGCGCCAAAGAGAATCTGGCATTCATGGTAAGAGATCTCGTCGGTGTCGACGTTGCGCAACTTCATGAGCCAACGAGAAGCATCGTCCCGCCAATAGCACTCTTTGACTTCAGTGCGGAAAGTCATTTTTCCACGCAGTCCATACGTGTCTGCCACCGCCTGTTGGTAGGCCTTGATTTCATTGTACGAAGGCATCCGCTTCGTCCATGCTGGGTTCTGTGCAAACGAGTAGCTATAAAGCGCGCTAGGGACATCGCACGCGCAGCCTGTAGAGATTGTCTTAGCCTAAGTATATTATAGTCCAAGCTAGACATACCAGGATAGGAGCTAATATGCCAAGTGCCACCGCAATCGCTGTGTCGTTCGAATATCCGGATGTCGTCCATCCGATACCATCGTTTCAGCGTGGCGCCTAATGCGATCCCACTAATTCCAGCGCCAATGCAGGCTATCTGACTATAGGAGGGAACAAGTTTGGTGTTTTCCGGCGCCATTATGATTGACTATAGAGAACTCCGTACAAGCATTCGATGTACCCGTAAATAAGAAATCCGACTCCACGACTTGCTGGCACCTGGACGGGGCTTAAAATAAGGAGTTTCCCCGCCCGGTCGCGCATCGCTTTGTCTGGCCTCTGGCGATCTGCCGAGGTAGTGTTTGAGGTGCAGTCATCCCAGCCAATACGGAGAACCATATGCGAGCTCGTCACAGCCAAGGCCTGATAGGAGCGTAGATACATATGCTGGCTGGCCCAGACGTGACGCTTGGTGGCCGCTGGCCGGTGAGAGACTGAGAGTAGTTCTCTGCGCCTCGTTCAGCACAGCCTCGGGTGCGCAGCGGCACGGGCAAGTCGTTGAAAAAGCCACATCGTTCAATAACCAGGACGTCAATTTTTGAAGTCAGACAGCTTCCCGGCCTTCATTCCTATGACCCCATCGTACAGTCGAATCTGGACAAATCATCGAGCAAGCGTAGTGCAGCCTCGCAGCCTCGCACGTCGAGCGAGCGGCACCCGCTCTGTTCTGCGGCAGGGCCGGCGCGTGGTCGACTGCTCAAAACCTGCCACGCATCCCTGTACGACATGACCTCGAACAGGTGCATCGTGCCGAATCAATCCTTCGCTGTCAGCCTGTCAATGGATTAACAATCCGATTTCCATCGAAACAATCTATCCTTGCCGTGAGGCTGCGCGACAATCTTAGGCCAAGCTCTACCCGCCAATCGACGCGTGCGATCCCACACCATGTTAGCGGCGAATCGCCCAGCTGCGGCTCCGGGTCGCTCCAGGCGAGTTGGGGTAACAAAAAGGGAAAAGACACCAGTTCCAGCCTCGCCTCGATCTCCTGAGCGCAAGGAAGCGGTCGGGCTATAACAACCGCTTTGTTCTCTGACTTTGTCGCGAGGTTCTATTGTCGCTATCCAGTGAATCCATAGTCGCTGCGACGAATCCAGCCCAGATGACTTCCGAGCCGCCGACGATCCAGATACTCGAAGAGACCGGTACGGCGACATCTCTTGGTCCAGTTGACAACTAACCAATATTTCAAAGGACCGGACCATTGGGAGCCATGTGGCGATGATGTGAATGTTCTAGAGGTATATCTTCCATGGAGAATGCGATCCGGGGGGCTGACGGTCGGTTATTGGTATCGCATAGCGCAAGCAGGATGTCAACTTCGTCGTGTACGCGTTCCATTCAGTCTCAGACACCGGCCCCAGCCTTGTCGCTAAACCGACCAACTAGATTTATCTCCAAGCCTCCCACGAAACAAACCGTCATTAGTAAAAATGAGTTCCAGGAGGAATTCTGGCCGGTGCTAGAGGACGACATCAACGGGTCCTTCCACTGCGAATACGGCTACTCGAATTCACGAGTCTTCCCAGCAGGTTCGCATTCCAGCCCACCTTCCCACGCCATTGCACCGACCTAATTTGGATATCGCATTAGTCTCCTGGTCATGCTTCAAAGTCAAAGAAGTCAAATCGGCAGAGGACTACACATGGAAACAGCCCGCAATCCACGTAAACTGGAACGCAGACACTGGCCGGCACATTGTTCACGTTCTCGAGTCCCCTTTGCAACCAGAACTCTTTCGCCATAAAATTCCGCCCGCGCGTGAACGAGCTTCTAACCCCTTTTCGTGCCATGCCGCTTTTGCGCGCATCATCCTCGAGCAATATGACGGGGCATTCTGGTTGTTGAGAGACTTGGTCCGCGGGCAGGAGAAAGTGTGTCCAACTATTCCCCCGTCTTCCTGTATACCGTAGCTAATCTGCCCGGTTAATGCTGTAGGCACGATCGAATTCCGCGCATAACCCGAACAATTTCCCTCTCCTTCACGACATCCACCGGCACCTGTTCCACTACCAGGAAACGATCGACGTGGCGCAACATACATTGCGGATGATGGCACAAGAGCAAGAACGTTGGCGCGAGGAAGATCAGGAGAACGTCCGTAAGGATATACAGACATGGCTGAAGACCCGTCAGCGCATCCTCCACGAGGAAAAGCGGGCACACTCACTGAAGACCCGGTCGAAATCGTTGAACGACCGGCACCAGAACGAGATCAACCTGGTAAGTAACACGCCTCACCCATAATCCCTTTTCAGAATCGAGAAAGGCAATACACTGACCATCCGCTAGGCGTTCAATCTCGTAAACCAAAGTTTGGGTCGCGATCAACGAACAGACAGCAACATGATGAAAACGGTCGCGGTCGTGAGTATGGTGTACTTGCCCGGGACGTTTGTGTCTGTAAGTGTCAACCTCGACCCAGACCTCTGCATCACGTGCAAGTATCTGCTCAGCAAGACTTCTGACTGCGACAACAGGGCCTATACGGGACCAACTTCTTCAGTTTCCAAGCTGACCCTGGGAACACCTGGCTCATGGCTGACGAGTTCTGGATGTACTGGGCAGTGACACTGCCCTTGACGTTCGCAACGATGCTCGTCTGGGCTATTTGGCATTGGTGGGACAAACTCGGCACCAGTCGGTCGAAGAAGGTATCCGGCGGAAAGTCGAATCAACCTGCTGGTCCCACCCCGTCGAAAGACGGCATAGAGCTCCGTGCTCAACCCGGTGTTCCTCTAATCAGAAGAATAACTACTGCGTTTAGATTAGGGGAGGTGCAGCGGACGGAGACGGTGTGAGTACGGTGCTGATATAAATGAATGTCGGCGAAAGAGACGTGGAACTATTCATGACTGTATAATTGGAACGAGTAACGAAGCTATACAATAAACCATATATTCCAAGGCTATATTCATGTGCCCAGCCTGGTCGCCAAATCAAACCAAACTCCTTGATGCGACTGAAATCAAACAAATGCATGGGTATCATCATAAGAACGTGTCCTCCAAAGACTCGAAGATTGCCGAGTACTTTTATCTCAAAATTGCTCCAGATCCAAGAAGAATGGTCCTGTTTCGGCAGGAAGGGTAATCTTTCGCTGTTGCGCAGTGCTCTGTAAGTTGCGCAAATATCCTTTGGTGCAGGGCCATCGCCGCGAGAACGCGCCAGCTGCTACCACGAGCGAGATAAACGCATCGCGGTTAACGGGGTAGTCTAGGCCCTCGACTAGGCTGAAGAGGGCCGCCATGATGTAAGGCACATTGATGCCTGTCATGCGGTCGGAACCCCAATTAGAGCGATGTACAAGAGTTAGTTGGGCTATTTTGCGCGCAGACGAGAGACACCCGCTCAAGGCATGAGCGGGAGACCTTATGGCTTCGCGGATGCTGGGGCTCAAGGTCGATGGATTCGGCATGTAAACGGGCTGACCTCGAAACAACCCATAGACCGCCGTCATGATGGTGTGATAGTGCATACTAGCGTTGTCAGCTGTCAGTTCTGCATTCAATTTCAAAGAACTCACTGGAGGGAGAGAACATGCGGAATATTGACATTGCTCTCTTGCAGACAACCCGGTAGTTGGTCAGGCCATTTGCTCAAGAACTGAAGTGTGTTGAGTTTCTCATTATCGAACTCTAAGTTAAACCTGGGAGGCATGGGCGAGAAAAGAGCCGGTCCGAGTTTATACGCAACCCGATTCAAATCACATAGGGCATTGAACAGGCATAACGTATGTGCGTCAACGTTCTTTGACTGGATTGGATGCGAATACGATATTTGATTTTCGCATTGGTGTCTTACCGACGCGGGCGGATGACAGGGTGGCGCGACCTCAGGTGCTTTTTTGACTAATAAACCATGAACGCTGTGCAAGAAGTCAGATAATAGGCCGTGAAAAACACAATGGCAATAGAGCGGTCGTGAAAACCGACGAAAGACGTACATTGCGAGATTGAATATTCCCCAGTTAGTGTGGTTAAGAGTTTTGGCCATACAAGCGGAATCGGGATCGGACGGAGACAGGATGTTGGATGGTGCTAATAGCTCTCGAAGGGAATACAATAGTTGTCCACCGATGATCCAAGCTTGTCGGTCACGGCCAGTTATTGACGCACTGCTACTATTAGCCAGCGTTTCTGTATCGCAATGGAAGCCTTTCCTACCACATCCACAGCACTTCTAATCCCTGTAATGTAGGCAAGCTGATGCGACCCTCCTCCTTCTCGAATAACCGTTTTGCTTCTGCGTAAAAGTTTGTTCGCAGCGAAAACAAGTTATCCGGAAGCCCATACGCAGAGTAGCTCGAGTACGCCTAGTAAGTCAGTGGGTGCGGTTATCAGGCAGGTAAGGGTTAGGCCCACGTACGCATGCGTCTGAGAGTATTATGTTCACTAAGAAAGGCGAGCAGTAAGACGCTGAAAGCGAACCAGATTGCATGTCCCGGATGAACAGATCGCGATCAATAAAATTGACGATCGGATGGGCCCATGTAAACCATAAAGATATTAATCGGGAAACGAGGTCGTCGTCATCTACGATAGATGTCCAGGGCCGCGCGGGCACGGAGAATCGTGGAACGTCAGAAGGCTTTCGAACATCAAGTATTCGGCGGTTGGACAGCATTTCAGCCAAATTCCGGTGTCCGTTATCTCCGTACATCTCCAGTAGCTCGGGTATCTGTGTAATATTCGACCGTGGCAGCTCATGATCGATGTAGAAGCGAATCTCGGCTGGGGAGGCATGGTTCCGGATGAGGTTCAGGAGAGGAATCGTGCTGCGTTGGCTCCTCTCGCGGAAAAACTCGAGTAGGCGAACAAGTAGATCTTCCTTGTCCCCCAACTCATCGATCTTGCGCTTCAGGACTCCGCGGCGGCGTTTATCGGCGCTTTCATCAAGGGTACATTCGACGCGGCTCTTCAAGCAGTTGGTGCAGGGAGGTGCTCCGGTACACTGTTAGCGACAGAAGCTATTAGCGCGGAAACAAAATCTGGCAAGGTGCAACACATAGATACCTTGAGTTTACGAGCCTTGCACGCCGTACATGCTGTGCCGACGTTCTTCCTCCGTCTCTGGGCGTCCTGAGGAGTAGCGTCAGAGGCCACGGGGACCAACGGACGGGACTTCGACGTGGGCATTCTGCTTCACTCCATGCTTGGGGGCGCTGCGAAAAAGTAGAAATAAAAAATAAAACGTGAGATGAAAGCGAAAGCGAGGGGCCCGAGGGCCCGGCCTGACCGTCCCAGGGAATTGGTGCCAGCTCGAGTCAGAGTCGCGATGGCGAGCTCTGAATGGGCGATCGATCACGCCGCAGTATTTGACCAATCGTCAGGAAACTCCTCGCTGACGTGCGACCTGCTATTGGGGATACAAGTTCGTATAGGAAGCCGACGGCGGACTGGGGTGCTTTCCCTTTGTTTCAGAGTTGCGATAAGACAGATAGGAAGCTGGAGAAGAACCTGGAGGTTCGATCTGCTGTTCTGGTGCCTGAGGCTGCGGGGCGGTGATTGCTCCCGACCGAGGTTCGGAAGTCATTTCCATTTCCATTTCCCTCCACCTTCATCGCTCCGAAGCCCATTCATCGTCCACTTCCCAGGAGTTGAATTATAAACTCTGTATCTCGATCTATTGCTGCTTTTACCTACCTAGTCCGTTCCATTCTGGTGTTATTGAAGGATTGCGATTAATGTCTCACATTCTATCTGCTTTGACAATAGACGCGCCAGGGGCGCTGGTAAAGTAGGCATTTATACAGCTGATCAGAAATCATCGCATACTAATACAGATTACGGTCGAGTCACTGCTCCCCCAAATAAACGACACACAAGTCTATACATCTGTTGAAAATGGTTACTTCTCCGCGGCGCGTTCCTTCGAGGCTGGGAGCTTCTCAGCCACGCGGTCTTGCGACGAAACCGATCCGTGAGGCATCACGCCGAAGTTAAGATCGTTGGCTTCATCCTCCGCCCGCCAGAAATCCTTCTTTCCGTGGACAGCACGCACCAGCCACGGGGGGAAGAAACCTCCGGGGATCTTCCAGGTCCACGCCTCGTGTTCGTCCTCTCGGTTTGGTGGCGAGATTCGGCCTCCTGTCAGTTTGGCAATAAGCCATACTCCTCCATTGATGAGGATGTAGCTCAGAATACCAGCAATTAAACCGTCCGCAATACTGTACGTGAAGGGCATGATCGCGATTGTCAAGAACGCAGGAACCGCGTCTCCCAAATACCGCCAGTTGATTTCGAGGGTCGCGTGCATCATCATCGAGCCGACAATGACAAGTGTGCTGCCGGTGGCCCATGGCGGAATGGAGGCAAAGATAGGGGCAAAGAAGACGGCAATGAAGAAGCAAATACCCGTCATGCAGGACGTCAGGCCAGTCTTGCCACCCTCGGAAATACCAGCACCGCTCTCCACAAATGCTGTCACAGGTGGGGAACCAAACAGCGAGCCGATGGAGATGCAAATCGCATCAACCATCTACATTACCAGTCAGCAACGTCTCAAAAAAAGCAAATGAGCGAACATACATAAGCCATTGCACTGCCTTCGAAATCCTGGGTACGTTCATCCATCGCACCAGCAAACTTGGCCATGGAATACAATGTACCTGTGGCGTCAAGAATGTCGACATACTTCATAAATTAGCTGCAGCTCTTCAACAATCGAACCTCAGGGCATACCAGGAAGGTGATCAATGCGAGACCAAACTGGCCACCATGGCCTGAAATGTTCCAATCTTGAGCCACCAAGGTGTGCTTAATCGGATGGAAAGTGACGACTTTCTTGAAGAAATCAAAAGAGCTGTCGCCGGTCACAGTGTGGGGGAAATAGGTGACTGGTGTCGGACGCGGCCACGAGATGATGGAGACCAAAAGAATACCGGCAATCACCGCACCCTTGACACGATACATCATCAAGAAGACTGTAAAGACACCGCCGCAGAAAATACCAATCCACATTGTCGGGTTGCGCATCTTTTCAGACGAAGGGCACAACCCATCGTCGCCGAACTGATCCGATGAACAGCCCGCCAATTGAATAGGGCTGTCGGTGCCTCCCTGGACAACTCCAAGACCAGCACTGTAACTAAGTCCAATCAAGGTCAGGTACAATCCGATACCCGCGCCTGTCGCTAGCTTTATAGAAGCGGGGATAGCACGAGCAAGCCACTGTCGGATACCCAGTAACGTCAACCCGAGGAAAATCCAGCCCTCAACGAACACCGCAGTCACTGCAAGACTGTACGGTATCAATCCAGTGCCATTATGACCAACGACGGTGTAAGCAAAGTATGCGTTGAGACCCATTCCTGGGGCAAGGGCAACGGGCAGGTTCGCAAGGAGACCGAGGAAGAAACTCGCAATCGCGGCGATAGCAGCCGTTGCGGTCACGATGTCGCGATTGACCTCCTGCTTGCAGAGGAGATACTCGGTGTTGTTTTCGCAGGCCGTTGCAAGGTCTTCGGCCGGACAGACGCATGTTCCTCCAGTGTCACTAATTGGACGTCCTGTCAGCATTTCCCGGCCCTGCGATTGCGCACTCCCTCGTCCTCAATGCTGGCACATACCTCGTAATATTTGCGTTGACGGAGATGATGTATGCCATGGCGAAGAAGGTGGCAAGGCCAGCACGCACTTCGGTAAAGAAGTAAGAGCCTTTCCGCTCGCGGGGCTGATAGCGCGAAATTAGTGAGTAGGAGTCATCCTCGAGCTCGAGATGGGCAAGCAGTCCCAAGCAGGACAGCCCTCAAGGAACGCTCAAAGACGTACATGACCCGAACCCTCCAGGCGAAACCATCGACCGACCGGGCTACGAGCCACAGCCGTGTTGGTACGGCCAATCCACTCAGCGTACCCCATATTATCTAGGAGGGGAAGTAGAAATCACAAGAAACAACGCGGGGTTGTTGGGATCGCGGGACTGCGTCAAGATGAGGAGTCAACCTGCACGAGAGACATTCCAGAAGCTCACACGACCGGCGCGCTGGGATTTTATTTCTCCCAGTGATTATTGGGGGCAAAAAAATCGTTATCATGCCCAGACCCTAGATCGGTGGGACCGCGTGCGATAGGCTCTCGGGGACGCCATGGTCGAAGCACTCCATGGAACGCTCGCTGGGCCCGCGAGTCAGATGTCAGTTCTAAATCTACGCGAAGCCCAGGCGGATCTCCCCGAAAACGGACTATCAGCCGCTCCTTATCAGCGACAAATTGTTTTACGGGACGCAAATTGCTGACAGCTTTAGCGCTTTTTCCAAGTCGTCATGGGATGATAGGAGCTTCGATTGCGTGCTGTACGGAACTGCAACGAAGAGGTAAGCTTTCTTCAATAATATCTGCCGGCCGATGTGTCACCGTCGGCTTTTTCGCCGAAAACGTCGCCCGGCCGCTGCTAATCATTCTTGTCAAGGGCGCCGACCATAGGCCACCAGCTTGCTTATCGCTATGCAAACAACCACAATATAACAAACTCGAGATAGAAGATGAAGGACTCTCAAAACTCCGATATCAGCACGTGGCTGGCGGCGGAGACCGACGCTGCACGTTGTAGCCTTATCAGCCTCTGTTGCATCCTGGCCGGCCAGATCAAGTGCTAGCGTGGACTCATCTTCAGATCTGGAGCAATCAGATCTCTTGAGCAGTTCAGGAGCTTGCAATCCCAAGATCGCCAACCCTTCAAATACCCCAGACACTGTGGGGGTCAACCAATGGTTTGCTCGTACGAACCCTGCAACCGTACCTGGCGCATCTGTCAGCCAAGATATACTCCGGAGTAACACGAAGCCACCGTGACACGAAGCCACCAGATTCCTATCAAGTATCAACCGCTCTCGGAGAGATACGTCTGGCAAAGTATTTGCAGTTACCGGAAGGCACCATTTCCTGATGCCGAATTCCACCCGCAGCTCGCAACCGGTCTTCTGGCGCAAATGACTGGCTCATCAAGATACACCATTCAGTAGGATCTCTCCGATGATCGACGGAATGAGCCGTAGACTCGCATCCTCAGAATAAGGCCATGGGAACTGCTGCATGACGGGATCGGCCGCCCTCAGCATGAACCTCAACTTCAGAACGATTGGGATCTATTGCTAATGAACGTCTACGCGGGGCAGCATGCCAAATCTCTCTGTACTGTTTCTGAGTATGGCAAGGGTTTTGGACTCATATTTCTTTCATCGGCGTAAGGTATGCCGTGTTGGCCGCGGCCAATCTCGGGGAACAGCTCGTGACAATAACCCTAACACAGGATAGTTCACATGTCTCTGTACCATCGGGAGACACATCGTAACTCTGTGTACGGTATGGAGTTTACGACTCGGCTAACAGTCACACCGCCGCTTTGCGCAATTGCGACGTCCTCTTTATCCTGTCTGAAAGCTCCACTGGAGAGCAAACTCCTCGCGGAAAAGTCTTTAGAGAGCCTACCTATCTTCAGCGTCTGCAAATTGTTCGTCATGGTATCCATCGTGAAGACCGTCTAACCCAAATCTCCCCGATAGACAAAAGTGGCATGCCGCATAGAAGCCCAATAGAAAGACGGCACCATCTGTCAGGTGAGTTGTGAGTTCGTTATAGATATGACTCAGGCCCTTGGGCCGTGATTGACTAGGACTAAACCTGGGAAAGGCCATGCCACTATGAATATAAAGTGCAGCTCAGGCGGAATGTTTCCTCGATACTCGCTCTCCTCAATGGGTGAGTCCGTACGGAGTAATGGCCGCTCGATTCCGAGGCGGGGACTGTGATGAGCTTGGGCAATTCCGACAATATTTAGAACTACCTTCCAGGGATTACCCAGCTGTTTCCAGCTTATAGCTTGTTCTTTTAGACAGTGGTCATTTCGTTTAGACGAGAAAACTATTTGAAGATATGTCACTACTGACTTGTACTACTCCGTACAGGTCAAGACATTTTGCGGGGAACGCGATAAAAATATATTTCAGGTCTTTCCCCGCATTTCACTCAGATGTAACTAGGCCGACCGAATGTACCCCACCTACAAGCCTAAATAGTATCTGATGAATTGATACTGTTCAGGTCTTGCAAGCCGACGCAGGAGCTCGACTTCGGAAGAAATTCTTCGATGTCGAATATGACTTCACATTGTCCACGGTGCTGCGGAGTGAGAGCCAGCAGCGACAGCCGAGGTCCCGGGAGGGAAGCCGGAGGCGATTAGGTAAGTAAGCGGGCTGTCCGCGATTCGAGTTTCTGGAGAAGGAGATTCAAGCTTCGCTTCCTCCAACGGGCGCAGCGCTTAGCCTTGGAACCGTCTTGAATACGATCATGGCTTCGGGATTGACTCATACTTTCCTCTGCGTCGAATGACGTGAAGCCCTTGTCAGCTTATTGCCGAAGCACAATGCAAGCCGTCGCATCTGGCCGCGAACCGGCCTCGCGAAGGTCCACTGCGTGTGACGCGTGTTTCCAGCGCAAGGTACAGCCGAGTCACAAACCGATTGATGGCCCCTGCTGACCGCGGGCTAGATCAAATGTGACAGCGCCCGGCCGCGGTGTAATTGGTGCTATCATCGTAAGACGGACTGCACATATAGTCGCCATCGCTCTGACGTGAGTCTTCGTAAGAAGAGGTACGCGTGGATCCCGGAAGCATTGACCTCACATTGCTTATTCTACTCTAGCACTGCTGGCCCTAAGCGAAATCTTATCGATCGTATACGCCACATCGACCAGCTTCGCGCGGAGTCAGGTCTGACGGGTAAGCTCTTTTCCCCACAGCCAGCGGTACATAACATGCTCACCGTATACTCGCAGACGGCCCACTCATTGCGGAGGAGACGCAGTCGGCGCGTCAATCCGCCGAACCAGGGCTTCTGCCTGGACCAATACAGCTGCTGCCATCTCCTCGGATTATCCACTTCGCAGGATGGAAGATTGGCGACATACTGCCTGGACGGGGAGCAATACCCACGTTGCTGCCCGAGGGTATTCAATGGATCAAATCGAGAACGGGAACAATTGTCCCATTCCCCAATGTTCAACATGTTCCGTGGGAGAAGGCAAAGATATCCCCAAGCCTATTGCATGGGGAGGGTCGAACCTCGACTAGACCGCTCGAGCTCCCATCGAAGACCGTGCTGAATCGCTACTTGGATGCGTATTGGGCGTCTTCAGTACACTCGCTATTCCCAGTGATTGAGTCTTCACTTTTCGGGCAAACGGTCAACTCTGCCTATTCAACTGGGGACAGTGGCGCACAGGACAGCTCAAGGGCATGTATATTTGCACTTCTTGCTCTTACCTGTGGCGTGGATTATCCCAGAGCTCGCTGCACTGCTCCTATACCACCAATTATCCCAAGAGATAGCTTTATCTTCGAAGCCCAGAGGCTCTTGCCTTCCGTCATATCCGAGGGTTCGAATCTGGATGCGTTGCAGGCCACGGTCATACTGGTATGTCAGTTGTTCTTGTCCCTCGCTATGTCACATACTGGTGACTTACTAAAGAGCATTTTCCTTCCTATATAGGCCATCCTGGGCATAATGACTGGCGAGTTGCAGCATGCAACTCATTATATTGCCATTGCCTCGCGTTATATAACTGCCGTGGGAGCTCATACTATGGGCGACCCTTTTCAAATGCCCCAGACCGTGTCCAGCACCTCAAGTGACATACGGCTCAAGAGGCATCTGCGTAACCTCTTCTGGATCTGTTATGTTGTGGACAAAGAAGTTTCACTACGCACAGGGCAAAGTCACTGCCTTAAAGACGAAGACTGCAACCTGCAGCTCCCGGCCGACTATATACCTGACCTTGTCCCACGAATGACCTACTCCTTGCCCTGGAGCGATGCTGATGCCCCATTATTTCCAATTGAAGTTCAGCTGTGTCTGATTAAATCCCGGATCTTTAGCGCGCTATATTCATACCAGGGGCTTCAAAGGTCCGATGCTGAAATCATCCGTCTCATTCGAGAGCTTGATGACGATCTTGAACGTTGGCGGCTTTCAATGCCGCCCGAGCTACGGCCAACCCTGACTTATGGAAAGGACGCCAATAAACATCCCAGCGCGATGACCATGTATCTTGTCATCATGCACCTGAACTACTACTTCTGCATCAATATCGTCCACCTCGCCGGCAGTCGGTGTGAGTCGTGGCGCTCCAGTTGCTCCTCGCCAGGGATGATGGATGGGTTAAGGTCGAGCCTCACTATCTCGGTTGGGGCAAGTCGCTCCCTTTTAATTTTCCTGCGAGATGCCGAGAGCTCGATAAGCACGGGAGGATTCTGGTGAGTGAACACTTCTTTCCCATATACCCGTTTTCTGGTCTTTTCTAATGACATTCGTTCAGGGCTCTGCTGTTTTATACCATGTCTGCAGTTATAACGCTGTTCTGCAATTTATTGGAAAATCCAACTGCGTTGACGGTATCTGACGACACGCGCCTTCTTGTCATGGCTGAGCACACTACAGAGCGCGTGTTTCTGCGGCAAATCTCGGAACTTGACCAGGCGGCGCATATACAAGCGATCACGAGTTTCATATCGCGTCTACGACATATCGCGCAGCAGGCCATTCAGACGGCAAGATCATAACATGGACATTATTTTAGCATTAGTCTGCGGTGGTCCAACATCCTTGGAGGCCATATTATGACTCCGCCTTTATCCCACAGCCGCTATATGTCCCGCTACTGTTCTGCACGGCCGCCTGAGGAATGCTCGCTTTCGCCGCATTGCCTTTGAACCTCCGTAATGGATTCAACTGCCCGCCATCATGGCAGAAATCGGCAACCGCGTTGCTGCCGGAGCTGATACAACATCTGTCGCCTTGAAAGCCGTCCTCGGCCCCATCCTTCATAACAGAGCAAGGTATCAGCGGCTCCGAGCCGAATTAGGCGATGGGGTTTCCAGCTCCAAGGAATCAACTTTCACATACTCTGCAGTCAAGGGTCTCCCATTCATCACAGCCTGTATAAAAGAGGGATTCCGCATGCATTCGAGCATCGTTTACCAGCTTCCCCGACAAGCACCCGCCGAAGGCATTTCCTTTGATGGGCACTTCCTCCCACCTAACGCCACGATTTCTATGAGCGCTCTAGACCGAAACCGGTGCCAGACAATATCTGGGACTGATACAGACACATGGAGACAGGAGAGGTGGTTAGGCGTTAAAGGGAGTAGTGAGGATGAGGTCAACCTTATGGAATGAAACGTTGCAAGCGTGAGTAGCAGTTGTCTTCAGACACAAAATAGTCCTTGAATTGGAGACTGACTAGAACCCAGTTCGGATACGGCTCCCATTGATTGAAACCTGGCCACGTTCGAGGTTTACGAATTAATCAGCTCGCTGTTGACGCGATTTGATGTTGAACTTGCCAACCCCGAGCAGGGATGGAAGATCCGGTCCCCTTGGTTCGCGGAATTTGACGATATGTTCATTGGATTGAGGAAGAGAAGGGATGCAAGGGGTGGACTGTAGGGCTTATACTCTTCCTTTTGATAGTGCTGATTTGTGCGAGGCTGCCGATGAAGGACCATATCCATAATAGCCACGTGCTATCTAAGCTAAGAAAGTCTCCAGAAAGTCAAGATCTACACCGTGCCAAGGCAGCCAAGACCAACACACATGAAGCAATTCGTCTACTATCGCGAACTAAAACGCTGAGCCTCGTATTCCCCCACACCTTGGGTATGCGTCGTACATATAAAGCAATCGCATCCCCACGTTTTCCGCCCGTTCATTAAACCATTCTCGACGCTCAGCTCTCCGGAGTAAATTCATAGCCAAGATGCACAGACCCATAGCGTTCTCGTATCTCGCCCTCCTCCTTGCGGCCCCAGTCTTCAGCAGCGACGACGTCAACTACGACCCAGACACAAACTATCGGCCGGAAAACGTCACGGGCCTGGATTACTATTACTATCCCTGGGTTGGCTCGTACGTCCCATTCCCTGCTATCTACCGCACCTGAACCAGCTGGCAGTGCTAACCTTCCTTGACAGGTACTACAACGGCACCGCAACATTCACAATCAGCTCGCTCAGCGTCCGCTCCCGCTCCCGCTCAAGCTCAAGCTCAAGCTCAGACGACGACGAAGACTCAGACCTCTGCCCCCAACTCCAAAACTACACATACACCCTCTCGTACCCGGCGCTCCTCGGCATAACAGAGACCGAGCCCGACGACGAACGCCCCGAGAACACGAACCCCGTCAACGTGATCCTCTCAACCTCATACAGTAATTTCACGCGCTACTTCAACGACTTCATGGATAGCAGCAACATGCAGATCCGCGATATGCCGTGGGTTTTTGAGAGTGTGGATGTTAGGTGCGCGCATAACCTTCACCCCCTCCTTACTTTACATGTATGTATAGACAGTGCTAAGTGTAGTTTGTGAACAGCCGCCGAACCTTCGGCTACGAATCCACAGACCCAAACTTCAACCTATCCATCTCCGACAACTCAGGGTCCGACACGCCCTACCGCCTAAGCGGCTCCTCCTCAGACGAAAGCAACCCGCTCCCAACGCTGCAAACAAACATGAGCTCCTGCAGCAGGCTCGAAGACTGGTGGGGCGTGAGCTTTTCGTCAGAACTGACGTTCCCAGCGCTCCAGGTGACGTTTGACGCGCGCTCTGCGAATTTCGCGCTTGTCTCGGGTGCTGTTATGAATACGTTGCGGAGAGAGGATGACGATGAGGAGGAGACGCCGCAGCTCGCTGGGCGGATCTCGGTGGAGTTCTTGGGCAGCATTGATGAGGCGCGCTCGGATGTGCTGGATTCGCCTGGGGGTGAGGGCGAGCCGAGGTGGATTCGGTCTGTTGGGTTTGGGAATTATTCGGCGAATTTGGATTATGGGAGCGAGAATGCGGGTTCAGCTGTTGCTGTGGGTGGGATTGGGGGGGTGTTGGGTTGGGCTGTTGGTTTGATGGGTGTTGTTGGATGCGTGCTTTGGTGAGCATGTCCATTGCTAGAGATGGATGATATTGAGTTATGATTAGTTATGTATGACAAGCCTCTTGCGACAGCGCGCTAGCGCTGTTGGAAAGGGGCTTGCTTAAGTTAAATGTAACTAAAATTTACTACATGCTATGCTTATTTTAAGGCCTAATTTTTAAGCTATTTAATTTTTATAATTAGGTTTTTATTAAGTTACTTAATATACTAGGGGCTTAAAGGAAACTATTATAAGTATATTAAAAATTAAAATATAAAATAAAAATAATAAATTTTTAAAGCCGCACGCACACTATATTAAATATTATTAAAAAAGTTTATATAAATTAACTATTAATATTAAAACACCTATATTAAATTAATTTTACTATTATATTAATTTTACTATTAGTAGTAAAATAACCTACTAAATACTAAAAATACTAATTAAGTAAACTATATTTTAATTAAACTAATAATAACTAGCATAAAAAAGTTATTAATAATACCTATAGCTAAGTTATTAGTAATACCTATAGCTAAGCTATTAATAATACTTATAGTTAATTATATAGTATTATTATAGTTAAAGGTAAATACTACCTTATTAATTATTACTTTTAAGTTTTTTTATTTTTTTTACTACCTTAAGCCCTACCTATATCCTTGCTAGTTAATTTTATAAAAGCTTTTATAAGCTATTTATTAGTATTAAACTTAAAAAAATTAAAAAAACTTAAAGATATAAATTTATTTAAAAATAATTTATTAAATTTTTTTTTAAGCTTTTTAATTTTAACACCGCGAAGCTAAAGGCTTAAAAAAGCAAGGTTTTAAAAAAGGATTTTTAAAAAGGTTTTAAGAGCGCAGTACTTAAAAAAAACTTTTTTTTTTTTATTTAGCCCTTAAATATAAAAGGGTTAAAAATAATAGGGGACTAGGTAGTACTACCTTTATTTATAAAAACTAATATTAGTATTAGCTTAAAAGTATTATAATTAATATTTTTTATATTTATAATACTTTTAATATTATTTTTACTTATAGGTATTTTTTTATACCCGGGCTTATAGCTAAAAAAATTAATAAAAATTACTAGGGTAGCCTTCCCCAGCCTGCAGTAGTACTTAATTAAATAATTTAGGATTAAAAAGCTAGTAATAATAAAAATAATATTATAAAAAATAAATAATTAAGCTATTATTTTAATAAAAAAGTAAAAAATATAATTTACTTAATAAAAATTATATAACATGCCTAAAACCTAGGCCATGGTATTAGGGGTTATAAAAAATAAATTATATAAATAATTAAACCTAGTTATATTATATATAACTTAAAAGGTAATATAGTTAATAATTAAAAAGCTATAATTATAAATTATAATTTTTATAAATAAAATATAGTTTTTTTTTAGTTAGCTGTCTCCTTAACATAAGTATTAATAAAAAAAATAAAAGGGAATACTATTAGCAGGATAAAATTATTATATAAGTTATTAATAAGGGAACTGCTTATCCTAAAAAAAAGCTAAATAATAGTATTATTTAAAATATATATTATATAATTATAAAATATAAAAAACTTATAATATTAAGGTATTAGCCCGGATGATTAAAAAAAAATAATTACTATTAATATTATTAATTATAAAAAGCTACTTTTAGTAAATAGCTATAGTATTATTTTTAAAAAATAATTTAAACTAGTTATAATAGGTAACTATTATAAAAATTTTTAAAAAAATTAAATTTAGGAAAAGCTTAGGTTTCACGCCTTTTAATTTATAACTTAACTTTAAGTGCTTACTATTATTACTAAAAATAAAGTTAATTATAATTAAGTTATTAATAAAGGCATGGGTATTAAAAGGCGTTTTAGGTTTGCTTATATTAAAGTATTAAAAAAAAAATAAAAAAAATAAAATTAAAAAAAATTAATAAATTTAAAAAAAAATACCCGGGAAAAAGGCAGGTATATATAAAAAAATTTATTTAAAAATTTTTTATATAAATTTACGTAGCACCTTTAAATAAACTATATTATTTATTAGCTATGCCTTTATATTACCCTTAACTAATAAAATAATAATATTATTAGCTAAGGTTAACTAAAAAAGTACTATATAAAGTTAACCATGGGTAAAAATTAAAAAATAAAAATTAATTTTTATATAATTTAAAAACTACCCCTGTAATTTATTAATTATTATAGTATATATAAGCTAAATTAAAAATTAAACCTAGGTAAATATAAATAAAAACTTACCTTTTATAAAAAATAGCTACAGGCGCAGGAGTAAAACTTTATTATTTTTATACTAGCTATTTTTTATAGTATTTTAGTATTTTAGGCACCTTTAGCTAATTTAGGTTATAATTAGCCAAGTTTTATTATATAAACTATTAAAAAAATTATAATTTCGCGTTAGTAATATTAAAAAGCCAGGTTTTAGGTATAAATTTTTTATTAAAAGGCTTAGGAATTAAAAATTATATAAAAATTTTAAGGTATACTTTTTATTAATAATTTCCCTGGTGCTATTATAATAGTTTAAAAAAGGTAGGTAAATAATAGTTTTAAAAATAATAAATAAAAGCTTAAAGTTAAAAATATTTATATTTATATTAAAAGGTGTTAAAATTATATAATTAATAAATATATTAATATATAGCTTATAACATACTACTTAATTTTAGTATAATATTAGCAGGGTACTAAGCTTAAATAAAAAGTATACCCTAAATATAAAAAGTGCTAGATTTAAGGTTATACATAAAAAGTTAGAAATTTATATAAAATTATATATAATAGTATTATAGTTTAATAAATATAGCCACTATATTAAAAAATAATTATTTTTATATAAATTTTAAAGGCGCATGTTTTTAATAAGGGTAATAACCTTAATACTATTCTAAATAACTATATATTAAATATATATACCTATAATTATAAATTAATTCCCACGCGGCATAACTAGCAGGATTTATTAAAAGTTACTACTTAAAATAATAAAAATATTATTAAAAAAAACATCGCGCATGGCTATATTCTTAATATTATAAATATTTTATAATATATAGTTAATAATATTAAAAACATGCTTATTTATTATTAGGGTTTTATTTTAAATAATTAAAAATATTTTTTATAAAAGTTTAGCAAGGGCACTTTTTTAATAAATATTATAAAATAAGTCCTTTTTAATTAAAACTAAAATATAAAATTATTTATAAGTAATATAGCTACTAGGTAATAACAGTGCTATAATATTAATAAAGGCTATATATAAAATAATTTAATTAAAAAAATAAAAGTACTTGGCTAAGACCTTATATAAATAGGTCTTACCTACTAAAGGTTAATATATATATTAATAAAATATAAATTAATATACTAGTACTACTAGGGCTATAAAAAAAAGTATATTAAGCTTAATATAATTATAACCACCTTTTTAATTTAATTAAAAGCTATTTTTTACTTATTATTAAAATTTATATACTTTATTTTAAAGTCCTAACACATGTTATTAATATTATAGGCAGTTTTTTACTAAATCTTATAATTATTAAACTTTTTAAGGTTTTTTTAAGGTAGGATAGGCTTTAATAACCTAAAATTACCTAGGATTTTTTTATAAGTAGCTAACGCGCGGCTAATATATTATAAGCTAAAGTTTAGGTTTAAATTATTTTTTAAAGGGTTATAAAAAACTTTATTAAAATTATAGGCCTAATGCTAAATTAACTAAGGTAGGTTATTATAAATAAAATAGCTATAGCTATTTTAAATAGCCCTAGTATAGTTATAGGAAAATAGCACCTTTATTATTATAATAATAAATATTTTATATAATACTTTACTAATTATAAAGGTAATTACCTTTTAAAAATAATTTAGCTACTTTTAGTTTTATATTAAAATCCCCCGGGCATAGCAGGCCTTTTAAAAAAATTATATAGTTAATTATTTATAATATAAAGGTTTTTAAAACATTTGGCCCTAGTAACCATTATTAAAAAACATTAAATATAATATACCTTATTATTTAAAAATAATAAATAATAAACTTAGCTAAGTATTTCCTGGGCCTTTTTTAGCTTTTAATACTTTTTATTTTAGGTAAAATAAAAAAAAAACTTTAAGTATATATATTACCTAGCGCTAGGGTTAGCAGGGTTATAATTATAAATAAAGTACTTTAATAAGTATAATATATTATTTTATAATATATTTTTTAGCTTTACTATATTATTTACTTAATTATTAAAAATTATAAAGTATTCCCTAGGTAAATAAATAATTAAGGCTATAATTAAAGGCTTTATTTTATTAACTAGGTACTTTATTAATTTTTAGGCTGCCTTTAAAATACTTATATATTAATTATTTATATACTTTATAATTTTATTAAAGCTTATTTTTATAGTTATTTAGTTAACTCCCTTATAAAGGTATTTATATAAATAATAAATAGCCTTAATATTATTATATATTTTAATATTAATATAGGCCTAATACTTTTAGTTTAGGTAGGGGTTATATAGCACTACTTATTTATTATTAATATATATTTTTTTTTTATTAAATAATTAATTTTAATTTTATATTAATTTAGATCCCAGCGCTGGTAGCTAAAATAACTATTATTTATAACACGGGTTTTATTATAAAACTTTTTAAAAAAATACTTAAAGTATTTATTATTATTATTTATACACAGGGCCTTTAGGTTATATTTACTATAAGATATATATATTATAATAAAAATAATAATATTATATAGCCGCACACTATATTTACTATTTTTATTTAAAATTTTTACTAAAATAATCTTATTTAAAACCTTAGGTATTAAAAATTAATTTTTATTTAATAGCTAAACTAAAATATAGGTATAAAATAAACTATATTTTTATAACTTAATAATATAAACATGGGCGCAGGTTTCCCTAAAAATATTATTTTTAAAAATCTCCCTTAGCAAGACACGAAGCTTAAGCCTAAATATATAAG